CCCCCGGCATTGCTGCAACGCGCACATGGCGATGGAACGGATGGCTTGGTCTGGGCAGCCATGTGCAGAGTGCAGACGCACATTCACATGGCAGCCACGAGGGGGAGCGGGATCTCTTCCCAGGCGCAGGTCCGAGTCGCCACTCGTCGCGCGGTCCGGTAGCCGTTGTGACGGCCGTGAGGCTTCAGAAGGACGCCCAAGTATGTGTGCTGTCACTTGTCCCGCCCATAGTGTCCGCTTGATAACATGTGTTCTAGACGACGTCGATGCTCGCGATGACGGCCCGTCCGGCAAGACGATGCCTTCACTATTCCGAGAGGGCTTCACAGTCTATCACGGCCACTTCAGACGACTTCCCTTTTTCTCCAGAACAGCGCGCAGGTCACGGCAGAGACGGGCTACGAGAGAAGATGGGCCGGTTGCCGTGAAAACAGACTCAATGTCTAGAGCGTATGTTCGCTGTCTACCAAGGACGCGACCATGGTGCAACTACATTATATCAGCGCGCCAGGCGAGCACATGACGGGAGGTCAAATACACAGTGGCCCTCTTGCTTGGTACCACTTTCCGTGGCTCCCTCGTCGCAGGCTACACAGACATCTTGCTGACAAGCACTGGCAACGTTTGCTGCCCAAGGCCCGGGTTCTGATAGCCTTGATTCATGCGAGCGCTGCTTGCGAAAAGTCCATCATCTGAGGGATCCCTGAAGGCCGCAATCTGCCACGGAGTTTGGCCCCGAACCTGTTGCATATACAGTGCAGCCGTACAGGTGCTTGAGACAAGCATGATCAGCCTGGTGGCCACTGGGATACCCGTTTCCTTCAAGGCGAGGGCGAGTACATGGCCGACGAAGCGAAGCGTCGGGTGCGAGGGCAGAGGAAAGCCTTCTCTGGGCACATGGTCCAAGTATGCACTTAAGGAGCTCATAGCTCGGCTTCCGGATGACTCTGATGAGTTTCAGTCCAGTGCGGACTCCGCGCCTCTTGCAAGCCAGACTGCGTCGACCTACGCCGAAGCCAGCGCTATAGAGCAAGCTCGCAAGTCGCCCGGTTTGAAGCGAGGGGCGCGTCGAGCCCTCGGTGGGTTCGTTGTTTCCCCATCGCCAAATTGTTGTGCTCTATGTGCACATAACCAGTCGTTCTGCCCATGCCTTGCCGGCTCACGACCTCAAGCCCACTCGCGATGCCGCGCGCCGCCAGCCACAAGGTCGGAGAGCGGACACTCCACTGTACACCCGGAAGCTTGACATGTTCTCCTCTGTGAAATCCAGCGTCTATAAGAGACGCTCGTGACTACGCGGTGCAAAGGTCCACGAGGTTGGCCTGTGTTGTCGCCGGCTCAAACATGCCTACCCTGCGGCTGACCATCTGCTGAGAGTTGTCCAGGAACCTCATCGCGCGTTTGTTCCACGTATTCGCTCCGCAACAAGATCAAGGAATAATAATGCCAAAACAAAACGTGTCCTTTACACGGGCCGAGGATGCCAGGCCGCTCGTTGACTCACCGTCGAACCCTGCATTGCCCGGGCAGGCCAGCGTGGCTTCCACCGTGTCTCCTTCGCCGTCGTCGTGCTGCTCACGGAGGGCGGGGGGTTCAGGCTGCGGCAGTCGCGGCCCGCGCCGGCTGATGGCTGAACGCTGATGACGTGGTGGGCCGTTGTCCACCTTACCAGCCCAGCACCAGGCACCCACCTCAGCCAGAGAGAGAGAGAGAGCGCGCTAACGACACCAGAGCTCCTGCTCCGCCTGACCAGCCCGCCGCCGCCCCGGCCCCTTTGGAAAGGCCGACCACTTTTCCCTTCCTGGCGCAGCAGCTGTACGAAACGAACCGAAACGTCGTCTGGCCAGCGCGACGCGCCCGTCATCGTCGTCGTCGTCGTCGTCGTCGCAGACATCTACTATCTGTCTTCTTTTGCTCGCTGCGCGCTCTTATCCCCCCTCCCCCCTCCCTGCCACCGACCCGAGCAGAGTCCAGCCAGTCGAACAAGGCGCGATCTCCCATCACCGCGCGCGTCTTTTCAACATCCTACGTACATACATACATACACGCGCATCCGCCCCACGCGCCGCGAGCAGAGCCATTCACGCCGGCGGTAGATACAGCAATAAGACTGTCTCTTATACACATCTAGATGTGTATAAGAGACAGTCCCATCACCGCGCGCGTCTTTTCAACATCCTACGTACATACATACATACACGCGCATCCGCCCCACGCGCCGCGAGCAGAGCCATTCACGCCGGCGGTAGATACAGCAATAAGAAGAGCCAGGAGAAGACGAACAGGACCGACAACACCCCCTCGACTATATCAGCCACACCTCGCGCACGCAAAGCAAAGCAGAGCACCAACACACGCACGACCGCACGCAGCCATGGCGTCCTTCCTCACCGACCTCTGGGAGTCCATCTTCACCCCGGGCCCCACGCCCCCCCTCCTCCGCGCCGCAAACGCCTCCTTCGCCGCCCTGCAGCTCGTCCTCGCCGGCATGCTCTACCTCACCGGCAGCCTGCACTGCGTCGTCCTGTCCGTCCTCTGCGCGGGGCTCTGGTGGGCCGTCAACTGGTTCGCCGCCGAGCTCGCCGTCGCCCAGAGGGAGCAGAAGCGCCGCGACGAGCAGGCGCAGCAGGAGCGGGATGCGCAGGATGCGGACGATGACGACGACGAGCGCAAGGATAAGCGGCGGCGAGGCGGCGGCGGCGTGGATGATAGTAGTGATACGGAGGTCGAGACGGGGAGGGCGCGCACGAGGGGCGCGACGGCCGCCGCCAAGAGGGACCTCCAGCAGCAGCAGCAGGCCGGCGCGGGTGAGCTGAGGCAGAGGACCGCGCCCGGTGGCAGGACGGCGGGCGTGTCGCCGTCGGGGACGCAGTCGAGCGTGAGCACCGAGGACGAGTGGGAGAAGGTGTCTGGAAGCGAGCGCGAGGGCAAGAGCCAGGACGAGTAAAGACGGAGGAACCGCGAGTACGCACGCCGAGCAGAGAGAGGCTGTTGTGGAACCGTGGCACACGGAATGGCGAAGCGCCAAGATGCCGTTGGACTCTTGGTTTGCGCTCCCACGGTTAAAGCGTTGGGGCAGGCCATGCCGCGTCTGCATATGGCTGTCAAAGGCGCGAGCCAAGCAGCGCTCAGTATTATTATGATATCAGGAGACTGTCCGTCTCGTTTACATACCCCTTTATCCAAGATGCATACACAGCCGAGGCCGTCCTATCCGCGAATTATCCCAAGATCCTAAACGCCCCCTTGCCCGACCCTGCTCTAGACCGAAATTACCCATATGCGCACAATCTAAGCCACAAGGCGTACAGACCCCTTCATATATACCTCAGCTTGTGGGTGGCAAACGCCGCCACTACGGTGCTCATCGCGCCGATGAACAGACACACGGCGATGGCGTTGGGACCGCTCGTCTCGGTGCCTTTGTCTGCGGAACCGTCGCCCGAAAGCTCGGGGCTCTTGCCGGGCTCCAGCAGCGAGAACACAATGGTCGCGATAAAGGTGCCGCAGAATTGCGGCAGGGTCGTGTAGATGTTGAGGATGCCAAAGTAGATGCCCGACAGCTCCGCCGTAGACGCGACCTCGGCGTCGGTGCCGGCCATCGGGTCCTCCAGATACACCGTGGCGTCGCTCGCACCCACGCCGACCTCGGGAAGCTCGATGCCCGGTTCGTCGGACAGACGACGGTATGCGGAGCCGCCTTCGCCCCCGCCGCTGAGCCGGTTGACTTCGACGCCGAGGAGGGCCGATGGTGCCCACATGGCGATAGTCCATGGCCTTCGGGAACGCCGCAGATTAGCTTTGACATGCCAGGAGAAGGGAGTTCGCAACTTACAATCCGCATAGGCACACCAGAAACGTTGCAAATCGGAAGCTCCTCGCAAACGGCGCAAGCGACATGGCGGCGGCGAACAGCAAGTGTCCGCATATCCACGTCGTCAGGAGATCGGGCTTCTTCTCGTTGAGCTTCTTGACGAACCCGGCAATCGCCCGCGGCGGGCGCTGGGTGAAGCCTCCTTCGTCGGGGGACCTGACCAGCAGGGGCAGGACGAAGGCGCCCGCAAAGGTGATGCATGAGTACACGAAGAGTGAGGCGCTGCCGATGCGGCCCATGTCGCCGAGTGCGTCCTTGGACTGCCGGGCCTCGGGCGGCGCGTCGTAGCGAAAGTACGTCTCGCCGAGCCAAGTCGTGTTGTAGAAGAGGAAGGGGAACCAGCCGATCCAGGACCAGAACTGGGCCCAGCAGATGGCCCGCACGCGCGGCGGGAGATGGCGCACCGTGGACAGGATCTGGCGAAGCACCTGTACGATGCTCTTAGACTGTTCGGCGCCCTTTGGCATAACTAGCACCTTTTCTGTGACAGCCCAGCAGGTGACGGCCGTGGAGCCGAGGATCGCGATGGCGGCGATGACGGTGAGCTGCTGGAACTGGGAGTCGCCCAGGGTGGTGCCCAGAATCTGGAGGAGGTCGATGGATCCGGCTGCGTAGCCGATCATATGGCCGATGGAAGACATGCGACTGGCTGGATGAAACGTCAATCAATACAATACACACAATGACACGGAGGCATGATGCTGCACGTACCCCACGCCGCGCCAGTCTGCTGCATCTCGAGCGGAAGCGTATCGACAATGAGGCTCCTGGAGCACGACATGACTGGGGGACTCAGTTAGCACGAGACAGACTGCCACCCTGTTGCGAGGGCTCGACATACCGACGTTGATGGCAAAATCGACAACGTAAATGGCCACCACCGCCAGGAATATAGTTGGCCTAGTCGCGCTCTCGCCGTCGGCAACGACGAGTGCCACAATCTCGCGCGTGAAGCCCAGCACCAAGAGGCTCGCCGCGACGATGACGGCGCTGGCAACCATGAGCGGCCTCCTGCGGCCCCATTTGGACGTGTTCTCGTCGGCGATGACACCCGCGATGGGCTGGACCACGAGGCCCGACAGCGGACCGGCGATCCATATCAGCGACGTGTTGCTCTTGGTCAGCCCGAGGTTCAAGAGATACGGCGTGCAGTCTGCAGGCGGCGTCGTTCTTTCAGTCAGCCATCCGCACACATATTCTTGGGCTCGGGGCACCCAGTCCCCCGAGGCAGGTCCCACGTACACGTCATCTCAATGCCCCATGTGAAGCTGTGCGCACCCCGTCGCGGTCAGTGTTCGAACGTGCCACATTCTCGTCAGCTGGGAAACGCACGTAATGCCAATCGTCGCAAAGGTCAGCAGCACCATGCGCACCGTCTCGGTGCTGCCCTTGATGGACGCCGACCCCACGAGGGTCGCCATGCCGAGGGAGAAGCCCAGAGGGCAGGCCGGCTGCGATTCACTCGTACCACTCGAGCCGATTGATGTATGTATGTGTCGATCGGGCGCGGTATCTCGGCGAGGAAAGGCCTCGGGGCACGAGCAGTCGAGTCGTGAGGGTAGAGCTGAGCCGAGCTGAGCTGGGAGGGAGCTGAGGTGTCGAGAGTCTAATTCGCAACGTTGGAGCGTTCGAGGGAGGCGGGCTCGAGGAAGGCCGATGCCTGCTGGCCGCCTGTTCGCTTTCCAGCTGCTTCAGGAGTGCAGAGGGGCAGCAATTGAAGGTGGAGGATGCAATCTGACGACTTCGGAGGGGCCTCCTTACGACGGCAAGATGTTTAATTGACGGTGATGGGATGCAATGTCTCGGACGACATGCAATGTTACGAGGGCACGCAGCTATGGTGGGTCCTGTCGCTTTTGGGGTCCCTATGGATGGGCCCTTGGGGAGATGGGGGGTGCGGCTCCCCCTTGGGTCCCCTGTAAGTTGCAGGCCATACGCACTAAACCTAGGTGGCTCTGTACTGGGAGCGAGCCGCAGTGGATCTCTCCGCTCCCCCGCCGCTGTCAAACACGCCCGCCTGTGGACGGCTGCGCGCCACTCAAAGCATGGCACCCACCTATCCGTGATTGTGCAGAGTAATACTGGGCAGGACCGACTCATGCTCGGTAACAGCTGGAGAGCAGAGTAAGGTGGCTTGTTTACACTTCATCGCACCGTCATATTGCAACACCTCCCGTCAACCAGTGCTCTGCTGCTGTACAAAACTTGTGGTATCTTGAAAACGAGGAAAATAAAGGGCAAGGACCTGGCTAGCGTCTTCTCTCGTACATGCCGCGGCCGTGGGGTCTCGCCATCGCCTGCTATCGTCAACGCCAGGAACCCCGTTCCTCATGTCGTCGGCCCCGTGCCCAATTCACCAGACCCGGGTTGCATCTCGACGTTGTGGAGAGACAACACCCGGGTCGAGCGCATTGAAAAGTTGCCAAGAGTCCTCCTGCGACGCACCGTCAACGAAACCATGCGGCCCAAAGCACTTGTCGCTCGCCCGCCAGTCCGCCATGCCTCCCGGGCAGAAGCCAAATGGGGTTTGAAAAGCCCACCGATTGCGATTTCAACGCCGTGCCCCCCGCTGTTTGTACAAACATCTCTGTATGATGCGTGACCCGCTGGGTCCCTCTGTCTTTGTCTTTGTGGTAGTTTTTCCCGCCCAAGCGCCAACGCCCGTCGTTAAGTTCAAGTCGCGCTGTCATGAGTCGGCTAGCTTTGCAAAGTGTTTGGACCAAATCCATCCCACTTGGTCCACCGGGTCGTCCTGGTTCTTTGCTAGCCAGAGCTCGCCCTTCTCGGCAATCACATCGAATATCTGTCGTCGTCAGCATCATGCACCCACCGCCAAACTAGACTTGCTCCGCTGGCCACTCACCTCGCCTGCCTGATATGTCAGGTAGGGATATCCCGCCTCGTGCTTGGTTGTTGCAATGTTGAACTCGAAGAGCGATGCCGCCAGCCACAGGATGTTGTAGCCGTCCGAGGCCCGCCTCCTTTCGCGCGAAGACGCCCGCGACGACCTTTGGCTCTCCTCAGCCCCGTCCGGCAGCGGCAGAGCCGAGTGGAACAGGTTGGAGAACCTCCGGCTCTCCTGTGGTTGGTGGCTCGAGTTGTACGTCGTCGCCGAGTCCCGTCGGTGCGCCTGGCTCGACTCCAAGCTTTGCCTCTGCACGCCCGCCGAGTCGAAACTACGACCAGTGCTTGGTCGCGTCGACGTCGCCCCCGTTCCTCCTGCCGACCGCGAGCTGCCCGCCAACTCTGGAGACCTCGGCGAAGCGAAGTTTCCTTGTTGAGACTGAAGACCCGAGTAGTAGTCTCGGTAGTAATACTGGTGCGGATTTGGCGCCGAGCCGTTGCCAAGGCCTGTGCTGCCCGTCAAGGACCCGCTGCGGCGCCGGCCGAGGTCGGTCGGCGGCAGGCTAGGTGCCGTGTCACTAATCATCGAGAGCTCCCGGTCGCGGGCCTCGACGTCCGAGGGTCGGGACCGTGACCTGAGCGTCGAGTCATCCAGGCTTGTCGTCGTCGACTGCGAGTTTCTCGCCCAGGTGCCCCATCTTGCGGGGTTCAGGATGCCAATGCTCATCACCTGCTCGTGAGCATAGGGAAAGTCGCGTTGGAAAGTCGCAACGACCTCGTCGAGCTCGGGCATCTCAGGGCTGTCGCCCAGCACCGTCTTCATCTTGTCCTTCCACGTTCCGTACCAGCTGGCCTGGATGTTGACGAAGTTTCCAAGGCATATGTTACCGACCCGCTCAGTGAGAGACGAGAGCATTGGCAGCTCCTTCTTGAGTGTGTCATTGAGAGCCTCATACTGCTCCACGAGCTCCCTCAGCTTGGGGTCGACCGATTTGCCTGCCCGCTTCAGCAATTCGGAGCGCTCGTAGTCTAGACGGCGTTTCTGGCGCTTCTTCATGGCCAACGACGGGTTGCCATAGGCCTTGATGACGTGCTCAAAAGGCTCAATCACATGCTTGCGAACTTGGGCCAGCTGCGGCAGTTAGCAAAGAATGGTTTCGACTCTGCAGTAATAGTCACTCACGTGTTCTTCCAGAGCGACCTTCTCCAAGTCGCGCACCGAGATGTTGAATTGCACCCATTTGCTCTCGAGCTCAGGATAGCTGCCGGGCTGCAGTCGCATGACGAGCTCGATCGACGACATGTACTGAAGGAACTCGTGCACGTACGCCGACACCTGCCTCGTGTAGAACTCGACGTCGCGGAGGACGACCTGCAGACGTAGGTAGTCGTCGCCAAATCTCTCGTTGAGCTTTGCATAATCGGCATCCTCTGGAACGCGGCTGTTTGGCGTTTGAAGCTTGTCGACCCGTTTGCCGAAGGCTCGTGCGAATCCCGCCCTGACGTCTGACTCCTTCCTCTTCCTGCCAACGATCTGTCCGACCAGCTCAAAGTTCTTCTTGGTCTTGTTGATCTCAATGATGGCTGTTTCAAGCGCGTCTTTGGCAGCCATGAGTGAGTCTCTGTCAGGGTGGTCTTGCGGAGTGTGCTGCAGCAACGTGATGATGAGGTTTGGATACTTGGTGATGCGCTGCATGGGCTTGATGAGGAGCGAATCCAAGTCCCACGCCGCCGTCAAATCCTTTGCCACCTCGTTGCACTCGTTCAACCACACTTTGACGGTCGCATCCTGTTGTATCTGTATTAGGCGTTTGGCAGCTTGATCGCTGTTGCGCAGGAAGCCCTCATGAGCAGCCTTCATTCTCTCCATGTTGGCCTGGAACACAGAGCCGAGTAATGTCGCGCGATCCTTGACGTCGCTGGGATCTGCAGAGCTGCCCTGGCTGTTGTCCGACACGATGCTGGAGTCTTCCCTCTGCGCTAGTGTCCGGCCGCTCTTGGGCACATATACTGATGAAACTGCGTCCTTGAGCTGCGCGAGAAAAGCCGTGTGGAAGTCAATAATCTCGTCGCTGTTGCGGAATATGAGCTTGACAGTTTTGCTGTCCAGCCTCGGGCAAGCCTCTGCGGTGCCCTTGTATATCTCTTCCACAATGTTCATGTCGCGAACGAAGACGGCCTCAGTGTCGACCAGCTCCTTGATAACGTTGCGCCGTTGAAGAAGCCGGTGACGCTCCTTGCCGCTGGGCTCGTCCGGTTCTTGGGGCAAAGACTTGGCGTCGCTCTCAGCGGTTGTGCGGCTGCTAAATAGTTGTTCTGCAGGGTCCATGGATTGCGGGGTTTCTGTTTGGACCAGGTACTCGTCACTCTCCCGCTCCGAGTTGACCAGCGTGCTGCTAAACTGCGATTGATCGTAGAAGACGCTCGACGTCCTCGAGTCGAGCGCCGAGCCGGGCACCGAGCTCGGCACAGCCGGGGGCTCATGGTTTGGCGACGGAAGATACGTCAAGGCCGGGTCAGGCGTAGTGGACAGGTAAGGGATAGAGAAACCCCCTCCGGTGTCCAGCTCCGGAAGCTGGTGATGACCGAAATGCAGCGAAGACCTCGTTGAGTCAGGGACATCCCGCATATCCGACGCATACTGGGTGTCGCGATAGGATGAAAGGCTCTCTCGCGCGGTCGTCATGGATTCGAAGATGGTGACGTGACCAAAAGTAGGAGACTCATCCTGGCTGTGCATCGTGGATCTTGCGGCATCTGAAGGGTCCGTGCTGCCAACGGAGTAGTCCGTCCACGCGGATTGCTGGCTCAACCTGTCGCGTTGCGTGCTCGACTGAGGCACCGTCAAACTAGATGAATTGACCTCATTCGACGACATATCGTCCTCGAACTGGCCGATGTCTGCCTCCGATGAGGCGCACGTGGACGCGCGATGCGACGAGAGCTGGTCCGCATATCCGAAGTCGGGGCGAAGTAGTGCAGCCCTGTCGTGGTCATCGGTTTCCTCGGTGCAGGCATCTGTCACCGCATCGTCGTCGGGACGAACGCTGTAGACGCCAGGAGCTCCATCCGACTCGGAATGGCAGTCCGATTCGTCTTGCACGTCCATCCGGGGAAAGGGTACAGTATCAAGCGCGCTGTCGGTTCCCTCTGCGTGATCGCTTGCTGGTACCATCGTGACTATTGTACCATGCGATGGCAGCGTGTGGAGCGTGAGATCAGCCTCTTCGACCTCATCCCTGAACGCACCAGGGACAACATGGTCGACGTCTTCCTCCGCCGCAACAGGCACGGTTTCGCCGACCGACACGATCGGCTCCGGGGACATAGGCGCGTCGTGGAAATCCGCGTCATCCTCAAAGGGAGAATGATACTCCGCGCGGGCTTGAGGGGCCGCGGGCTCTAGTTGCAAAGACGCAGCAGAAACCTCCAGCGGGGACTGCGCTTGAGTTGGTGGAGTAGTCTGAGGCTCGCCATCAAACTCGGTTGTTTCGGACGTCGCCGATAGAATAGAAAGTGGTCGTTTCTCTGTACGCTGGGGAGGGCTGAGCGAGGGAAAGCTGCCAGGGACCCCGAGTGTAGGTGAATCAATGTCAGGAGTTGCAGGCTCGGCGGGAGCCGATTCCAGGGACTCGGCGGTGGAAACAACCAGCGGGGGAATAGACAGCTGGCCAGAAGTTCCAGCGGCCTGCTTCGTGAGAGGCGCTGCTGATCCAGTCTCGGGACTGTGATCTAGTCCTCCATGTTGTTGGATGATTGACGGCAACGCCGTTCGAGCGGCCACCTCAGCCTTGGCCTTGGCTTTTGCCGCACGCTCCATATCTTTTTGCCTCCGTTCGGCAGCTTCTCTTCGAGCCTCGTGCGCTTGGCTCTCGCGGATCGACTTGCTATATGCAAGTCGGATGTGTTCCCGCCGTTGCTCGAAATCTATAGGCCCAATTGAAATCTTGCGGCGCCTACCCGTCTCGCCACCGCTTTTTGCCGTTCCATTGGGGTTAAAGCGATCCCGAGTCTTTGTTCCGCCCGCTTCCTTCTCCCGAGAGCCTGAAGCTGTGGCTACAGACACGGTTTGCCGGGGCCGCGAACTTCGCAGCGGTGGGGACAACGCTGGCGGGGGAGCTGCTATGTACGCCTGTAGTCTCGAGCTGCTGGGTGCACCGAGGCTTGGCGGAGGCGGCCTGCGACCCGTGGCACCTTGCGTCGGCGTCTTGGCGCGGGTGACTGGGGTGATGGCTCGGGACGACGTAGAGGCAGGGCTGGCGCGAGAAGTTCTTGCGGTGGCTTGTGAGCGCTTCACCGCGGTGGGCGAGCTGGAGCGGGTCGAAGCAGGGCTGGAAGGGGAGGGGCTGTTTGCTTTTCGAATCGAGACTGGCAATTTGGAGGTGGTGCTGGGCTGGCCCAGACCAGAGGGTACGGTGGTAGACTGGGTGAGCGGCTGCCGGGGGTTGACGGCAGGGGCATCGGAGTGAGAGGCGGCAACATCGCTTTGCGACCGGTTATGGCCGGCCGGAGGGGCTCGCGACGCGTCTATAACGTTGTTTTGTTCCGTCGCGTTTTCGCGATACCAGGTACTCGGGGACGGCGGCTCGAGTTCAGGATCTGAGAAGCTGCGGTGATGGCCCGGGGGCAGGCACCTCGAATCTGGAGTCCTCCGAGGCCGTACTCGATCAATACCGAAGCCGAGAGCAGATGTATCTGGCTCGTCTGGGAGGATCTCGCCGAAAAGAAGCGCGTGTGACCGTGAATTTGCTGGCGGAGACGGTGGCTGCGGTGGCTGCTGCAGCATGTGAGGTTGTTGAGGCGGGTCTTCATGAGACAGTTGTGTCATGGACTTGGAGGCGGGCATCTTGCCGTTGGCCAAGCTTCGAGGCTTGCCGATGCGGCTAGCGAAAGACTGGGAATTGCTAGAGACGGCGTCCTCAACGACGAACCGTGACCGTTGGCCCCGCGCTGCTGCATGGTCGTTTCGGTCCTGCGTAGACAGGTCTCGTGCACCCGTTCCGGTCCGCAGGTCCGAATACGCTGCTGCAACGGCGCTCGACTTGGCCGAGGCCGCATGATGTGGGGGTGTAGCTCCAGGCCGCAGTGGCGCTCGCGGTATGGACGACACGCCACCGTTTTGGTCAAACTTCTTCTTCAGGTCCTTGACGCTGGGTTTGCCCTTTGGCGTTGCCCAAGCGCCCGAACCGGGTTGCCGAGAGTCGACGGGACTCGAGACGGACCGGACGTTGTTTGATCGAGGGAGCGTACGATTCGCGGCGATGGGTGGATGGCGAGGAGTGGTGCCGTCGCCGTTGGAGCGCAGAGACGGGCGGACGACGGTGGACGAGGCCATGGGGATGGCGTCAGGATCGCTGTCTGGGGAATGACTCCTGTAAAAGTGGTCGGGGCTCAGACGGTCGGTGTCATGATGGGACTCGTGCGGCTCGTCGTCGTAGTAGGCGACGCCAAGGTCGTGGCGATGTGTTTGGGGGTAAGCTTCGTCTTCGAGGTCGTGGTCGTAGTGGTGATGATCGAAGGTGTCGAGGTGGTGGTGGTGGTGGTGGTGGTGGTGGTGGTGAGGAGAGGCGTGGTGATGGTGACTGTGGGCGTCAAACGAAGGGACAAGACCACCTGCAGTATCCGCAGTGACGGCAGCGGCGTGGACTGCGCCGTCGTGGGTCAAGAGGTCAACGTCCGGGTCCGGATCCATGGTGACGACCTGGCCACGACGGGGTGCCAGACGAGCATGCGTCAGGCTGGTCGTCGGGCGTCGCGACGGGGCGGGACTCGACCAAGGGCCCCAACCGCAGCAGCGAGCATGGATGCGTTAATGCGTTGGCGGATGCAGGAGAGCGAGCGGCGGTGCGGGCAGACAGCCAGGACGAGGGTCGGGAGAGGGCGAGGGCGGATGATTGGAGTCGGGGCCTCGAGGGGTTCTGGTTGTACGACGAGGTTGCGGCAGCCGGGATGGGATTGGGCGAGACGGGCCAGGCCAAGGTCGCGCGGGTGCTTTGTGGTCTGTTGGAGGAGGTGGAGGAGGACGAGGAACTCCAGAGGACCCGACGGAAGAGGAGGAGGGTCGGACGGGGGGGAGGGGAGGAGGGTGTGGCCGCGCCGCCTTGAATTTGGGGGGGGGGGGTTCCCTAGTGCCCGAGGTGTGCCTGTGCCTGGGGCCTGTGCCTGTGCTGCAATGTGCTGTGCTGCGCTGTGGTGTGCTGCGCTATGGGTGCCTCTGGCAGAGAGGGGATGGAAGGGCCTTGCAAGTTGTGCCAGTGGACGAGAGTGGACCCGCGAGTTAAAAGCACGGGGACGGCGTTTGCCTCTGGAGCGTGGGCGAGGGAGGGTTCGGCCACGGCCCAGATATCAAGGCACAGTGCAGTATCTAGTGCTGGACAATTTACGAGTGCATTATACTACTGCCAAGTTTATTCGGCAGCCAGGCGCAACATTGGAACACTCGGCCAGCCTGCGGTGGTGCTTATTATGTTAGTGGCCGCCCGGCGCGCCGGTGGGCGGGCGTCGAGGGACGCTAACAGGGCGGCGCGCGCAGCCGGTAACGTCCCAACGTTGCATGGCGTCCCTGAGGATGGGCGTGCTTGCCGACTGGACCTTGAGGACCTCCAGGACCAACCTGGAAGCTGCCAAGTTCCACGCCTCACCAGCCAGCACCTTGCTGCTGCTGGTGGCCTGGGCCGCCGCCGCCACTCCCTCGTCATTCTCGCACCAGGGGCCTGCAGGGCCTCGCACAAGAAAGAAAGAACAAAAAGTACATTTGTATACATAATACATACAGGCGGAGTGCGGAATGCGGACTGCAGCTGCGGGCTGGCCCTTGCCCTCGGGCCAAACCTTGGGTCTGATGTTGCGCGGTGGGAGCTTGCAAGCATCGGCAGCGGCAGCGGCAGGGGGGCAAGGAGGGCCAGGGGACCCCCGTGCGCGGCGCCGGGCCTGATCAGCGATGAGAGGGCGACAGCTCATCGGAAGCCGTGCGCTGGGCTGGATGGATGGATGCAGTGGCGGGCCTGCTGGCTTCCATGCTGGGCCTCCCTCCCTCCCCGGTGGATGCCGTGGCCTGTCAGCGGCCCCGACCCCTTCCACTTCCATTTCGAAGGCGTCCAGCTCACTCAAATCACCGGCCGGGCGTCCATCGAGGAGGCGTCAAGCCACCCGAGCGACATGTCGTCGTCCACCTCATGTCCCATGCCCCAGAGCCGCTGCTGTTGTCGGCCCCGCCGTCGTGACAGGCGGGAATTGGCGAGTAAAAGCCACCTTTTTCCTGCTCGTGCTACGGTGCAATTTATCAATCACCAGGAACCGCATCCCTCTCCGCTCCCGGTGCCACCGTCGCACGCTCTCTCGTGCACCCTCATCCCCGCCCGCTTCAGGCCTCGTGTGCGTTGGCTGTGCGTTGGGCCACATCGTCAGTCATGCATGTCCTTGATAAGTGCTGCAGCGAGCGAGGGAGCGAGGGAGAGACGGAGCGGCCAGGGGGGGTGTAGGGGTCCCTCAAACACGGAGCCTGGTCCGATTTGTGAGATGGCCCTCTCACCCTTGCCAAACCCTCACTTGATTACGAGGTACGGGGCATCGGCCAGCATGAGATGTTGTTTGCCTCCTCACTCATCAAAGAGCGTCGCCAACCTCGTATACGGCCTATGCTTATTCTTAGCAGCCAGTGCCGGGGGCGCGTGCTTGCACATGTGTACGGTGTACATCGCTTGTAGTATAGCACCATGTGCAGAGCCCGCCAGGGGACCGCTTTCTTTTGCAGACGTGTCGTTGAAGCGTCCCGTCATTGCTTTCTTTGTGCGCAACGGCACAGGCCGCTCACACCCGCGCGGCGGATGTTCCGCGGTGAAGGTCGTTGCTTCGTTGCTTCTCCCGCGACCGCGGGCGAGAAAGAAATCTCTGCCGCTGTCCCGCCATCCGCGTCGACGACAGGACACATGCAAGCGGCGACGAACTGGGCCAAAAAGAAATCCAGAAAAAAAAAATAAAGAAAAATTTCCAGCCCCCGACCCAAACGCCTTGACTCGACCGGCCGGGGAAATGAGACGGGCGCGGGGGTGCTGCTGCTCGGGTCGCGCAGGCACCTGAATCTGCTCCTGGCGTGCTTCACCTGTCAGGTACCCGGGGCGCCTTAGTTTCAGCCCGCTGTGCTGTGTTGGTTGGCTGCTTGGGCTGCGCCGACGAAGTCGTTGAGCACCCGGAGACCTAGGAGGCAGACGGCGTGGCACAGCCAAGACAGCCTAGGGAACAGGCTTGACAGGGTGACACGGGACCCGCTGCCTCTCTGCCTCTCGCGCCTGGTGGAGGTGGTGTAAAGTGGGCGGCGACCGACGACGGATTCCATCGACTCCACTCCGCGATTGCGGCCCCTGTGCCGCAGGCCGCCCCTCGATTATTGAACCTTGAAGCTGGTTGCGTTGTGTTGGCTCGGTTCCTGGGAGAGCGAGCTTCCTCTCAGCTTGAGGCCCGGCCCCCCTCCACCTCGCCGCCTGGGCATTGCTGAATGTAGAGAGTACGAGCATGTGCGACGCCGCCCACCCCCGCAGCTCCAGGCTCACGGTGCCGCGCGCTCGGAACCGACCTGACGCTGCCCGAGCACGGCCGCGAGAGATGCATCCTCTCAACGGCCTCCCGCTGCCGGCAATCAACCCCATGCCGTCGTGCGAGCCCTGCCGCCTCGGCCTTATGCCCTGGGGCAGGGGTGGTGATCGCTGGGCCGACAGCTGGCGTCCCGCCCTGATCGGTTTGTGGGCCGGGGACCGGCGGCGGTCGCGTGCGCAGCCGGGCGCAGATCGCAACGTCCCCCATCCCGAGGGCATCCCAGCCCATCCCATCCCATCCCAGCGAGGCGGCGCCGGGCCAATCGCCGTCGATGCGGCTGGACGAGGAATTGACAGCATCGAGTGCCTGGCTGAGTTGGCAATTGCAAAGCTGGCGCTGGCCCTCGCTCTGATACAGTGGTTGCAGGCCCCGGATCGCAATTATTGGCTGTCTCAACTTACTCAGCACGGCCCGCCCCAGCGCCAGCCAGCAGGGTGCGCCAGGGCCAGGAACAAGCTTTGTGACTGCTCGCTCTCTTCAATCTCGCTCTGCCCCAGCCCGCCCTCTGTGCACCCTGCCCCAGCCCCAGCCCCAGCCCAGGTTTTGTGGCTTCGCCTGGGCTTCAGCCACACCTTATCGACGCAGCATGGGCAGGCACGACACCACCGCGCCTGCTGTCGCGAACTGTGCTGGTGTTAGTGGTTTGTCACCAGAGACATCGACCCAAACCGTGTTCAGTCGGATTGCTCCCTGGAAGCACACGAGACCCTTCACAACCATGATCCCTTTCGCATCGGCAACATGAGCAGAGGCGTGAAGCGAAAGCGTGCTCGCCATGAAGCCGCAAACAACAACAATAACAACGACAGTCGCGATGTCAGCGACGCGTCTCGCAACCGCCACGCCCAGCGATCACACGCTGAGTCGCCTGTCAGCAGGGATCTCTTGAAGCAATTTTATCCAAAGGTGCAGACGCTGAGAGACCATGTGCTCTGTCAGCTTCCTGGGACCTCCCGGCTTCGTCGCAAGAAGATTGCCTCCATCGGCACTGGCCCACAATGCAGCGATGTAGAGTCTCGCCTGGCCGGCGCCCTGGACTCGACCTTGGTCTGCTCTCTGGATCAACAGGCAAGCTATAGTGATGAGAAAGATAGTGCATATAAGCAGTACCTGTCTTTCTCGCAGCGCGGAGACGAGTCATACGTGACACTCACAGACGCCACGGCGGGAGCAAACGCCGTGCAGGCTGAGGTTTGCCACCGCGAAAACCACAGATACCCTCACCGCGCCGCGAGGCTAATTCGAAGAAGATAGTCGATTTCGTGATATGGCTGCTTTTCCGCAGACAGGGCACCATCTCGGAGCGCCCGAAGCATCTCCTCTGTGATGGCTTCACTAAAGGGGCCGGCGCACGCGAAGCCACAGACTCTGGCATCCACAACATTTGCCGCCGTCACCCCAACTCTCAAGTCGACGTACTCAAGCACGCACCGTGGACTCATCTACTAGTCTTGCTTGGCAAGTCTGGAGAGGAGATCATGGTTAATCTGCTTGTTGGCTGCTCTGTCTTTGTCAGTGTTGAGGCGGGTCTCGGCAATTATTATCAACTCAGTGGTACGGCTCTCTCCGCGCAGGCCCAATCTCGCCTTGCAGATCATTGACCACCTGCAGGAGTTCCGCTGTCTGAGTTGGAATTGCTCAGGCCCGCATCTGCCTCGGCAACCGTTGCACAGACCAAGGGGAGACGCGCATCCGACATCATCTTCGTCAGAAGCCGCATCTTCTACGCCAAGCCCGCAATCACTGCTCATGGCCGTGTACACATCGGCTTCAAGCATATTCGTTCGTGCTGCAGGCCATTCCCTACGCTCTGAAGCTCGCTCTGACAGACCGCAGACGTCCTGAACCGCTGTCGTTATGCGCAGCTTTTGTCTCGACGTGGAGATAGCCTTTCGCCTGCCGACGTGGAACAGGCTAAGCACAATGATGCCAAGACCATCAAAGTCATGATGTACATGTTTCCCAGGCAATTCGGGCTTCACAATGTCTTCACCAGCGGCACAAATCGACAGGAGACGGCTCAGAGGTTCCAAGATTACACTTTACGAGAAAACGAAATTGCGCGTCTACTGGAGAAGCATCCAAGTCTTCAAAGGGGCCCACACCCCAAGATTCCCAAGAGGCTCCGAGGCGCGCCATTGGGGCTTGTGCAGAGACTCCAGGTTCTGCATCATCGCTGTTCATACACGGAGCTCTTAAGGCATTACTGTCCGACATTCCTCGACGGCCGCCGCAGATCGAGGGGGTGCAGCTCACAGCTGGGGGCTACGAACCAGGGTACAGCGCGCCCTCCCCCCTCGGCAGAGCGTCTCATTTCTCAAGTTGGACGTCGACCGAAGCGACGGGTGCGCAACGTGCAGCCGAACACTCAGGTGTCACTGCCTTCAAGCATCACCTCATTCGTAGAATTGGCTTCCCCAGTCTCCCAAGTCTCGGCGTTTTGCCAAGCCGCACTCTCCAAGCTCATACCAAGTGGGTTCTGGGGAGAGGGTGATACTATGTATCACAATAAGACGGCATTTCTGCGCAGTGTGGATCGCTTCATTAAACTGCGGCGGTTTGAAGCCATGACGTTGCACGACGTCGCCCAGGGTCTGAGGGTAAGTCATCACACCACATAGAGCCAAATGGCTGGCCTCTCTTCGCCTCCTCGTTGGAAGAGAGTTGACATTGCGTTCCCAGGTAGCAGATCTGGGTTGGCTTCAACCGCCGGGACAACAAGGCCGGAAACAGTGCCAAAGCGACACAAGCAAGCGATTGGAAATCTTTCTCGAATTTCTGTACTACGTGTTTGACTCCCTTCTCATACCGCTGATCCGGACCAATTTTTACGTGACGGAATCGAACACACACCGGTATCAGGTTTTCTATTTTCGCCATGATGTGTGGAGGCTCGTCGCGGAGCCAGCAATGGCAAGCATCAAGAGAGAAATGTTTGAGGAATTGCCAACATCCGAAGCGCGGCACCTTCTCGACTCGCGCCGGCTAGGGTTTAGCCAGATGAGGCTGCTACCGAAGGGGAAGAAGTTGCGTCCCATCATGAACCTACGGCGGAAGCAGCTGAGCAAGGCGTCCTCGAAAATACTCGGCCCCAGCATCAACTCAATGCTCGGCCCCATCCACACCGTACTCAAGTTCGAGAAGGTATGCCTCACTCCGCCTCGTAATCTCGGGCTTGACATACTGACAGATCAAGGATTCAAACCCACTCAAACTTGGCTCAACACTCTTTTCAGTCAGTGACATGTATACTCGACTCAAACGTTTCAAGAAGTCGTTTGGCTGCGGCCAGAGGCAATTTTATTTCGCCAAAGTCGACGTCCGTGCCGCTTTCGACACCATTCCACAAGCTGCCGTTGTTGAGCTCATGTCGACGGTACCCATGGCATCTCAATACAGCATAATGAAACACGCAGAGGTCCTCCCGGGCGAGCGAACCATGGCGCAGCCGGATAAGCCTGCGACCAAGCCTATGAAGCGTTGGCGAGCAATCGCAAACCCCAGTGGCGCCTTCAAACCCTTCTCAAAGCGCGTCGAAGATGAATTGGCGCGAGCCAAGAAGCACACGGTATTCGTGGACACCGTCTTCAGAAAGTCTTGGGATGCCCAGGCCGTCTTGCAACTCCTCACGCAACATGTGGAGCAAAACATCGTCAAGGTCGGCAAGAAGTTTTACAGACAGAAAACCGGCATACCTCAAGGGTCTGTCTTGTCGTCGTTCCTCTGCAACTACTTTTACGCCGACCTGGAAACTCAGCATTTGGGGTTTCTCGACTCTCCAGACTGCCTGGTCATGAGGCTCATTGACGATTTCCTGGTCATCACGCTCGACAAGAGCAAAGCCATCAAATTTGTCGAGACGATGCACCTAGGGGTGCCCGAGTATGGAGTCCAGGTCAGCAGGGAGAAGACGCTGGTCAACTTCGACATGGAGATCGCCAACGGGGCCGTCGCCAGGGTCCGTGAAGGAGCTGGCTTTCCGTACTGCGGTACGAAGATCGACTGCCAGACGCTGGACATTACCAAGGACAGGAACAGAGACGAGACAGCTGGTAAGGATTTTGGCACCTTTGTTGGCTATTTAGAAACTGACTTGTTCAGGTGTTGTCAACTCACTCACGGTCGAGTACGGCCGGTCTCCCGGGCAGAACCTCCAGCGCAAGATTCTCAGTAAGCCCTGCCTTTCATACTTGAGTCGCGCTGGTGACATGCTGACAAGTCGATAAGACGCCTTCAAGATCCAGTCGCACCTCATGTTCTACGACACGGCGCACAACTCCACCGCCACGGTGCTGCAGTCCTTGCACGGCGCGTTCTGCGAGACCGCGCGCAAGATGTGGGCATACATCCGCTGCCTGCCGCGGCACCAGCAGCCCGACGCAAACCTAATAATACGTACGTCGCCGTGTTCCACCTTGCAAGAAAGTCCAAGTCCCCTAACCGCCGCGGCAGGGACCATCACCAAGGTTGCCGACGTTGCCTTTCTTATCCTCTCGAGCAAGACTCGCAGGATGAGATACCCGCAGTACATTTGCGAAATCCGAAAGGGCCAGGTGACTGCGTATGCGCCATTCTACTCCGGATTTCTGCGAGATGTGATGTTTGCTGACATGGGTTTAGAACCGCGTATCTGGCATTTCGCGAGGTACTGGAAAGGAAACAGGCTGGATATGGCGAGGTCCTAGCGTGGCTGCGGAAGCAGAAGACAAGGGACTGGCTAGTGAGCAGCAGCGAAATCAGTGTGAGCCATTGAGTCTAGTTATACCAGCCGCTGGCTATATGAATTAGGGGTAGGACTTGTGATGCGAACTGTATCATCCGGTCCGTATCTAAACTCCGCCTGATGCCCTGGATGCACACCGAGTCTATCCGGAATCTAGAAATAACACCCTCTACAATGCGAATCCCGTGTCCCACCAATGCTTTCCAACGTGCCACTTGGGCAGCTGGTCCAAGTCCCATCGCCACCAGTGGTCCGAGGGATGGCCGTATCCCATCCAGCGCAGGGGAGATATCGGCACAGGCTCCAGCAGCCACAGCCCCGTCGAAGCAATGTCGTCGGTAAAGAGCCAGGCCGTGGCGTACATCCAGGCAGCGGTGAAGGCGACGTTCGCCACCCGGATCTGCGCGCGCGAGGGCTCAGGAAAGTACGACTTCGCCAGCCTGGCCAGCTTCTCCTGGGTGAGCATACCCACGCCCTGGAGCAGAAAGAAGGCAGGCGAGCGCCAGAGCTTGGTGGCGGGGATGGTGGTCATGCTCCCAAACGCGTGGAGGATGCCGGACTGCGCAAATGATATAAACATGGCGATGGCCTTGGACATCTCTGAGTCCTTTTTGAGGTAACCTTGCTGCAGCAGGTAGGAAGCCGGACCCATAAACTGTTGTCGGAATGTCTGATGCCACCATGCACCCCACCAGCCCGCCAGGCCACGATCGAGGACCTGGCTGAAGGATCCAAATGTCGTGCTGTGAAACCACAAAGCCGAGCGAGATGGGCACAGCACCTTGAGTGACCAATACTGCATCAAGTCGGCGAGGCTGAAGATGGCGCCGATGGCGCTCAGGAATCCGGCCAGGGAGAAGAGCTCCCTATAAAGCAATAGAAGCCACCAGGGTAAGCGAGTGAGATGCGCTGGCAGGTCGTGTGGGCGGTCGGGGCCGAGTATGAAGTATGGGTCCTTCATCATGAAGACGGAAAGGAAGTCGAGAATAAGATATAAAAAGGCTAACTTGAACAGCCGGTCACGCGTGAACGCTGCCTCTGAGACGTGCCTCTTATAGCCGGTGCCTGTGACGAGGGGCATGGCCTTTAAGTCGAGGGGCTCTCCTGATTGTACTACCGAAGGGATCTGTGGTCGAGGGATTGACGAAATCGAATGGTTCCAGCCTGGGGGGTGTGGTCAGCGTGAACTCCGCATGGGGACATGGGGATAGACGCACCAGACCCGCGGAAGCTGGATGCACAATCCCAGACCCAGCCGATGCGCTCCCAAAAGGGGCCATCTTCAGGGAACGTCTGCCACACGAATTCGCTGTTGCTGGGAGTCGCTTGCAGGTTGTCGTGCGAAGATGCGGACTCGCCGACTTTGCGTCTCCGCAAGCCATTCTGACCCGAAGCGTCCGCTTCGACAGTAGCAACAGCATTCCCATTTGCACTATGAGAAGCCTTGCCCGGGGATAGCACTCTCACTGCTCTCGCAGACACAAATTGCGGTCGCTTCCAGATGAGCAGGTCGATGCTGAGAATTATGCCCCACGCAGCGTGCAGTCCTGCCGCGTACGAGCAGGCCATGTTAGTGCTGGACATCTCGCGGGCCAGGCGCCAGTTGAAGACGGTAATGAAAGCCACGACGAGCCACCTCGTCTGGTAGAGCCATGGCCGCCGCGTGTGCGGGATCGCAAGCCACAGGATGAGGAGGACGGGGGCCCCGAGGAGGCTGTACGGCATCAACAGCGGTTTGGCCCGGCCGTCGGCGACTGCCTGCGTGAAAGCGGAGCGTAATGCATGGCGCACGGCATCATCGATGCGGACAGCCATGATGCCTCACGGTTGGGGGGGGCGCAACGGCTGCCGCGATGTGGGAAGCGAACGGCGAAGAGAGAAAAAAAAATGCAGCTTGATATTGCCGTCGCCAGCTTACACCTCTGCGTCAAGGGTCGGCGGGTACTTGGTAGCGTCAGCTGACAGACGGCATCACGGTGCCCTGTGCGGTTTCGAGACCCAAGTTGCCAAGCTGCCCGACTGATTCTTGTGCGGATTGTCGTACGAGTGAGTGGTGACCTAGGCTGTGAGACACGAACTGGCGGTCCATTCATGACGCGTGCAGGTGCGCCGCACGTTGAGCGGATATCGGTTGCTTGATTGAGCCGCTGTGGCTCGGGACGGCAGACGCTAAGGCGTTCTATGACGGCGGGTTGGCCAGGGCAGTGCCGACGGGCGACCAGGGGGTCACGAGCCGCTGCAGATCACAAGCCCGCCACTCCACCGGCTGGCAAATGGGCGGCTCACGCTATTTTGACCGTTGGTGTAAGTGGATGGCAGGCGGCTCTCGTGAAGTGGGAGAGCCACCGCGGCGTCGAAAGATGGGTGAGGCGGGATGACGGGAGCATACCCCCTCATATCGCTTATTCTCAACTTCTTACGTATAACAAAGGCGATGAAAAGCGTGACGGCCTCGTTTACGGATGAAGTCTTGCACAGCTCAGATGCATCAGATCAGATCAGATCAGGCAAGGCAGGCACGACCACGGCGAGGCAGGTCGCGTGATCGACGCCAGGGCAGGGGAGCAGGAGCGACACTGGGGGCATCTCGGCTTTTTCGAGCTTCAAGCGGAAGGAACGCCTCACCACCGACCTCACAGATATCGCAGGGGAGGCGTGGACCGCCTCGCAACTTCCACCCTGTGACACCTGACATGACCGAGCCCAGCCGACGCATCGATCAATCACTGCATCTCAAGCTACTGCTCTTCGCCCAAGGCAGCAAAAAAAGGAGAAAATCGCAAAAAAAGAAGTGGCTCAGCGCCAGTTCGAACGCCGGGATTTGCACCCAGGCTGCATCAACCTCGTCAGCGAGCGGCTTCGTAGCCCTTAACGACTGCGTAACTTACTCTCTTCCTTGGGAGGGAAGCGGGTTAAACTACTACCCCACGTCCGAGTTGGAAGGCACTGCCATTATTCTCGCTTAAGAGGCATGCGAGTCGAGTCGGTCAGTGAATCGATGTCCGGGATGGACGCAGGGCAGCCGTTTGCTCGTGGCTGGGGCGACGCGGCGACGCGGGAGGCTGCAGGTGGACGAGATGAAAGATGACAGGCCCGACGAGCTACCCTTGAGAGCCGCATGCTATCTGCGAGCAGGTCAGCCACGACGAAGCTGATACGCCGCTGGGGTACCGGGTTCGATGCATCAAAACGGCCTGGCTGCCTGAGGCTCACCTCTGAGGGCCCGTCGTCAGGGGCGTACCGACGCCGGTAGGAGGAACCGAACCCTTCTCTTGCTCAAGATCTCGACGGGAGCATCTTGCGCTCGGAACCATGCATCAGACGGTATGCCAAAGACTGGATGCGGCAGTCCGCCATGTTTTGACGCGGGGGTCCGAGTCTGCGTCAGAGCGAGCACACCAAGCTCACTCTCGAAGCGACAAACGTGCCTGGCTCTGGACCATCTTATCCTCGAAGCGTCGAATCGGCTATTCGCATTTGACGATGAGTGGCCAGGCAAGCCCGGCCAACCCATGTTGGGCCACGGCGCAAGGCCCGCCGACTCCACGATGCCCGGCGCGGCCCTCACTTCAGGGTCGCCGAAGTTCGGCAAGCTTTGGCTTGTTGGAACAACGAAGAAGTAAGATAGACACGACCTCGCGTCGGCGGACGGGAGGGGTCTAGCGTCGAGTGCTTCGGGCGACGAGATGTCCGTCCATCGGACATGTCGAAAACCCCGAGGATGACGACAACTCGGACACGGATGATTCACCTTGATTGACTGCTCATCCGCCAAGAGTCATTCGCGACTGGCCCAGGCCAAAGCTGCTCGTTGTCATCAGGCCCAGCGGCGTTGGCGATGCCGACACGCTGGAACTGACGATTCTTCACAAAGCCGGGCCGAGCGGGAAATGGAACCCTCGCGGCTCGAGCCAACGTGCTTGGAAATGCGAGGCCCCGAGCCCTTGGTTCTCGCCCAGTCCGGGGCCCCAAAACGTGCTCTCGCCGACCCCACCTGGATGATCCTACGCCGCACCTCAGCCCACCCATCCATCCCTCCACGGCGGCACGCCCTTGAGTGACTCGCCCAAACGCTGATTGTCAGGTGGGACTCGTGCTCCTTGGCTCCCAATCCGCCGCCGTCTCACAGGGCTGAGGGCAGTGGATGCTTACGAGTTGCGACTGACAAGGTTGGTCCCCTCTCGCTTTCGCGTCTTGACGTTGGGCTAGCACAGTCACTGGAAAGCTAACATGCTCCCTCTCCTGTTGCTAGCGTCGTCCTGCGGTCAAAGGTAGTGCTGACCCTGCATCCAAAGAGGTGTCGCTCACCTCGTCTGCCGGCAGCCTGCTTCTTTCATCCTCTGCAAATCCAATCCTCACCGAATGTTTCCCGCCTCGTGACCGATTGATCGAGGACGAGGTCGACTTGGATGTGACTTTGTTTCGTCGCGTTCGGACCCTTTCTGGCCGCCCCGGAGACTTTTCTCGGCTGTCTGGCCGCGCCGACCTCGAACACAAACACTCGTGTTCCGCACTCACGGCGCCGGCCTGCGTCCGTTCCGCGTGTAATATCGCCCGCAGCAATCGCCGGTCCTTTCGTCATGGCATCCGAAACCATCAAGAGCTCTCCGTCGAGCAGCGCGCCGAAGCACCGGGCCTGTGACGAGTGCCGTAAGTAACGCTGTCTTAAATCCGGGTCCTCCGCCGCCCCTCTCGGAGACTTTTTGCTCATGGACGCGTGCAGGAGCCCGAAAACTCGCCTGCTCCAAGGAGCCGGACGGGTGTGCCAGATGCAAAAGAGAGGGCATCCAGTGCCACTATTCGCCCCAGAAGCCCATGGGTCGCCCGCGGAAACGTCGACATGTCGAGGATTCAGAGTCGGATGTCGTCGCTCAGCCGGCCAAGGCGCCCGTCGCCAACGGAGATGCTCTCGTTACGCCGCCGCAATTTACTGGCTTCGATGCGCCAACGGGACTTTCGTTGAATCCTAGTATGGACTTTATGGTTCCCCAATCTGCGACGTCTGACTTGGCGTTTCTTGACTTATTGCCGACCAACTACGGGGACGACGTCGACGACGGCTTGTATGGCCTCAACCCATACGCGCAATCGCAAGCACCCGGCCAAGATGCTCTGCCTCTCAACAGCTCGACGCTCCACATGCAATGCGCCACAGGAGACCTGTTTCAGGGGATCAATTTCGACGAGCCCGATCCCACGGACACGGGAGTGTCCAAGGACATCAGCGACTCGTTGCAGCGCTTCATGGAGTCTCAGTGGCCGTCGCCCCCAGAAGATACGCCCCAGTCATGCCCGAGCGACATGTCGAGTGTGGTAGAATCACCCGATCTTCCCCCCGACACACCGATTCCACCCATCAGGGCGATGCCGAGCACCACTTGCGGCTGTTTGTCCTCACTGTACCTCGCGCTGGAGTCGCTTTCCCACTTGCCTCCCGACGTCACCACAGCCATGCGCGTGGCCAGAGGCGCGTGCAAAGTAGCGCAGGAAGTTATCGACTGCCGACAGTGCTCCAACGCCTTCTTCGACGACCCTCTGAAGCCGCCGCCGATTCAGGCCTTTCAGAACCTAATGTGTCTCGGCGCGCTCGTGCCGTCGGCCTGCAACGCCTACGCGTCGATCCTGGAGATGGTCGACAACGAGACTGCCCTGGCCAAGAAGGAGAGCCGGACCATTTACTTTTCGTTCAAGGAAGTCGGAGGGCTCTGGGGAAATGTCGTCAACGAGCATAGCAGCTGCTCCGCCATCCAAGGCCTCAACAATAGCTTTCTGGCCCCAGACGTATGGCGGACGACCATCCGGGCGATTTTGAAGCTGGACATTTACGGCGTGGGCGGATCTCAGGGCGGCCCGGCGCACGCGCCGAGACGACAAAAGGGCTTGAAGGACGTGCTAGCACAGCTAGACGAGACGTCAAGGAGGCGGCACGAGATCATGGACGAAATCGTCGCGTCCGGGCAGGCGCCCACCAACGCCCGATACATCATGAGCCACATGACGCAACCGCCCTGCCCGCCAGAACAGAGGAACTGCGTGAGGATCTTGGAGACGGCGAGGATTGCCCTGGAGAGCCTTGCCATTACGTGAGGGGGCCCGGTCGCGTTTGCGCTGAGAGAGACGATGCTATGACCAAAAGATGAATTGACGCAAACTCGATGGCTGCCGGTGCTTGGATCACAGTGAGGGGGGTGGATCTGGGACAGGCTTTGCTGGAGTCTAGGGGACTGGAGAATTAACAAGTTGCTTCGCAGGAAGTCGGCGGCGTTGGGTCGGTAAACTCTCTACTATACATGGTGCTTCTATGCCCACCTGGGTTCTGGGGATGGCCCGAATCAATGGGGACTGTTCCGGTAGCGGCGTTGAGCGTCTTGCACGGGATGTCTTTCATGTGGCTGCCGGTGGTGATCTTCCACCGTGCAGTTGCAGTTGTGCTTAAAACTAGGTATATAGTAGGCAAATACTACTACGTACTACGTATGAAGTCGCCATATGAGCGACAAGCGCCTGTGGCGAGGTTACGAGAGACTCCCCTTCCCAATGCAATGATGATGATCCAAATCCAAATCCACATCCAAATCCAAATCCAGAAAACCAGAAATGCCCAGGTAGACGCCGTGCTTGTGCAATGCCCGTCCCTCACCTTGCGGGGACTGATGAAAAATCAAGATGGTATGCTTCTTTCGGAAAGAACGTGAAGAGGTACGCCACGCGAAATAGCGCTCGGTGGCGACGTGACAGATGGGTTATAGATGGATAGGTGCGGCGGTTGACAGATGGCTTAGTCCTCATCCTCCATCATGCCCAGGACGTCGAGCTCCGTCTTGACGATGCGCTCAAACTCGTCGCGGTCGATGCCCGAGGCGCGGGACAGCATGTACAGGCTCCTGATGCTGCGGGAGACGTGCTGCTTGACGCCGAACTCGCTAGCCTCGCGCTTTCCAGCCGTCTCCTCGAGGCGGGCGACTGTGTGCGAGCCGTTGGAGCTGGCGCTCGAGTCCGGACGCGGGTGGAGGAGCTCGGCGGCGGCGACGGACTCGGGCTCATCCGCCGGGTTGCTGGGCAGCAGGCCCGAGCGCTGGGCAGGCTCACTGGGCCGCGGGTGCGCGAGGATGCTGCCGTTGCCGTTGCCGCCTGAGACCGCGTTACTCAGGCCGAGGGAGGGCATGACGTGGGCGGCGGCAGCCTCCTCGTCGGGATCGTGGTTGTCCATGGCGGGTTGGACCTGGTCGTACTGCGCAAAGTATTCGTCTTCTGCGGAGGCTGAGCGGTAGGGGTCGGACAGCGCCCCGGCGTGATGAGACGTGGAAGAGGTACCGGCCGCGCCTGGAGCCGGCGAGCGCTTGTCCCCGGCTGGAGTGCGAGCCGGTGTGGCATCGTACCGGCCCCAATAATCGTCGTCGTCATCTTCATCTTCGTCGGCAACATATTGGGTTCGGCTGGTGCCACCATTGAGCTGGATCGTGGCAGTCTTGCCCTCCCTGAACTGCCTCTCCGCCTCGGCGATGGACGAGGTCCCTCCAAAGTCGGAAAAGGGCGAGGGCTTGTCCGCCACGGTGACCTCGCCGACCTTCCAGCCGTCGCCGCCCCCTTCTTGGTCATTGACGCAATACACCAGGCGGAAGGCGATTCCGAGCTCCGTCAGGGCGACGAGGGCCTGGAGCGTCTCTTGGTCTACGCGGCGGAAGCGCGTCTCGGCGTCGTAGTCCCAGTCGACCTCGACCTCGCCTGATACCGGGTGAGGCTCAAGGCTCGGGCTGCGGACGAGCTCGGCGAGGCGAGCGGCTTTGGAGGTGTCGTAGCAGAGCAGCCGCAACCAGGGCTCTGCGGAAGAGGAGATGGGTGACGAGGCGAGGAGCTGGACGCGCTGGCGGAGGATGGGCGACAGCAACGGCAGAACCTTGGTGGCGGGCTGAGTGGAAGCGGCCGCAGCAGGCAGAGCCGGGAGGAGAGGCGTGAGCAGGCTGCTGAGGTCTGGCGCTGGCAGCGTGGCCGCCATCGTGGCGGTAGTTGTGGTAGTGGTAGTGGTTGTGGTTGTCATGTTGATGATGAGTGAGGTGTGGTGGCGAGGCGCCCTGGTCGGGGCGGGAGGCGAAGGGGGTTTTAAGGATTCGGGGCTCGTTGCACGAAAGGCATTCACGAGACTGCTTCTGAAGTTCCGTATTCTGTTTTCACATGCTTCGCCGGGACAGTAAGCTTAAAGACGCGGTGGGCGCGCCCGGGGCGCACGACGGACTGAAGCGTGGAGATTTTTTGGGCGTGCGCGGACGAAGAGTTGGCAGCGGCGACGCCACGTGAGTCAAGTGGAAGGTTTGTGAGAAAGAAGTTTCGACAAAGAGATAGAGTGATGACGAGAGGAGGAGGCAAGAAACGAGGTAGCAATGGGAGGGCGAGGGCGTGGTAGAAAAGAAAGGCAGCACAGGCAAAAAAAGGCACCAGCCAGCCAGCCAGCATCAAATCTCCGTCAAGTGACGCGGGCGGGCGCCGGTGGTGGTGGAGGATGGAGCTCCGTCACCCCCCTCCATCCCCCATCCCGTGCCCCGAGACGCACGGCGACGACGAGAGCCGCAGCGGCCAATGGCAGGGCGCGAGAATAGCGATGCGCCGGCGCCAATTGTCCAGGAGGCGCTCGGGGCAAAGGAAGCTTGCCCGCACAGGGACAGGCGGGCGCCGGCGACGGAGGGCATGGCATGGGGCTGTCTCTTATACACATCTAGATGTGTATAAGAGACGGAGGGTGGAGGGTGGAGGGAGGGGGCCGCTATCTCGGTGGCAGGTGAGCGATTCCAGGCTGGCGCACATGCAGCTGCAGCACTGGGCCTATTCACGGCACTGCAAACCTGGAAGAACCACCTGCCTGCTGCGCTGCAGGCCTGGGCCACACCTGCCCGTGACCTAGGTACCTAACCGGCTGCGCGTGCGTGCGCTGTGGATTCGCTGGAGCTCCGAGGTTGCAGCGCGGGGACCGCGCCATGGCTGCTGGACCCGGCCGCCTCACCTAACATTAACATGTCGTGACTTGAATTGTCCTTCTTTGAAGCGCGCTGCAGCTGGGAACAGCCAACAGCGAGCGCAGGTCCTCTTCCGAGATTTCAATGCGTCCAGTGGCTTCTCATCGGGGCGCCCTGGACGCCCGCGAGCTGGTGCGCGTCGAGATGCCCAGCGGGTCGGGCGAGGTGCCGCCGATGGGTACGGGCTCCATCCGATCCACGGAGAGATCCACGCAGGGTCGGGTGCCCTGACAGGACAGGCAAACAGGGCAGTTGCACTGAGATTTCTCAATGAACGCTGGTGGTGACGAGATGGATGGTGGGGGTCTTTTGGGGGAAACTTGGGGGGCAGCAAGCCCCAGAGGCCCCCCCAACCTGCAGCCTGTACTGGCCGGGATGCCAGGGGTTGGCTGCCATTGCGGCCAGTGGACAAGTGTCAGTCAGTCAGCGCCGCACCGATGTTCGCCCACCCACCCGCCTATTGTTCCATCGCAGCGTCTCGAGGCAGGGCATCGCATCGCATCACGAGGCAGATGCAACCTGGCACGGGCGGGAGGACGGCGGGGCCGAGACCGCCGAGACGCAATCTGCTACTTGTAGGTATACGGCCGGGGACCCCGACGGGGACGGATCTCGGCGCCATTTTCAGTCTTCACCTTTTTTCCCTTGTTCCAATTCTCTCGGGTCTTTTGCACGTGTCGCGCTGTCCGGTCTGCGGTGAGTGCCCGGCCTGGTCAGTGGAGATTCCTCAACTCAAGCAATGCCCTGGGGGACATGCCCGATGCCAGCCAGCGGTGCCTGTGCCAGCCCGGTCGTCACTGGAGCTGGAGAGGCAGAGCCGGCCGCCGCTGCTCGGCCGCCGCAAACCGCCATATGCCGTCACCAACTCGTCACGGGGCAGGGCCCCCGGGCCGCAACTGCCAGTTCCTTGCCTTATTACCGTGCTTGCTCCACACAGCCCCAGCGCCACCCTCCGAGTACCTGTAGAGCCGTTATCGACAAGCCGCCGGAGCAGGATTTCCTCCATCATCATCTTCAATGTCCAACCAACTCAACGCCCTCAGCCCCTCGTGCATACCAAAGACGCAGGCAACAAAGCCGCTCAGCATTCCAGTGCCGCCAAACAATCACAACGAATCATTACACGTTTCGTGCTCACCCGTCCGTCCTCCAAGATAAAACGGAGTGACAGCCCTTATCCTACAACCTTACCCCGGCCTCGACATCCTCCGCCGACTACCGACCGCTGACCACCGCCGATCGACGGAGAACCACCATCCGCCACCTCGCATTTCCCGACTGCAACACCGCAACCTGCTCGCATATCGCATACGCCCCTCGGTCGCATAAAAGCGCATCAGCACCGTCGCCTGGTGGCAAGATTGCGGGTCCGTCTGCCTCCGGCTCTGAGTCCTGCGCAACCGCGCATGCGCGAGCCCCCGGCCGCCGCTGGCGAGCTGCATGTCGGCACGACAAGGTCGCCTCAAAGATGAGGTGCGCTGCATACGGCATTCCCTCTCGTTGTTCTGCGCTGACACTTTCCAGGGTACCAAGCTCCAGGTCGTCTCGGCCGGCGCCGTAGCCGGCTTGGTATCTCGGTACGCCGCCCCGTGTTCTGTCTCGCTTGACATAGCTAACCTGGCACCTGTAGATTCGTCATCGCGCCCCTAGACGTCGTCAAGATCCGCCTCCAGCTCCAACCATATTCCCTATCCGACCCGCTCCTACCCTTACGCGACGCCCCGGCCTATCGGGGCACCTTCGCCACCCTCAAGCACATCATCAGTCATGAGGGCTTCACTGCGTTGTGGAAAGGCAACGTCCCCGCCGAGATGATGTATGTTTGCTACACCGCCGTCCAGTTTACCACGTACCGTTCGGCGACACTCTTCCTCCAAACTGCCCTGCCTACACGCCTCCCGGACGCCGCCGAGAGCTTCATCGCGGGTGCGGCCTCGGGCGCCGCGGCCACCACCGCGACATACCCTCTCGACCTTTTGCGGACACGCTTCGCCGCACAAGGCCGGCGGCGGATCTATGGGTCACTGCGGGCGGCCACGTGGAACATTTATCGAGACGAGGGGTTCCGAGGCTTCTACCGCGGCCTGGCCCCCGCTGTGGGCCAGATAATACCGTTCATGGGCATCTTCTTCGTCACGTACGAGGGTCTTCGGGTGCGGCTCGCCGACTATCACATGCCTTGGGGGAGCGGCGATGCCACTGCCGGCATCGTGGGCAGCGTCATCGCCAAGACGGCCGTCTTCCCGCTCGACCTGGTACGGAAGCGCATCCAGGTCCAGGGTCCTACGCGACGCCACTACGTCTACAACGACATTCCTGAGTATACCACGGCGCTGCGCGCAATCAGAACGATTGCGCAGACGGAGGGCTTCAGGGGACTGTACAAGGGGTTGCCCATCAGCCTCATCAAGACGGCGCCTGTTAGCGCCATCACACTGTGGACGTACGAGCGCACCCTGAAGTTCATGATCAACTTTGATTCGCGCCGTGAGACGCTACCATTATAGACGGGTCTATTGGAGTTTTGATATCTTTATAGGGCGCTGGCGGCCGGCAAGTCTAGATTTTGGTAGATCCCCCACGGCTAATTAATGACAATTCTTTTTGGTCTCCTGGCCACGCTTTCTATTGCTTCAGGCCCTCGTTGACGGTGTCGGCGCGCTGGATGCACTCCTCGATGACCTTCCAGAACTTGGCGACGTCCATGCCGCGCGGTATGCGCACGCCCTCGGACCCCGGCGGTAGCGGCGTGGCGATGGTGCGCCCCGTCTGCTTGAGGCCCAGCTTGGCCTCCTCGAAGGTACCCTCGGTGACGACACGGACGTCGAAGCGCTCGGCGTGCCGCGGCGGGGTGCTCTTCCCCTCCTCCCACTCGGTAAAGGGGATCTCGTCGTCGGTGCCGGTGAGGACGGCGGCGACGGCGATGGGGTCGTGAAGCGGCGGGCCTTCGGTGATGCCGAATACGTCTCTGCGTGATGTGAGCAAGGGATGTCTCTCGCAACGGTGGCCTCGGTTCGCCATGCGAGGGGGAGCAGGTAAGTAGGTAGGTAGGTGGTAACTTACGAGTATGTCTTTGCGAAAAAGTAGAGCAGCTCGACGAGCATGGTGCGCAGCGTCGACTTGCCGGGGGCCGGGGCGGGGCCGGCGCCCGGCTCCGTGGCCACGCCGCTGCCGGGAGCGGCCTTGTCCCCGTAGAGGAGAAGGCGGTGGACGTCGTCCGTGGCGAGGACCTGGTGGCTCAGGTCGAGGGGCACGACGGTCGTCTTGCTCGCAATGGCCGGGTTGTGGAACACGTCGGCAGCAGCCTCCGGGTCGACGAGGATGTTGAACTCGGCCCAGGGGGTAACATTGCCGATGCGCTCCGCGTTGTCGACCTTGCCCATGGGCGCGTCGGAGAAGCCCCCGCCGAAGGAGCCGCCCATGAGGCTCAGGCCGCGGATGTGCGCGGCGAGGTCCGGGTGCGCGCGGAAGAGGGCCCCGACGTTGGTGAGGGCGCCGGTGGCGACGATCCAGGCGGTGCCGGGGGGCTGGAGGCGCAGCGCGGTGGCCATGGCGTCGACGGCGGGGACGGGCGACGGGGAGCAGCGCGGCGGGGGGAGCAGCTCGGTGCCGTCGAGGCCCGAGTCGCCGTGGATGTCGGTCGGGGCGTGCAGCGCGGGGCGCTCGAGGGCCTTGCCGAGGCCGACGTGCAGGGGGATGTCGAGGTGCTTGCCGAGGGCTGTGAGGACGGAGGCGGCGTTGTGCGTGGTGTGTCTGCCATCCCGTGTCAGTCACTCTTCTAAACCCCGAGACTGCGCATCACCATCGACGCAAAGAAGAGGAAGAGGACTCACTCTAACGAGGCATTGCCAAAGACTGTGGAGATGCCGAGCAGCTTGATGCGCGGGTGGTATGCCGCGAGGAGGATGGCGAAGACGTCCTGTGGAAACGCACAAGCGCGAAGATGTCAGCGAACTGCAACGTAGAAGGAAGCGATGGAAGAGGCATGTGGAAATAGACAACGTGGATGAGGTACAGGATCAAAGGGAGAAGGGTACGTATGTATGCAACGGTCGCGGCAGCACGGGATGGATGGGGGAGGTTCAAGAGGGCAACGGTAACGGTAACGACAACGGCAACGACAACGGCACGCCAACGTACATCGTGACCCGGATCGCAGTCCAGCCACACGGGGATCTGCGAGATGGTCATGGCTGCTTTCCCCTCGCTCGACTTTCAAGTCCCGCTTGACCCTCTCTCGCTTCTCTCTTTTTTTTTCTTGTGACCAAGTCCAACACAGACAGAGAGACACAGCCCAAGGGGAATGTCTCAGTCTATCAGCTAGGCAAACGGCGCGAACGAGTAGCCACTACACGTCCACGGAATACGGGTTCTGATCTTGGGGAGCAACAGGGTTAGTTGTCTCTCTTGGGGAGCAGAAGCCGTCGTCTTTGTCGGGAGGGACGTTCGCGTCCTTAAGTAGGTGGTCTCGGGAGGAGCGCGCACCCGCAATTGTCGGGTAGGAGGTGGGTGAATGAGTGAATGGAGCTTGATGTGTGATGGGATGGGAGTCAGGGACAGGAACTATGGAATGGAAGAGCCGCCCGCCCGCACGTTTTGAGGTGGGTTTGCCGCCCCGCCATGGATGATGGAGCGAGCGCGGTTTCGCTCCCAAGAGGTCTGGTGACGACGGGACTCCGCCCGCCCAACCCAAACAGCGTGAATGGGTCCCTGCCCCCCCTGGGGCCTCCGGCGTCCGGAGGCTCGGCAGGGCGCGGGGTGTGAGGTGGATGGACCGAACGTTAGGCGCTGGTGGTCGCCCCTGGCCCCCCTGGAAGCCACTTGGAAGCCACCTGGAAGCCATGGCGGCCAGCAGGGGTAGGCGGTCAGCAAACACCTGTGGGCATCTCCATAAGACTCCCGTCAGCGGAAAACCCGCCCCGTTGTGGAACAGCCCCTCGGCCAAGCATGCCTGGAGAAACCGTGACAAACCGTTTCGCTTGCTTCCCATGTGGAAATCGTGCCTACGGCACTGTACTATTCGAGCATCACATGACGCCTACCAAAGCAAATGCCCGCCCAACACCTCCAACGCCCCCGGAGTTGGCCGATGCACAATATATCCCGGCGCTAAACATTCCCGATCCGGCCTGCCGTCGTCTGGGGACCCCGCGACGGGGTTGCCTTCCAACGTTCCTTTATCCACGGCTCTGTCCCCAAGCCCATATCCATCCCCATCCCCATCGGCATCGCCATCCCTCCCGTCACTTCTTGCGCTGCTCCATGATCCGCAGCACGTCCGCCGCGCTGTTGGCGTCACCCTTGCGCTTCTTGGGCCCCCTCTTGCGCTTCTGCCCGCCCCTCGCTTGCCCCTCGCCCCCGTCCCCGCCGTCGTCGCCACCCCACGTTGAGAGCTTCACCTTGTCGTCATCAAAGTCCTCCTCATCCTCGTATCGGCTCGTGCCGAAGCCCATGTCGAGGTCCTCGTCGTCTCGCGCGCTGCTCTGAAGGAGCCGCTTGCGCCGCTCCTCCATCGCCCGCGCCGCCTCCTTGGCCTTGGCGTCCTCCTCGGCCTCGATCGGCCGCAGCGCCGCCGCCCTCTTGATGGCCGCCATCATCTCCGCGTCCGACATGGACGGGCCCTTGGCCGCCTGTTGGGAGAGAAGACCCGTCTTGGAGTCCTTGAAGTAGTTGCGAGGTGCAGCGGGTCCGGCAGGTTCGGGCGGAGGCGGCATCATGGCTGCGTCGGTAGACTTGGGTGGTTTGTCTGCCGGCTCCTTCTTCGGCTTCTCTTCGTCCGAGCCGCTCGAGTCCGAGTCGGACTCGTCCATGCCCGCCAGCGGGTCGTAGTCGTCGCCCACGCCAGCAAAGATGTCAAAGTCCTTGTCTTCCTCTGGCACCTCCCTCTTTCTGAACTCCTCTGGCACTTCCATACCCAGTGGCTTGGCCGTGGGGTCCGGCATCGAGAGGTCCTGCTTCGGCTCGGCAGGTTCCTCGTCTTCCACCGCCTGGAGCTTGCGCACCTTTCTCTTCTCGTTGCCGTCCTCGTCGACAATGATGAGCACTTCCCGCCCTTTGGCGTCCCGCTCTATCCGCGTCCCTGGCTTCTGCTTGACGCCGCCAATCTTCTTGAACTTGCTTCCCAGTGATGACTGTTGTTGCGCCTTGGCAGCCTCTCTCGCCGCCTTGAGCTCCGCCAGGATCTGGTTCCGTGATCGCTTCTTGCCCGGCTCGACTGCGACCGTGGAAAACTGCCCCTTCTTCTGTGTCTTTTCGCGTTCGATGGCGTGCACTTCTTGGTGCTCGAGGTCATTGAACGCCTCGTCGATGTCGTCCTCAGCAGGCTCTTCGTCCTCGGCCGGCTCGTTCTTGGGCTTGTTCCCGTAGACATCCTCGCCTCGCCGTATCCTTTCTAGTAGCTTAAAGTCGAGGCCCTTGACGAGATGCGTGCTGTCTAGGCTTCCTCCCGCAATGTCGAACCGGCGCTTGTCGTACGTCTCTCGGTCGATCTCGCCGCTCTTGAGGGCCTGATCCAGTGCTTTCAGGCGCTCCTCTCGGTCGTCCTCGGCTTCGTCTTGTCGCTGCTGCGCGCGGTCGACGTATCCGGCAGCGAGCTTTGAACCCTTTGGCACAGATGTCTTGTGCTTCTTTTGGGGTCGCAGAGCCTGGTTACGTTCTGCCATTTGCCGCGCAAAGTCGGCCTGGGCGTTTCCTACCGAGCGTCTACACGTAGCGCATTAGCATCACCCGGCAGACGCACCTGGGATAAGGTGAAGACACTTACGGTGTCATGGGCACAAAGGCCCGTTGCCGTGACCCGAGAGCTGCGCCGCTGCTGTTGCTGGCGCCCGCGGACGGGGGAGACGGTCCATTCTTGGAGCCCGAGGGCGACGCCCCGTTGGCGGCAATCAGCTTGCGGAACTGCTCGTTGTTCATGGCGGCGCGGGCGACGCAACGCCCATGGTCTTTTGGCCTGTTGTCTGCCAGAGTCCGGCGTTGGAGGTTGTTGCGAAACGGGCAGCCTTGTCGTCGAGGCTGCGGGTGCGGTGTTGCACCTGTGGCGCGTGCAGGTGGTGGCCGTGCAGCCTGCAGAGCAAGCAAAAAGTCACGAGATGACGTGTGAAAGGCGCGACGGCCCGTGCTCCACTTTACGCGGTCGGCGTTGCGATCGATGTCTTGCCACCACTTCATCCATTCACCACGCCGTCGGCATCGACTTGTGGTCCTGTTTTGAATCGCACGCTGATCACTTATTTTGAGTTTTTGGAACAGGACACAGACCGATAATCCGCGGCGATGTTTCATGTCGCTACGGTCTCGCGCACATGACATAGGCTTCATGCCCGCATATCTTGTCCGAGGTCATCTTAGCGGCTGCGCCGTCGTTCACCATGGGGAGCGTCTTGGATAAAAACTCCTCCTTGGTGAGGAAGCGCATCGAAGGGCATACCTTTGACGGCGAGGATGGGGAAGAGTACGAGGGCAGCGAGTTCCATGGCTTCGGCGACTACTTCCGGCGCAAGAAGATCAAGCTCCAGAACCTCGACGCTGACATGCGCGCCTCGTCCGACAAGCCGCAGATCTTCAAGGGAATCGTCGCTCATGTCACGGGCTACACGCAGCCGCCACTTCATGTGTAAGCGCCTCTTCATCCGGTCCCCTCCTTCGCTCCCTTGCTGACTAGACAGACTGCATCGCGAAATCGTTCAGCACGGAGGCGGCTTCCTCCAGTACCTTGACTCAAAGACCATGGCCACTCACATCATCGCATCAACTCTCCCTCCCAAGAAGTCTGTCGACTTTAACCGCTACCGGATCGTCAAGCCGGCGTGGATCATGGACTCGGTGCAGGCCGGCAAGGTGCTTCCCTGGGCAGAGTATCGCGTTCTCGACGAGGGCCCTCGCCAAAAGGTGCTCAAGTTCGGTGAGGGTCAAGGCTTGTCTCAGGCGACCCCTGGCGCGCGGAAAGGCTACCGCGAGCAGACGGACAACAGCTTCTACACCAGCCAGATGAAAGCCCGGGCGGCGTCCGGGCCATCGTTGCCGAGCCAAGACATGACCCAGTTGGCGGAGAAGTTGCAGAGCCCGGGACAGCCCGAAAATAGTCGAAATCTGCCAGACCTGCAGAGCAGACGCGACTTTAGCATTGGAAGTACCGCCACCGACACACCCAAACTCTCTCTTGTTTCCGGCGAGGCGACGGCTTCTATGGAAGCCCCGTCGATGGATGAATCTCTCCCAGACGCCGAGTCCGATTCGATAAAGGCAGCACTCCCCGATGATGGACCTCAGCAGGCACCAAAGAATATGACTTCAGAGGAGCACAACGCATGGCTGCTCTCTGATCCACGGTTACGGAAATCTTCAACGGCAAACCCCGAGTTCCTCAAGCAGTTCTACTCGGAAAGCCGGCTACATCACTTGTCAACCTGGAAGGCGAGCCTCAAGTCATCGATGCAACGGCTGGCGGCCGAAAAGGGCCTGTCGCAAAAGAAAATAAGGAAGCGACCCGGTGCCAGGTCATACATTATGCACGTTGATTTTGACAGCTTCTTTTGTGCCGTGTCTCTGAAGAAGCATCCAGAGTTTGCCGACAAGCCAACGGCCATTGCCCACGGAACCGGGCCGGGGTCGGAAATCGCAAGCTGCAACTATCCTGCGCGAGAATTCGGCATCAAGAACGGCATGTGGATGAAGCGCGCCCTCGAGCTATGTCCAGACATCAAGGTGCTACCTTACGATTTTCCTGCCTACGAAGATGCCAGTCGACTCTTTTACGAGTCCATCATGACAGTGGGTGGCGTTGTGCAGAGTGTCAGCATTGACGAGGCTCTCATCGACGCCACTGCGGTTGTCCTCAACACTTCTGCGTCTCAGGGTATCGGAATCGACGAAGGTAGCATGTGGAGAGAACAGGAGAAGGCAGACGAAATCGCCCACAGTCTGCGTGAGAAAATCAAGGCCAAAACGGGGTGCGAAGTATCCGTCGGAATCGGCAGCAACATACTTCAAGCCAAGGTTGCGCTGCGCAGGGCAAAGCCAGCAGGACAGTATCAACTGAAACCCGAGGATGTTCTCAACGTCATCGGCGAGCTCACTGTTGAGAATCTCCCTGGCGTCTCGTACAGCACTGGCGGGAAGCTGGAGGAGCTAGGCGTCAAGTTCGTCAAGGACATCCGTGAGGTGTCTAGGGAGCGGCTCACCTCGGCGCTCGGGCCCAAGACTGGAGAGAAGCTGGCAGAGTATGCCCGCGGCATTGATCGCTCTGAGGTCGGCGAACAGCCGCCTCGCAAGTCAGTTTCCGCGGAGGTCAACTGGGGGATCCGTTTCATCAGTCAGCCTGAGGCTGAAGAGTTTGTGTACAACCTCTGCAAAGAGCTCGAAAAGCGGTTGTTGGCCGAGCAAGTCAAGGGGAAGCATCTCACCATGAAAATCATGAGGCGATCTCTTGACGCGCCACTCGACCCCGCAAAGCATTTGGGCCATGGCAGGTGCGATACCTTCAACAAGAGCTCGACGTTTGGCGTCGCAACGCACAGCTACGAGGTCATTGGCAAAGAGGCCGTGTCTATCCTTCGTTCATTCAAGTTCAGCCCCGGGGATCTACGAGGACTCGGCGTCCAAATGACGAAGCTCGAGCCGATCAAGCCAAGCGCTGGGGCTGAGGGGAGTCAGAAGACTCTGCAGTTTGGAGCGTTCGCAGGGCCTTCTCCGGCGAAGAAACATGCGCCGATGGAGCAAATCGATGAATCAGAGAGTCCGCAGAAACGAGGCTCTGAGCGTCGGGGGGTCGACGACGACCCGATCACGGAGGATCCGCTGACGCCTCGGAAACTCAAAGTTCACCCAGCGATGGCTCTTTCGAGGGCAAGCGCGGGTGATGCCAAGGCCAACACGCCTCTCAACGTGTCGGGAACCCAGTTCATAATCCCGAGCAACGCCGACCCGGCCGTCCTGGCTGAGCTACCGAGCGATATCAGGAGCAAATTGATGGCCCAGCGCTCGAAGGGAAGCGCCAGTCGAGCCGACTCTGGTTCTGCTAGTCCACAAGGGGACGCCCTTATACCCTCCCAGGTCGATGCGGAGGTGTTCAATGCGTTACCGGATGACATGAAGGCCGAAATCCTGGCGACGTACGGGCGACGGCCGGCTACGCCGTCTCGGGCACAGTCACCGAGGAAAGACGTCCTCGCGCAGCCACGCAAGCAGACCACTCCATCGAAGCGTGGCGGTATCCGTGGCTTGTTTGGCAAGGCTCAGCGGCAGAGAGATGCGCAGGCCGGCGTGATTCAGACGAGCTTCAAGCCGCTTAAACGCGGCGATGAGACTCCGACTGAAGGGGAGATTGAGGAGCTGGATCCCGACTTTCTCGCCGAGCTGCCCGAAGACGTGCGCAAAGAAGTCATCGACGACCACAGGCGCCGGCGATTGGCACAGCGGTCCGGACTGAATGCGCCTTCACGGAGACATCATGGTATCGACACTGAGGCCGCCCTGCCTGGCGGACAGAGGCGGATTCAGTTCCCAGCGCCTCCGCCAAAAGTCTCGTTCGCCAGCTCGGGGGTCACCTCGACAAGGGAGATCAAAGACATGCTAGATGCCTGGCACGACGAGACTCGGAGCGACGGGCCGCACAGTGGAGACGTGGAGGTGTTTGAGAAGTATCTGACCAGAGTGGTGCTGGAGGAGCGGGACTTGGAAAAGGTGGTGGTGCTAATGAGATGGCTGGCGCTGATTGTCGAGCAAGACGGGCAGAGCGGACGAGGCCTGGAGGAGTGGAGGAGGGCCCGGGACCAGGTGGAGGAAGCGGTGCAGGCGGCTGTGAAGCAGAGAGGACTGGCGCCTCTGAGATTTGACTGATGACGACTTATGAGATGATACCACTGCAGGGGATTGTTGGGATAGACTTGGGCTGTGCAAAGCGTTGAATTAATAAAGACAAGTCTATGTTATGTTACTGTTTGTGCCGCTCGCTGTCTGTCTGCATCAGATGCCGTGTGTGCTTCCATTCGTACATGCTCCTCCATGTGTGTCCGCCCCAACTACCCAGCTACTATGGTCATAAGGCCACGGCCAATGCGGCCCCAACGCAGGCAAGCAGAGCCGAGCCGGTGGTGAGCCTCCCCGCCGAGCTGGACAGGCGGTACACGGACAGCTTGAGAGACGCGCCGCAGGCGGTGGTGTTGTCGCCCTCGCAGGGGAAGTTGCACTGCTTGTCGTCGAGCTTCTCCGAGATGCCGGCGATGCTCTGCGCGCACCAGCACTCCCTGCGTTACCGCCCGGGTCAGTCAATTAGATCAGACAACTCAGGGCAGATGTTCCCTTGGCCTCCCTCAACGGATGAACGGGGAGAGACATGAGGCTGATGCTCAGACGGGCAGGCAGGCAGGCAGGCAGGCAGACAGGCAGGCAGGCAGTAAATAAGACAGTGAGAGAAAACGCACCTCGCCCACTCGAGCCCCGCGTAGCGGTACTGGGTGTCGCCGTTGGAGCAAAAGGCCAGGCACATGGGCACCGTCATCTCGCCGCGCTTGACCTCGTTGATGCCGCCGCCGAGGGCGCGCGTGTGGTCGGAGCCGGGGATCTCGGTCGTCTCGTTGTAGCAGCCGTGGTACGCGTACTTTTTGGAGTCGTTGTATATGGTGAGCTGGGAGGAAGGGTCCTGCGCGGCGGTCGTCGCGGTCAGGCTCATCAGGAGCACCGCCAGCACCAGCAGCAGCGGCCGCAGCGCTGTGAGCCGAAGCGTGAGCGCCATTGTTGGCGCGATGACGAGCCCGCGCCTTCAGGGCTTGCTTGAAGAGGGGGATCGTCGTCGAGAATGTGAGGATGAGCGTGAAGGGGCCCCCGGAGATGGCACGGCCGCGATGAGGCTCGACGCGGAAGGTCACAGCACTGCTACGACGCCGGGAATCGTGTGTTTTTTTCTGATTACCTTGGTTTGCCGGCCACCCTCCGATGACACCCCCTGAAAATAGGCACGCCCAAATGCGATAACGCGTGAGCTGAATTTTTGGTGTTGCCCGCCGCCGTTCCCCCCGTTCCCCGCCAAGCCCCAAACAGAGCCTGGCGTGATGCCGCAGCTTTAGGGGCGATTGTGAGCTGTACCTGGCCCGGGCTAGGGACACTGAGGAGCCTTTGCTGCGACAGAGTGCGTGTCACTAACAGACACAAGTACACGCACCCGTAGCTAGGCTCTCCCGCATTCATCAGCACCCTTTCCATGCTGCTCCACGTTTTCCATTCTGTGTTCAGTGGTGCTGCCTCCCAACCCCCACACTCTCGCGCAGTTGGTTCGTTTGTTCGTTGGCAGCCTCAAGAAAGCTGCTTTCCCACTCAACCACCACGCACTTCCTCCGCGCAAAACACAGCAACCCACGCGCACGATACGACACCATCGGGCAGCTCTCTCCGCACCACCGGCCCCGACAGAGCACCCCCCCAATTGCCCGCGCGCAAAGGCAAGACAAGTCAAGACAAGGCAGACGAAGAAACGGGCGAGCTCCCACCAGCGACAATGGCAGGCTACATTGACTACTCCAAGACGACCAAGTCCAAGGGCTACCGGGGCTCTGGGTCATTTGCGACGTTTATGATTATCGGGCGTACGTTCTCTTCATCCCCCACGTGTTGCCTGCCAAGTGCTGGGCGCGCGCATTCTTGTTTCCAAAGAGTCAATGGGGTAGCATGAAGCTGACTTGGTGTGTCTCTACCGGCTGCAGCGACGTGCTTCTTCCTCGGCATCCTGTTCGCGTCGTTCCCGTACGACTTCCCGCTGCTGTGGTCCAAGGCGCCCGTGTCGGCCGACTACTACGACCAGCTCGAGACGCACCTCAAGTGGATGCACCAGAGCCCGCCGCTCATCGGGCGCATCCTCAACATCATGGTGACGGTGGGCTTCGGCGGGCTCTTCATCAAGCTGTTCCGCCCGAGCGAGGCCAACTTCCTCTTCGACGGCGCCTCGCTCATCCTCTACACCATCGGCGTCGCCGTCTACGTGTCCAACATCGTCAAGGGCCTGCGCGCCGTCAGCTCCGGGCTCTGGCACAGCGACGAGTTCAAGAACACCAAGCCCCGCTTCGAGGGCGAGTTCATCCTCGGCCGCGAGGACAGCCTCAAGGTCCTGGCCGCCAGCAACACCATCCTCGCGCTCGTCCTCATCGGCGTCCTCGTCCTCCAGGCCGGGCAGTGGTACGCCGAGAAGCGCGACTCGGACGACGAGGCCGCGGCCGAGGCGGCGGAGAAGAGGGAGCCGTCGCCCGGCACCAAGGCCGCGTCCAAGAAGAAGCAGTAAACGGGCGTGTCCGTTCTGTCTGCGTGTCTGTCTGTGCTGCTTGCGCCGCGCGGCACGAGGTCTACCTGTATTGTTATGTGCGAGGGGCGGCGGAACGATACCTAAAGGCAGAGAGAGGGGAGAAGGGAATGGAAGAGGTAAAGGCAGCCGGCGGAGGGGGGCTGGCCTTTTCTGCATGTATGCATCGCATCCAACTACCATTCGGGCTGCCGCTCGGGTCCCATCCCCCTGGGATGACCCGGCAATGCTCAACCCGGCAATTGGACACTTACCAGCATTGCGCAAAGCATGGACCCGCGTGCCCGTTAGGGTTTTAATCACGTACGTAGTCGTCGCAGTGGGACACGCATGGCCGGCTCGCCGGTGGCGGCGGCCCTGCGTCCACAACAAGTGTTGCTTGTTCCTTGCAAGTTTGGCAAACCCACGAGCCACGCGCGCCGAGACCCAGCAAGCAAGCAAGCAAGCAAGCAAGCCAAAATCAAAGTTGATTCTGGGCCAAGTGGACTCGACGGTCCATAAAAATTGCCAGGCCCTCCATAAAGAAGCCCCTCCCCTGCAGGGTCGCGAGCCTGTAGCAGCGCGGCGTGGCCATGAGGCGCCCCGTCGAAGCGGGCGTGCGGGAATTTTTATCAGATCAATCTTATCAGATTTTGTCGGGGCTGGACGCATCGCAGGGCTGTAAGTGGTTCAGGCGCGCCTCTCCCCCCCTCCTCCCCCTCGCAAGAAAATAGTCGAGTCTTTGTCCGGCCGGGTTTTCGCGACATGTGCCGTGGCGCTCGTCAGCGATGGCGGACATGGCCTCATCCATGCCACCCCTTGCCCCTCCACGCGCGCATCCCATGCTTGCCATGCTGGGTCCCTCGGCTCTTTAGGCTCTAAAACGTGCCTGAGATGGGTACCGTAGTAGATGGTCGCGGCCCGTGAAAGGCGCACACAGTGCCGCCTCGCCCTGTGCCAGGGAGTGCGTGAGTATAGCAAGTGTGAGTTGCGAGTCCTCCACGCGCGCCGCGCGTGCTGCTGCTCCCTCCCCCGTCGTCGCATCCGGGAGGCCTGGCGGGCGGGCTTGTTTATCCCTCAAGCCGCATCTCCGCGCGGGAGGCCTGAACGCCTCGGAAGTCGAGCGAGAGTAGGCGGGCAGGGCACGGAGGTCAAGGGGGCGCCGCGGACAGCGAGACTCATGCGCGCGAGCAGGACGGGGAACAACATGAAGCGACAGAAAAAGGGAAGGAAAAAAACAGCGCTGTTGTACTGCCAGGAATTGGCGCTGCAGGCGGGTGAGCCCGAGATACCTGGCTCTACCGCAGTGACATGGCATGGCACGGCAGGGAGGTTAATAAACGCTCATAGTTGTGAATTATGCGCTGTCTAGGACAGGGCGAGGCTAGCGAAGAGTAAAAAGCTCCTCGTCAGGAGCACATGCCGGGCTCACGCCTGTCTCTTATACACATCTAGATGTGTATAAGAGACAGGTGCTACTAGTAGCAGCAAACTTGATGGCTCCGGGCGTGGCGGTCACTCATCCAACAGGGCTGTCTCTTATACACATCTAGATGTGTATAAGAGACAGGATGAGGCAGTTTCGGGATGCATCCCGCGCATGTGCGAGTCTGCAATACTGCCCTCCGAGAGAACGCCCACGGTATGGAGCTGCGAGAGGTGCTACTAGTAGCAGCAAACTTGATGGCTCCGGGCGTGGCGGTCACTCATCCAACACAGTGGCCAAGGTTGGGCGAGCCTGTTCGAGCAGTCTCAGCTCGAACCTGGTGCGTCGGGACGGATCTACACGCCTTGACAACATAGAGGCGGCAAGGCAAGACGGCAATAAACCAAACCTGGACGAAAGTCATGGCGCGCCCTCTTCCCCGGAGACGGTGCAGACGGCCCCCCCGTCCGTGTACCTGTAGCACTCAGTGCTGCGGTGGCATCCGGTGGCATCTACCTCGTTGTAAGTGGCATCCCCCAGGGGCCTGATGTCACTCGCCTCGGCAGCGAGCCTGCCGATAGCGCGCGATAAGAAATTTTTCGTCCCATCGTTCGCCTGAGGTGCTGGCGCCTGCGAGAAACGCACACGGTGCAGGCCGTTGCCGGCGCGTACTGTATGACAGTGCCAGCGGCGCTGCCCCACGGCCCAACGCTCCGCCCGCATCACCCACCTGCACCCACTGACCGCCGCCGCCGGCGTTTTTCGTCCCGCCAGTCCAGGCCGTGCAGACTCCATCCGTCTATCCCAGAGCCCAAACGTCGACAAGCCCGCCATGTAGCAGCCAACCTCCCATGCCCTCCTCGTCTCTCCTCTCACCGACTGCGATTCCACACGATACTGGCCCTGCCATATAATGCCCTGACTCCCTCCCCTCTCTTTCTCCGCCCCATCCCCCTCCTCCTCTTCTCCCCTCTTCCCTCCCGCTCGGCCCTTCGTCGCCTGTGACTCTTTCGCTACTGCGGGTTGCCTGGCCGCTGCATCATGCGCACTCCTGCCCCACGTCGACTTCTCCCCGGACCTTGATTCTCGCAACCCGTACGCCTGCTGTGCTGCGCTGTGCTGTGCTGCACTACGACGTCCGATTCAATACCTCGCCAAGAGACGCCGTGCGACCACCCGCACTCGGCTCGCCGCCCTCTTCCTTGGCCGCCCGCGCAGCCACTGCGCAGATCCGCACCCCTCGTCGGGCGCCCGTGCTCTGCCCGCCCTGTTTCCTCCGGGCCTGCGTTTGACGCAGTAATACTTAGGCGAGCGAGACGACGGCGACGGCTCGTTCGTTCTCGCCGCCACCGTCACGCTCCCCGCGAATGACTACCTTCTCCGACATGGAGCCGAGCCCAATCTCGGTCGAGGCCACCGCCCCGAGCCTTGCGCTGCGGGGCAAGACGGCCCTGATGGACGCTGTCGAGGACGTCTTTTACGGATCCGTAAGTTCCCTTGGAGCCTCGCAGTGGCTGCAGAGTCTGACGAGAGCAGGTTGCCGGCGTCGTAGGCAAGTACATCGAGTATCCGTTCGACACCGTCAAGGTCAGGCTCCAGAGTCAACCCGATCACCTCCCCCTCCGATACAAGGGACCCCTCGACTGCTTCCGACAATCCATACAAGCCGATGGCCTCTACGGCCTGTACCGGGGAATCACGGCGCCGCTGGTGGGAGCCGCGCTCGAGACCAGCAGCCTGTTCCTCTTCGAGAGCATGGGCAGAGAGGTGCTCTACAGCACCGGCCTCGCGTCCCGGGATAAGAAGCTGTCGCTGCCGACGCTGTGGCTCACAGGCGCCTTTTCCGGCGCCTGCACCTCCTTCGTCCTGACGCCCGTCGAGCTCGTCAAGTGCAAGATCCAAGCGCCCATGCTGGCCGAGGGCGCAACGGTGGCGCCGCTCCGCCCGATCTCCGTCATCCGCGACGTATATCGCCACGAAGGCCTACGGGGCTTCTGGCACGGCCAGCTGGGCACCCTGATCCGCGAGGCCGGCGGCTGCTCCGCCTGGTTCGGCGCCAAGGAGACGGTCACGGCCATGTTTTACAACCTGCACACCCGCGCCGCCACCACCGAGGCCGAGAAGCAGTCCATCCTTTCCAAGCCCCTGCCTATCTGGCAGCAGGCCCTCGCCGGCGCGTCTGCCGGCGTCTCATACAACTTCCTTTTCTTTCCGGCCGACACCATCAAGTCGCGGATGCAGACGGTGCCCCTCGGTGGAATGGCGCAGAAGCGCACGTTCTGGAACGAGGGCAGGGCGCTGTGGCAGCAGCATGGCCTCCGGGGCATGTACCGCGGCTGTGGCATCACCTGCCTGCGGGCGGCACCGAGCTCCGCGTTTATTTTTATGGTGTATGACGGCCTTAAGCGCAACTTTCCGCTGCAATGAGCCGCACAGAGACGGCACTTCCGGTCAGCGACGCGGTTTGAGTGATGCCGCTTTACGTCTTCTTTGTTTAAGTCGGGCTAGTTCTGGGACGGGGCATTGGTACGGCGTTTTGTTCGCAGCATTTCAATACAGTTGAATACGTGGTTTAGAGGGGTATATCTTTACCACGAAATGGGTTCTTTACAGCGACAATAGAGAGGAAAACAGGTGCACCAGGATAATTCAAAACATTGTCAATGCAGGAATCTGTCTCTGGTGATACCTTTACACACGCTGTTCTCTTCCACCCAACTTGGCAGACAGCACGTCACCGCTCAGATATTGACAAGCATCGTACTACTCCGTCTTGCCCTCCTTCTCCGGCTCCTTGTCCGACAGGTCCCAGTTGTTCAGGTAGCCGGCACCGGCGCACAGGTACGTGGCGAAGCCGAGCCAGGCGAGGTACGGCACCTGGCACAGGGCGGCGACCTGGTCGACAGGCCACCACAGGTAGGCGATGTAGCCGTTGAGGCCGGCGAGAGCGAGGATGTCGGCGGTGGCCTCGACGGGCCGCTTGGCGACGAAGAAGAGAGGCATCCAGGCGAGGTTGAGGCCGAGCTGTACCGTGTAGAGCGTCATGGAGGCGCGAGTGGTTCGGATCACGTCGGGGGAGTTGAAGGGCGAGAGGCCAGCGTGGGCGGCGCGGTATGCGGCGTAGCCCGTGACCCTGGAAGCACATAACTGTAAGCTACCGCCCCCGGCACTTCGAGGTAGCATGCGACGGCATGCGCAAGTCTGATCTGGTCCACGGTGACAAGAGGGAAGGGATCTATTTCTCACCCGTAGAGGATTGTCCACACGGGGCCAAAGACCCACGGCGGGGGCCGCAGGGCAGGTTGCTTGAGCTCCATGTACTTCTTTTGCGTCTCCGAAGCTACGGCGCCACAATGTCGCGTCAGCGAATGCGCCGAGGAAATAGATGGAGGCACATTGGGAGCGGGATGTGCTCACGGCGCGTGCCGAAGCCGACGGCGGTGCCCAGCGCGATGGGGAGGAGGACCGAGGCCGCGGGGTTGAGGAACACGGCCTCGGGGATGGTGATGCTCGGAATAAAGGTCGTCATCCTGCCGGCTTGTGGGGGCGCTGTGCGCGGGTAACTACGCCTTGTTTTGTCTACGAATGGAGAATAAATGGGAGAGGTCAGGGCGCGGGAGGACCGTCTGGGTGGTGGTGGTGGAGGGCGTTGAAGAGAGGGAGTGAAAAGCTACGGGTGGCAGGTGTAGCAGAGCTATAAGTTTGGGTGAGGTCCGGTCTGGTATGTCGTCATGGGTCGGCCGGTCGGTTCAAGTCAGTCGATGGGGGAGCAGCAGTGCGGCCTGCCGCGATCACGGTCTACTTAATTAGCCGGCAGCTTGGCACTTCTGCTGCGGACCTGGATAATGCTTTAGTCGAACACTATGAAGTGCTCTTGAGGGCGGCGGAGCAGCCGATTGACGAGGGAGCCCGCGCGGGGCATTGTCCAGAACAGAGACATGACTGAATGGATTGAAGACGTTGATTGTTCGTTTCAGTGACGGGCGCGCAGATTGAGTTCCTGTCCGGGTCGCTAATCGGCTTTCGGGTGGTTCCAGTGGGTGGCGGCTTCGACAGTGGGCCCGCAGCACACATCCATGGATCCCTGCCCCCCTTCAGCAGGAGCCTACAGGGATGGATCCCAGCGCGCCCGGCACGCCCAGCACGTCCAGCCGACACGTGACGCGCGGGGGCTACATGGCACTTTAATGGATTTCGCGCTCCGGCGCGTCTCGACGCGTCCCCGACACGCCAGATCATGGCGCGCGGCAAACGGCAGGGCGGGCCAGGCCGGCCTTTTTTAACCGCCCGGGGGAACCTCACCTCACCTGCACCCACCCACCACACCACACCACACTTCAGTACAACGGTCGCCTCTTCCACCTTCCCCGACATCCATCCTCGCCTGCAACTTGCTGCTACGCAGGCAAAGGGAAGGAACACCACATCGTGCACTTCACCTCCATCAGCACGCACTTCTGGAACGCGCCATTGCCTCGCAGCACCTCCTGCCATGTCTCGCTCTGCGCTGGGAAAGAGGTCCCGCGATGCTGCCGAGCAGGCTGGTGAGTGCAACCCGCACCTGCGTCGCTTCCACGCGCAAGCTTTAGTCGACCAACCTCGCTGACGTTGACCAAGCCATCCTCAGGACCCCGAGCAAACGGGTTCGCCGCTACGACGCGTGCTCGATCCGCGGCGCCGACGATGAAAACTATGCTCCGCAGGATGTGGACGACAGCGGCGACGACGAGGCCGATCTCGAGGTCGACGTCGTCGTCGAGCTCCCCTTGAAGCGTCAGCGCTCCCAGTCTCTGGCCTCGACGGTCAAGAAGAACCCCGTCACGCCCTCGACACCCCGGCACCGGGATGCACTGGCCGGCTATCCCACAACGCCCCGACACACCGTCATGTCGGCCGGCAAGCTCTTCAAGCGCCTCACGCCACAGTCGCCTCTCTCGCCCTCCACCATCCAGACCGTCTACCACTCCGCGCGGCAGCTGTTTGCTCGCGGCGCCGAGCCGGGCCAGCTCATCGGGCGCGAGGCCGAGAGGGAGCAGCTGACGCGATTCTTGGACCGGTGCAAGACGGCGACTCCCAGCGGCTGCCTCTATGTCAGCGGTGCGCCCGGCACGGGCAAGAGCGCCATGATTACCCAAGTCACGAGCGAGTATTCTGGGTGTGAAGGCGTCCGCAGCGCCTTCATCAACTGCATGAGCATCAAGTCGTCCAAGGATCTCTACAGCACCCTGCTGTCCACCCTTGGACTCGACGGGGACATGACCGAGGCGGACGCCATCGCCACTCTGCAGCAGGCTTTCTGCCCCAAGACTGCGTCCGACACCGTCTACCAGGTGACGCTGGACGAGATCGACCACATCCTGACCATGGGCCTCGAGAGTCTCTACCGCGTCTTCGAGTGGTCGCTGCAAAAGTCGTCGCGTCTCCTACTCGTCGGTATTGCCAACGCGCTCGACCTTACGGACCGCTTTCTACCCCGGCTCAAGTCGAAGAACCTGAAGCCTGACCTGCTTCCCTTCCTCCCCTATACGGCGGCGCAGGTCAAGAACATCATCATTACGCGGCTCAAGTCGCTCATGCCCGAGGGCAAGGAAGGCTACGTCCCCTTCATTCACCCCGCCGCCATTGAGCTGTGCTCCCGCAAGGTGGCCAGCCAAACGGGCGACCTGCGCAAGGCGTTCGAGATATGCCGCCGGGCCCTGGATCTGATCGAGACGGAGACCCGAACCAAGCACGAGGAGGAGGCCAGGGAGAAGCTGCTGCAGATGACGCCATCCAAGAAGCCGCTCGGGGAGAAGGTCAATGGCGCGGGCGCGGCGTCTGGTGGCAGGAGCGTCGTACAGATCATGGCCACGTCGCTCAAGGCCCTCACGGCCGAGACGGCGCCTCGGGCCTCGATTGGACACCTCAACAAGATCACGGCGGCGGCCTTTAGCAACGGAACCACCCAGAGGCTCAAGACGCTGAACCTGCAGCAAAAGGCGGCGCTCTCGTCCCTGGTGGCCTATGAGAATCGCACGCGCAGCATGGCAAAGTCGGCAGGCGGCGCGCCCTGCACGCCGTCAAAGTCGCAGTCCCTGGCACCCACCATCAAGATGCTGTTCGACACGTACTGCCAGCTGTGCACGCGTGACTCGCTGCTCCACCCGCTGTCGAGCTCCGAGTTCCGAGAGGTGGTTGGCAGCCTGGAGACGCTGGGCTTGGTGAACGCGGTGGACGGCAAGAATGGCAGCTTCGCGGCGCACACGCCCAGCAAGCGCGGCCGCAAGTGCGCGGTGCCGAGCGGCGACGAGAGGAGGATCGCGAGCTCGGTCAGCGAGAAGGACATGGAGTCGGTGACGGACGGCGTCGGGGCGGGCATCCTGAAGAGCATCCTCATGGGCGAGGCGTTGGATTAGACTTGTGTGTCTCATTGCATTTCTGCATTGGTTCGGCGCGTTTGGAGACGGCAGGCATTTTGTTTTGGCATGAGCATTGGCGCTGGAGTTATGACAGGTGTTGGATGCTGGCCTTTGTCGTTTTACATGAGCAATACCACGGTGGCCTGGCAGCATGGGTCACATTCGGCAAACACTAGGTTTGCGAGAGATACAACAGTCGGCGTACGGTGCACTGTACAACATACCGGCACAGTACCAAGAAACAAAGACAAGATCTTTTACTCTCCTGTTCTCATTACCCAAGTGAAATGAATAATAAAGGCTGCCCTGCCGCGTTGGAGCGCGCACGCGAGGTCCAACCCGGTTGCCGGGCCGGTGCCGGGGGAGCTGCACGGTGTGTAGGGCGGCCTGCGCCGGGGGGCACGGGAGCTGCCCTCGGCAAGCAAGGCCCGTCAACGGGCGTGGCACACAGCGTGGGGGCCGCAGAGAGAGGGCAGCGGCAGCATAACGAGTTGGACGGGAGGCCGGACGGTTATTAGACAGCTCGTCGGACATAGGGAGCGGATCAAGCGGCGCTGCGCATGCACATGGCCGCCGCCGCACGCAACGTGGTGGTGGCACGTTGGGTCCGGAAGGAGGTCGAAGTCCGTTCAACGGTCCGCGCTCGCTCCGCGTCCCTGAAGACGAGCGAGATCGGGTGCAGTATCTTGTGAGCGAGCGAGGGAGCGAGGCAGCGAGGCAGCCCACCACCCTCGAGCCCGAGCCCGAGCCCGGCAAGATTCGACGTGGGAGAGAGAGTCTCGGGCATAACGGGAGTGAGCCCGCCTGTTGTGAGAAGAGGGAAGATGCCGGCAGAGGGAGAAGGGAGCACAGCACTGCTGACTGACTGGCATGGCACGGAGCTCCGTCCAATGGCAAGACAACGCACAGGTCGATGATGTGCGACTCTGTGCAAGGGCAAGGCGAGTGCGTGTGTGCATGTGGGCGCGCGGGTTTGGGCGAAGTAGTATGTACACGTACGTGCGTTGCGTACGACGGGGAGGCTGTGGCGCGTGTTGTGTGCCGTGAAAGCCGGCCGGCCGGGCTGGCGAGGCGCGGCGATGCGATGCGCGGCAAGGCGTGGTCGATGACAGAGGCATGGATGGAGTAGAGGTTGGCGGCCTCTTGGGGAGGCTGACGGAGTCGTAATGCTGCAGGGGACGCAACGGCATCAGCAGAAGCAGCAGCGATATCCGTTCTCGTCCAGAGCATAATACCGCGCGGTTGCAGCACCGGGGGGTTCCGTCGCACGGGTAGGAAGGGCGAGTGACTTACAACAAACCTGCATGCGCATGGAGAGTTAAACGGCTGCTAGCTAATAACCGCGAACAGCTGTCAACGTTAACATTCGCAAGGCAAATGCCAAAGCTTATACCACCCCTTATCTAGCACCTACCCGTCCACATACTTTTTCCAACGGACATTTTACATACCTACCAATGAGTAATTAACAGCACATGCCTCTTCGAGCTGTCACACACACGCGACCGCGCCCCAATCCCCCAGAAAACGGGCGGCGGCACAACGGGCGGCACGGGAGCACAAGCTTTCTCTTGGCGGCATCGGGCTGTTCCGCGCCCGCCTTCCTTCACCACCCCCCTTGTAAGGTACGTTACGTATTGAATAGCCTTACGCTTCTTCTTTTTTAAGCTACGACGGGAGGTACAGCTGTACTCTCGCGCCCTTTGGCTCATACCCGCAGGTAAGGTACCTATAGTCTCTCCCTGGGAAACGTGGGGAGAAAAGAGTGGGCTGTTGCGTCGCTTGGCAAAACGTGGTCGTCGCGGCAGACGTGGCGAGCTTCTTGCTCTGCCCCCGGGGGCTTTGTCTCCTCCCCCACTTACTGGAAGTACAGGGCGGGCATGGCAGGTGCCGACCGGATGCAGTGCTTCTCGACTTTGAGATCCTTTATTGTGTAAGGCTTGTTAGTTTGTAGGTAGGTAGCTTGGCCGTCTACATTGCTTTGTTTGTCTTGTCAGGCGAGTGGGCGGCCGGACCGAGAGGAGCTCATCCTTTGCGGTTGCAGAGGCGAACCAAGCAGCAAGGCATGGATGGGCGTGCTCGACATGACCTGGCGAGCGTTGGGTACCTGACTCGTTTCCGAATGACAAAGTGACGTTGCCTTGCCCGTCTTGTTGCCGAAGCGCCGTAAATACTTGTGCAATCAATACCCTGTCAGGGCAATAACATGCTGCCACCTTTTTTTGGTTGTTTATGCGTGTAACTCCCGGCAGCTTGGCTCCTTCCTCCACTCTGCTCTGCAGCACGGCCACACACACGCACCTGCCGGCGCTGCGCCTGCCCTGTCCTGCCCAGCCCTGCCGTGTCCGGCGCGCTGTGAATACAAAATACTTGGACTCGTCCGTACTTGGAGCACGGCAATCAGTCAATCAATCAAAAAGGAATATGCCGCCGGGCTAAATCTGCGATACGAGCAGTCGCAACCGGCAACTTGACCCATACCAGCGGAGCGTTCCTGCCTGCCGCTTGCTCGCCATAAGCGCCGCAACCCCCCCTCCCCCTCAACCTGCCTGCATCCAAGCTTCAGTTCTCGTCCTTGTCTCTTCTCGCAGCCGTCCAACCTCTCTGGCCTCTTTTGCGGCCGCGGTCTGTCCCATCCACCCGTGCACGCAATTCGGCTACGCGCAACCTCAGCGCCGCGGCCACGAGTCCCGTCGGTAGCCAGTGGGCGTCCTGAGCGCAACATCCCACATCAGCACCGATCCGTCCCTCCACCTTGGGCAGTCATCTGTCTGTCCAGGTGCGCTGGGCCGCTCCACCGTAGCCCAGCGCCATCCCCCCCGACCCGCGCCGTGGTCGTCGCACCCGCGCGGCCGGCCTGCCGCCGCCGCCGTCGCCTCCGCCTCGCTCGCTCACTCGCTCTATTGCCAGAGCGGCAGGTAGACAGACCAGACCAGACCAGACCACCACCACCGACCACCACCACTTCCTCCGCGCAGTTTCCGCCGAATCCTCCCCCCCATTCCCTGAACCGCACATCGATTCTCGACGGCGCGCAAAAGGCACAAGGTAGCTCCCTTGCCAGCATCGCGCATCCACCGCCAAGCCTGCCGCGCCCACGGGTCCTGCCGCCGGCGCCGCCCTCCCGCTGTCATCCTCTGCTGTCCCTGCCACGGTACTTTGTCTCGTGGGGGACCTGGCCGTGTCGTCGTGCTGCGTCCGCCGGGCGACCCGACCCGACCCCGTCGTCGACGAGACACCACCACCACGCGTAGGCCCCTCGCAACCCACGCTGGCATAGAACGGAAGCGTCGCGAGCCGTCGCCGCCCCGGGCCACCCCGAGGTGCTCCCACGCAGGGGACCGACGGCCATGCCCTCGCCGTCGCCGTCGTCGCCAGCTGGGCGCCGCGCCCAGCGGCCGGGCAGCACCCGCCTGTCCACGTCGACGTCGTCGCCCGACCTGCCCGTCGCCGCCGACGCCGTCCCTCGCCCCGGCGACAGCTCTCCCTCATCCTCGCAGCCCAATGGCAACGGCGCCAGCGACTCCTCCTCGTCCCCGAGACACTCGTCCTCCAGCGCGCGTCCGCCGCCGCCCCCCGCTACCCCTCCTGCCGCGCGTCCGAGCCTCTTCTCGCGCCTGAGCCTGCCTCTGCCTCTGCGGAACCGCAATCGCAACCTCGTCGACTTTCACATCCGCTGCGATGAACCCTACAAAAAGTACTGCGCCGGCGACTCGGTTCGCGGCGTCGTCGTCCTCGCCCTCGTCAAGCCCCTGCGGATAACCCACCTCGTCGTCTCCCTCCACGGCTACGTCCGCGTTCTCAAAGACCCCGCCTCGGCGGCAAAGGCACATCTCGCTCCGGCTTTGGCCTCCAACGGGCCCTCCAACCGCCCGCAATATCACGGCAATGGCTTGGCCAGCTTGTTCCAGGACGAGCAGGTTCTCAGTGGGGAAGGCAGGATCGACACGGGTCGCTACGAGTTTGGCTTCGAGCTGGTCTTTCCAGACAAGGAACTACCCAGCAGTATTGATGTAGGTTCCCGCCCGCGCGCGTGTGCACCCCAGTGTTCTCAATGGCTGACCGCGTGTGACAGTTTGAGCGCGGAACGATATCTTACATGATCACGGCCACATTAACGAGACCGACGACGATAGCCCCTACAACAACCTGTGACAGGAGGGTGACGCTGTCACAGTTGATAGACATAGGCCTCCTCCCGCCCCCACGCCCGAGAGCCATCTTTCTGGAGCCAATATCGAAGCGCTCGCGGAGGAAAAAGGCGGCTGCGGTGGAAAAGTCTACTTCAACCATTTCAGAGGTCAATGATGTCGCCTCCGAGGCCGATTCGGTCGACCGGTCAGTCGCGGCTGACGATACCGCCCGCGAGGGCCAGGCGGATCACCGGAGCCAGATTCCAAGCGACATGCGCAGCGAGATTAGCGGCGAAAGCGGCCGCAGTGCCAGCACTGCCGTTAGTCGGCTCGACCTCGCTCAGCTATCTCAGGTCGGGTCGGCCATGACACAGGCAGCGAAACAGCAAGTAGTGGACGACAAGACTATAACAGCCACCATCACGTTGATAAAGGGAGGCTGTTTGCCCGGCGACAGCGTTTCCGTCAAGATAATGGTTCAGCATATAAAGCGCGTCAAGAGCATGACCGGCGTCATTGTGACGCTTTTTCGGCAGGGCAAGATGGACACGTCGCCGTCACCGGCCGCGTTCCGGGACTCGGGTATTGGTGAAAGTCGTGGCGGGGACAAGGATGAGATGTATCCACGGTCACGGACGGGCCTCGGGGGCCTATCGCTTTCATCGACCAGCTCCACGAGCATGTTCCGCAAGGACCTGGACCAAAACGCGGCGCCCCTCATCATCGATCCCGTCTCGCTGCAGGCATCCGTCACGGTCTCCGTAAGGGTGCCCGACGATGCATTCCCCACCATCAAAGGCGTGCCGGGGGACATGATCAGCTTCAAGTATCAGGTGGAGGTGGTAGTCGACCTGGGTGGCAGGCTGGCGAGCCAGCTCCAAGGTGGTCAGTCCACTTCGAGGCTTGGGCCGTACGGATACGGCAGCTCCGACCAGGCGAGCAACACGTACGGGCCTAGGCGGCCGGTCAACATCGCCGACACGGCGCAATTGAGAAGGGAAAAGGGCGTCATTTCGGTATCAATGGAGACGGTTGTGGGGAGCATGGACAGCTCTAGGATCCGCAAGCCGTTGACGAGGCCGCCAGAAACGAGGGCAATTCGCATTGCCGAGAGTGACGACGAGGAAGTCATTCGCCCAGAGGCGCCGCACCACGACGAGGCCTCGCCCAGCTACTTTGAAACAAATGGCCAGCTGCCGCCCAACGGATACCAAACTGCCCCTCGCACCGGGCAGCCGTCGTACCAAGATGCGACGCACCACGGGCCGCTCTCACACACCAACGGGTATCATACCACCGCCGCACCCTCATACGTCCCACCGCCGGAGGTCCCCAGCGAGCATGGTATGAGCGAGAAGGAGCGCATACGACAAGCGGAAACGCGTCTGCTGCCCAGTCAGCCACCAGCGTCCGCAACTGCGGGCCCATCGTCGGCGCCCGCGGAGGACGACATTTACGACGCCGAAGACACGCCGCGAATACAGGCTATGGAGCCGAGCGCACCGAGCAACGGAGATGCCGAAGCCGGGCCGTCGGCACCTACGGAGGAAGAGATGAACGTGACGCAGCCGGCGGAGGACAAGCAGGAACTTGAGCGCCAGCGGCTGATGAACGAAGCCAGCGCGCCGCCCGAGTTTCCCGACGACGCGGACGGGCGAGGCGCGAGCTCGTCGTCGCAAAGCGCGCCGCAGGACGCCGAACCCTCGGCGCCGGTCCTGAACGAGGACGAGGACGACTACCCGGGCTACGGCGTCGGCGCCGGCCCATCTGCGCCGAGAAGCGCCACCAGCCACGCGGAGCAGCTGCCGGCGTATGAGCGGTGACGACACGTGTTTATCACGTTTACAGGAGGGCTTTTGGATAGATGTGTAACAAGAGGTGCGCGAGAGGCTGGCAGATTGTTCTGTCGTGGGTTGGCGCGTTTGGTGTTGAGCGCCGCGGGCAGGGGGTTCTACTTATGCCCCCGATTTACTTGATAGCTCGTCGGCACCCGGCGTTGGAAGAGGGACATTTACGGGCAGCATGGCCTGGCAAGGCATGAAGCATAAAAGGGTGTTTTATAATGACACTGACGGCAATGAATACCACCACCTGTTGTGGGGAAGGCTTTGCGGCGTACATACATATATATATGTAGTATCTAGCGTATTCGGCGCTCGGAGCTGGCCTTTAACTCTGTCTGGTATCTTGTATTGTACAGTCGTTGTATACAGTGTATGGGCCTTCGACGATGCCCGAAGAGCCTTCCATGGAGGGATACCTAGCATCTAAATCCCGGTACCGTACCCCGCCATGCCGCCGCTACCTAGCGCAGGTGATATGGGCAGACGGCAAAGCATGCATGTACCGCATCAACACATCAGTGCTGCAGCACGACGGGACGGCCCTCCTCCCAGTTATGTATGCTATCCCGGATATTCACCCAGTAGCGCAACCGCACCGCCTCCCTCTTCGCGGCATCGACGTCGTCCCTCCGAAACGCATCCTCGAGGACCTCCTCGCTCTCCCTGACGCGGCCGTCGTTCTCGCTGCGCAGGGGCTCGAGGTCCGCCGGCACCACGGCCTCCTCGATGGCCTCGTGGGCGTCCATGACGGCGGCGAGCAGCGCGGGCTGGTCCGCCGCGCGGAGGGCCTCGTCGTGCGCGACGTCGACGCCGCGCAGGCCGAGGAGGTACTGCGCGCGGAGGAGCGGGTCCGCGAGCGTGCGGTAGGCGTGGTTGATGGCCGCGGAGGTGCGTTCCGCGCGGAGCTTGGCGGGGCCGCCGGAGGGGGCGTGCTTGTCCGGGTGGTGCGCGGCCTGCAGGCGGAGGAACTCGCGCCGGAGGAGGGCGGTGTCGATGGGGAAGTGGCCGCGCGGGGGGGGGCCGTCGGGGAGGGTGGCGGGGAAGTAGCCGTAGAGCGTGGGGGGCTCGTCGGACGAGGACGACGATGATGATGGTGCCGGTGAGGAGGAAGGTTCTGCGTCTGGGTCGGCGTCGGCGTCTGGTGCTGTGGCCTCGGCGGCGGATGAGGAGGATGGCGATGAGGAGGAGGAGGGGGAGGAGGCGAGGGCGGAGTGTGAGAAGCGAGCGCGGTGTTGCAGGGGCGAGGGCGATATTGACGGCGTGGTGGCGAGCATGTGTTCAGGCCGTCGCGGCGCGCTGCTGCTGCTGCTGCTCCCTGGTATCCTCGCAATCGTAGTCGCCGTCCTCGCCGTCGAGGTAGACATGCCCGCCCTGCTCACGGCCCTCACCGCCACGCACCGCATCTCCGGGCGCAGCGCCGCGCGCATAGCCGGTCGCATCCCGTGTCTTTTTTTTTTTTTGCTATTCCTTCCCTCCGTGCCACAAGATACGTCGTCCGTTCGTCCAGGTGGGCGCCTGCGTTTAGCCTATGCCGTGTACGCTCGTCGTGTCGCGCGCTTTGTGTCGTGCAGTCGACGCAGTAAAAGAAAATGAGGTCGGAGGTGTGAAAATGGCCGAGCTTCCTCGGGCGGGTTGGCGTTGACGTTGATGATGATGACATAGCGGAGGCCAGCTCGGAAAGCCGACTGTATCCCGTCCCTGCGGCAAATTTACCTCTCCAGCAGGGCTCCCTCCCCCGCCAGTATTTTTTTTTCTCGCCCATTCCCCGGCCTCTGGCTCTGCTCTGGGCGGTGGGTGGCAGCGGGGCCACAACACCGAGGGGCGCCGACCGCCGACGCCGGCCGTCGAGGTGAGGTGAATTATGGGCGGGCGCCGCGCCCGCGGGGACGGGCAGGGCATGGATGGAAACCTGGAAAACCAATTCCACGAATCCCAGGCGGCGCAATTGCCATTGGGCCAATCCATATCATTGCCACAGCGGTCGGGTCTCCATCCAGGTAGGTCACCGCAGTCAGCGCGCGACAAGCTCCCCCCGACGAGCGATTGCCGCGAGCGTCATCACTCAATCGCCATGGTCAACGAGCGCGGCCAGGACGCAACGACAAGAAAAGCATTACGTTCAATTGGCGCATCGAGATGCAGCATCATACAATCAAGCCTCTTCAATACATCTGCGTAGAGAGTGGCGTTTTTTTGGCTGTTCGCGACCAGACTGCCCTGGCCAAACGCCCAACATCTGCTTCAAGCCGACGGGCATTTATTTCCTCGATTGGGCAATCTTCGGCGGCGGCTATTGAACCCCGGGGCCATTGACCGGGCGGGTGGGCGGCCATCGCGGCGCCCTCTGGCCACCGCCGCGTGCGACAGTCGACTCCGCAACCGCTCATCAGCCGGCCGGCCTGCCATCATTACCAGAACTCTTTTTCATAATTCGGCCGGCCCGCCTCACGGCTCTTCAAGACTTGACGTTGTCGTCTTGTCTTTTTCGCGCAGCGTCAACCAATCGCTCGATCCTCTACCTGCTGCGGCAGCTCGTGTCGCACGTCACGCCTCACCTGGTCGACCACCTCGACCAGCCGTGACGCCATCATGGCCAAGGTCTTTGACGCCGCCGAGGGTGAGTCCATGTCTCGGTCTGGTCCCCGCGATTGCGCATCCGCTCACCTTCCAGCCCAGTGGCCAAGCACAACACGCCCGACAGCTGCTGGGTCATCCTCTACGGCAATGTCTACGACGTGACCGACTTCCTCACATCCCATCCCGGCGGCTCCAAGATCATTCTCAAGCTCGCCGGCAAGGATGCCACCGAAGACTACGATCCCGTCCACCCGCCCGGCACCATCGAGGAGAACCTCCGCCCCGAGGCCAAGCTCGGCCAGGTCAACCCCGACTCCCTCGTCAAGGCCAAGGTCCCCGCCGCGCGGGCCGACGCCCAAGACGCCGCCGACCAGCCCCCGCCCCTCGAGTCGCTGCTCAACCTCGACGAGATCGAGGCCGAGGCCACCAGGCGCATCCCCAAAAAGGCCTGGGCCTACTACTTCTCCGCCAGCGACGACCTCTGGTCCAAGTCCAACAACAATGCCGCCTACCGCGACATCCTCCTGCGGCCCCGCGTCTTCGTCGACTGCACCGCTTGCGACATGTCCACCTCCGTCCTCGGCCACGAGGTCGGCGTCCCCTTCTTCATCGCCCCCGCCGCCATGGCTCGCCTCGCCCATCCTGACGGCGAGCACGGCATGGCCAAGGCCGCCGCCCGCTTCGGCGCTATGCAGGTCGTCTCCAACAACGCCTCCATGACACCCGAGCAGATTGTCCAGGGCGCCGCTCCCGGCCAGGTTTTCGGCTGGCAGCTCTACGTCCAGAACCACCGGGACAAGAGCGTCGCAATGCTCAAGCGCATCAACGCCATGAAGGACCGCTTCAAGTTCATCGTCCTCACCCTCGACGCCCCCGTCCCTGGCAAGCGTGAGCTCGACGAAAAGTCAAATTTTGAAGGAGGAAACAACGTCCAGGCCGCCGCCTCGGGGAGCAACGACGCCAAGCGGCCCGGCGGTGGCGGCGTCGGACAGCAGCTCTTCTTCGGCACTGCCTGCGACCTCACATGGCAGACCACGCTTCCCTGGCTGGCCGAGCATACCGACCTGCCCATCGTCCTCAAGGGCCTGCAGACGCACGAGGACGCCTACCTGGCCGCCAAGTACGCGCCCCAGGTCAAGGCCATCATCCTCTCAAACCACGGCGGTCGCGCCATGGACACGGCGCCCCCCGCCGTCCACACGCTGCTCGAGATCCGCAAGTACTGCCCCGAGGTCTTCAGCAAGGTCGAGGTTTGGGTCGACGGCGGCATCAAGAGAGGGACAGACGTCGTCAAGGCCCTGTGCCTCGGCGCGACTGCCGTTGGGATCGGTCGAGCGCCGCTCTTTGGCCTCGGCGCCGGCGGGCAGGCAGGCGTCGAACGTGTACTTGAAAGTAAGTGGTCACCGCTCTCATGGCAATCATCCTGATACAGTTGTGGCTCGGCGTCGTTTCGTTCCGTTCGGCTCGCACTCGAAACGATCCGTTGCCGCCCCGACCGCGCCCTTCCGAGGGACGCAAATCGGAGTCGTGGCTGCGGGCAAGTCCCGCGTCATGGCCGTCGCCCGTGGGGCCAACACACTGGCCAACCTCCAAAGATATCCTTTGTGACCTGCATGAGTGCTGACGCCTCATGCGCAATCTAGTCCTCGAAGCCGAGACAGCCACATGCATGCGCCTGCTCGGCGCCAAAAACATCTCGGAACTGGGCCCCAGATTCGTAAGTCGGACCAACTCGGAGCAGGGCCGGGTCTGGAGCCCCCGGAGTACCGGCGATCTGACTGCTAACACGGTGCTTGCCCCGCGTTTTAGATCAATACTCGACGTGTGGAGAGAGACATCTACGACGGGGACCCGGGGCTGGACAAGCGGGGTCTGTGGACAAAGGCGAAACTGTAGCACGCATTGCGCGACTAGCGGTGCGTTGACGTATGTCTGTATGCCCATGTGGAGGTTATTCAGAAGCAATGCGAGGGCAGCCTCGGCTCGTCAGCCCCAATGCTGTTGGAGGAGCGACTTCGGAATGGTGGGGGTGTCGCCAACCGGGTCCCTAGATTTAGAGCAAGGGCGGCTCGTGCGACGTCGACGCTGTAGTGGGCGCACATACGCCGCAGAGAGGTATCCCATGCCAAATCATGCATCTTGCCCGTGGATGACTTCGATCTGCCGTTTCGAGCGGTTCAGTGGCGCGATGACGTCCAGACCAAGCCGCTGATCAAACAAGCCAACAGGAGATGAAGATTGGCGGCGTGAGCCTGCACAGATCGACTCTGAAACCGCAGGGTGCCCGTCGCTCGGCTTTCATGCCTGTACCGTCATACGGAGTGCATAAGCCGCGCGGAGAAGGCTGTCTTGACAAGTGGTTCTCGCGGAAATGTCCGTGCGTCTTTTTGCCAAGACGCACATGGTCGAACCTGCACCCAGAGAAACATGCGTTTGTCTATCGGCAGTCTGACGACGTCGACGACAGACAACCCCCCTGATCCCAGCAGTCGGGACGAAGCCACCACCACGACAGCTGAGCCACCCCCAGCGCAGCAGTTCACTAACTGCGGTCTGGCTCCCTCGCCGAGGGATTGGCCAGCCTGGATGCAGAGCGCAATGTCCTCGTTGGCTCGGTGGGCCGAGTCTAGACAGGGGTCGTCCCCGGGTGGCTGATTTTGAGCTGCAGGGACGGCGAGTGGCAATCGGGGGGCAGCCTGGCATGGTTGGCACGTCTGGTAGGGCATCCATTACGGAGCTGCCGGCTCCGATTCAGTTGAACATCGCTCCGCGCTTTGCCTGCTTCTCTGCCTCACACATGATGCGTCGTGGTGCCGGCTTGTGGATGGGCCGTCCTTGGGAGGTCTGACAGATCTCGTTGGTCGCCCACGGCGGAGGGTGCGTACGTCGAATGTAGCGCATCCTCTTTTGGACTCCCAGGGTCGGATCCTCTCCGGCGCGCATCGACGGCGTGGCTGCACGACCTGATGCACGGCTGCGGCTCCGGGACGGCCGGTCCCCATGGACGGAAGCATCCTCCGTGGACAGCATATGGCATGTGTCTGCGGTGCGTGTCGAAGGCACCTTGCCTCTTGGCGCGGAGTAACCCACGTTGTCTGTCAAAAGATCCCCACGAGGCTTCTGGTGGCGAAAGTGATGAGCCTCCTCCGCACCCAGATGCGATCAGAGCCACGAGTAATGGCTGCGGATGGCGGTAGCCTCGCTGAATCTAGCTGCCTGTCTGCTCGATGCGGTAGCGGTCATCCGAGTCGAGCCACTGATTCGCCTGTGGGAATCGAGCCTGGGGACGGCGGGGTGGCTGCTCGGGCACGGCGTCGGTGGGAGCGTGGCACTGACAGTCTGGCGGCGGCTCGCGGCGGCGGCAATTGCCTCGAAGATTGGGCGGAACATGGAAAAGTGGATGCAGATGGATGGGAGGGTTGTGACGGTGGAGGTGGCGGTGGTGGTCCCGATGTGGTGGTGGTGGTGACGGATACCGCACGGCGTGGGAGGATTGGGGTCTCGTATGTGCAAAAGCGAGGCCATTCAGGACAGCGCCCGCACGAGGTAGACTCGTATCGTGCAGGCCGCCATTCGCCGGCAGGAGCCACCCTGCAGAATGAAAAGCAGTAGTCGCGGTCGCTGTCGCTTGCCCAAGCGCGCCCAGTGCTTGGCAGCTCGGTCGCGACTGCCTCCACTGCGCCGAGATGCATCCGCGAGGCGCCTGCACTGGCCGCGCTTACAAGAGCCTGCCTGCGTACGAGCAGTACGAGTACGCTGCCTGCATGGCGCTGGCGCTCGCGCGGGCGCTGGCTCCAGCAAGAACACTTCCAACAACTAAGCGCACTGCAAGTTCGCTGCAGACGCGACGCCGCGCTGCCCGGAACCAGGCCGGCATGGCAAGCAGGTGGGGGGTGCCCGAGCGTTGGAAAAAAAGACAGGCGATAGGCGATCTCGACCCAAATTTGCCATCCTAGCGGACGAATGTCACCAGCAATGCAGGCCGGGCAGGGTCCCAGCGAAGATCCAGCAAGCGGCCCAGCGGCGCCAATCCGCGTTGGAGGTGCGGCAGGCCAGGCGCTCAAGGCGCTCAATCCAGGCGCACGCGCGCCCGTCCGTCCGTCTGCCGCGTGGGTCGCATTTTGCATCGTCGGGCCTTAGCTGGCAGCCTAGATGGGAAAATTTGCTTTATCGCACCCTGCAAGCCGCCCGCGCGGGCGCGCTGCCAACTGGAACCAATGTCACGCATAGTGCGGTACAGTGACGTGCAACAGTGCTGTGAAGCGCATGTATGTGCCTACGCACTGGACCTACACAATCAATCCATCAATTCATGCTCATGCCATGGTGCGCCAAACCACTGTTACCATCGACGACAGACGTCGAGATTATCATCGCCCGCCCGCCCCCGCTGCGTCGTCGCGGCTCTGTAGGTCTTAGTGCGGCGAGCGCCGCCCTCTTTCGCCTCGCCTCGCTGGGGCCTGGGCAAGGTGTCTTTTGTTTCCCCGGCTGACTTGACGGCTGACCTTGGCTCGCGGGGAAGCCAGAGTCGAGACGACTGGCTCCCGCACAAAGGTCGCCTGGGGAATGGGAAGGGTGAAGAAAAAAAAGCAGGCCCGCCAGGCCCAGCAGGCCCAGCAGGCCCAGCGAGCTCCACCGCCGGGGGCCCGCTGTGGCCTCGACGGTTGGCGCGTTGGTAGGCCAGAAGCCCCCCCTCCCTGGCTGCCGCTCGTCCAGATCAGGAACCAGCCCCGGGCCCGTAATCAAAGTTTCGCGGTCAAGCACTGGAGACGTGTGTGCCGCCGCCGTTGTCGTCGAATGGAGCCGTCTCGCCAATCCGAATCCCAAATCCCACATGTCAGGACATGGACGGACGGCGGCCGCCCGCTGAGCGAGCGGCCCGTGAGCCAGACCCGGCCAGAGAGCAGGGCCAAGGCCAAGGCGACGGAGCCGTGGCCGAAGCCGCCTTTCTCATCAGTCTCGTTTCGGCCCTTTGCCTCTGGCCGCTGCTGCGGTGGCATTGCGTCCCTCGTTCGCCACCGAGCAGCTGGAGACGGAGTGGCCCGGGGCTGCCGTCGGTTGGGACACTCGCTCTGCCAATGTGCTCGTAAAGGTGCCCTGTGCGACCGTGGCTGGCTGGCTGGCTGGTCATGGGCCGTGAGGGCCTTTGTCCTCCCCTCCGCCGCCGTCGAGCCAAGACACGCAGCAGTGTCGTCGTCGTCGAGCATGGCCCTGCTGCTGCTGCTATTTTTTCCCCTTCACCCCATGCTCATGGCCGGCTCGTCCTTCACGTGCGCATTCACAAGCAGCCGAGGGACCTCGAGCTAACGAACGCAAGCTCCAACCCCATGCAAAGGGCCTGCAAGCCTCGTGCACCCCCTTCCCACGCTCGCAGCCTCACGACACACACACACAACCCACGACCCATGCCAACCATGCCAGCCCGCCCGCTGCTGGGCCCGGCTCCAGCGCGCGCTGCAGAGCCCATCTGCGGGGCCAAGTCTGGGGACGGCAAGATGGGCTCTCGGCCCATTTCCCCGTCTGGCATGGCGTCACGCCCCGTCCGGGCTCCACCGATGGGATGTGGTTGCAGGGGGCAAAATGGCGTGGGTTTTCGGCGCACAGGCTTCGGGCGGAGATCGCCCAGTCGCAACCAGAGCGACATGTGGTGTTTGGTTTTCGACTGCTTCGGTCGCGAACGAGAGGCAGAGCGAGAGAAGGATGGATGGATGGAGGGAGATGGGTCCGTTGCTAGCGCGTGCTGTACCTTTTTCTTCGCTGCGCTGGCGCTCCTCACACGCCCCCCGAGTCGTGCGCCGCAGGTGCTGTTCGTATAGCGGTCTGTAGGCCTGATGTTCTCCCCCAATCCCCCAACCCTTTGGCCAGAATAAGGCCACCTGCGAGTTGAGGAACCCACTGCTCAACCCCCCAACTCCTTCGTTATCAGCTCGCGCCGCGCACTCGAGTGGACATGCGCGTAGCGGCCAGGGAATCGTCGAGATCGGCAGTACCTGGGCCGCCGTGCGCTTGGGCGCCCCTCATCGCGTACCGCACATGTAAATGGATCTGTTGGAAAGGATGGTGCTACTTGCTCGAGGTTGTAGTCCAGAAACTGGACTATGCCCAAAGGTTGGGGGCGTGCGGCGTGGCCGTCGTCCGCCTGCTTCGGGCGGGCGCCCGCCAACGACCTTGGCTCGCTACGCTGCCGCGCTTCCTACCGCCACCCTCCCCTCCTTCCCCGGCAGGGCTCTCTCTCTTGCTCTCTCTGGCGGGTGTGGTCTGGGACACTACCGCACGGGGCGGGCGAGCAGTTCCCAGCGCCCTCCCCCCCCAGAGACCCTTGCTGGAAGCCATTTTCCCTTTAAGACCTGGCGATATCCAGATCTCGCGCCTCGACTTGTAGCCTTCTCTTCTCCTCCCCCGCCCGCCGCTCGTCTTCCCTCGCAAACCCCTCCGGTTCCGCGCCCCTTTCGTTACCGTCCGTCGTCGGAGGCCGTGGCCGTGTGACAACCCTCGAGGACCTCTCTTGTTCCATTCGTCCTACGTACACGCCTTATTTCGATTCTTCCGTCGCGACTCGGGCTCCCGGCGCGCCGCACGCGATTGCTTCTCTTCCCCGAAGACACCGCATCTTATATCCCCAAGAACCGCCATCATGTCCGACAGCAAGCACGAGGTCTCGCAGACCGAGAACGGCGCCCCCATCAAGCGCGGCAAGAAGCGCGCCTGCATCAACCACTGCAAGCGCTTCTGGTGGCTTCACCTCATCATCTTCTGCTGCATCACGGTCCTCGTCGTGTGCCTTGTGTAAGTGCCGCCCCTGCCTCTTCGGCGAAATCTCGTCCTCTTCTCCCCCGCGCGGAACCCAGTGTACGAGCCGGCCGCGGCGGAATTTTCTGCGCGCCCTGCGTCTGTACGAGTTCGAGAACACGTCTCGTGCTCCTCTGCTCTTGGCAGCTCGTTCAGCTGAGACTTCGTGCGTGCGCCACCCGTTGGTTGCACGGCGATGGCCCCCGCCTTGCACGCAGCCCTGAGGAGTCGTTGCCAAGCACGACCAACACCAACAACGCCCTCTCCGCAATGCCGGAAATGACAGCTCAGGGGACTAATGCCGTGTTTTTTACAGCATCTTCGTTGGCGTGCCCAACATTGGTCAGTCCAAGGTCAACGCCGCCAAGCTGGAGATCCAGGGCGTCAACGTGCTCGACTCCACGCCCGACCAGTACTTGATGCAGATCAACTCTACCATTGAGACCGATGGCACCGTTCACGCCGACATCGACCCCTTCGAGGGCAAGATGTACCTCGACGACGTCAAGGACGCCCCGGCCTTCGCCACGCTCCAGTTCCCCCCCACCAACGCCGACAAGCACCAGAACGTCAACATCAGCCAGACGGTCAAGGTTGACGACCTGGAGGCCTTCAAGCAGTTCAACATCGCCTTCTTCAAGAGCCAGAACCTGACCGTCCGCATCGCTGGCAAGACCAAGATTCAGCCCGCCGGCCTCAACCGCAAGTACGACGTCGACTTCACCAAGTACCAGACCATCAACGGCCTGAACCTGCTCCAGGGCACCAAGGTCAAGGATGCCAAGGTCAACCTGACTGCCCTGACGGGTGAGAACTTCAAGGGTGTTGCTGAGATCACCAACCCCTCTCACTTCACTCTCGACCTTGTGAGTCCCACCCATGCCTGTTTTCGCTTATAAACCGCTGCTCTGTCAGCGCCGTGTCATGGCATCGCGGCTAACCATGCATCAGGGCAACGTCACTTTTGCCAACTTCGCCGCCGACCAGAACGTTGGCAACCTCACCATCAACAACCTTCTCCTTGTCCCCGGCCTGAACCGGGTCAACATCACCGCCGCCTTGAACCAGACTGGCGTTCTCTCCGCCCTGAACCTGAAGCCCGCCTGCGAGACTGGTGTTGTTCCCTTCAAGCTGTTGGGCGTCGACGTCGTCAACCATGGCAAGCAGATTCCGTACTTCCTCGCCGCTCTGGGCAGCGCCAACCAGACCGTGGACATCAACATTGCGGAGATCCTCGGCCTCACGGTGCCTGCTTGCCACTAAGGCGTTTAGGCGAGATGACGGAGTGAGACGAGTTCATTGGATGACGCGGAATTGATTTGGCCTGGCTTCGGTTGGTTTTGGATGACGTCTTTGTATACCTCTTCCAGCGTTTCTATCACTCTGGTGCACATGTCAGAGACTCAGTGAGTGGGCTTTGCGAGGGATGGAAAGACACATCGGTGGAGCCGTGCTCCGATTCATGATACCTTGATGCGCTTGTTAGTAATATAAGGCTGGCACAGTCCATTATAATGTTCAATGCACTTTATTGTGTTGGGTATCAACCTGTTTGCTGTATCCTTCCTTCGCAAGGGCGGCCGATCGCCGCCAGCCGCCTGTATGACTCGGAGCACTGATTCTACACTGTCTTGTTTTGCATGTGACACGCCTCGCCCTCACTTCCAGTCTCCCTTGCGCTTCTCACCCCTGCTGAGGCCGCCGACCGACGGCCCACCGCCGGTACCAGGCGAGGGCATCGACGCAGGAACAAAGTCGACGGTGGACCTTGCCCCAGACGACTTGCTCGACTCCATGCGCTTGACGAGCTTCTCCCGCGTTTGCTTCAACCTATCTACATAAGCCGATTCCGGAAATGCAGCCGGGTTCCATAGGTCCAGCGGCAACGTCGTCTCGTACTGCTTCACGCCATCTAGGCCGGCGTAGTCCATCAACTTGTCCGTGACGCTCGGGTTCTTGAGCGCCGTGGAGTTCTGCAACTTGGCGTTGAAGTGCGTGCCCGTCTTCTTGAGCTTGAGGAACTGCTCAAATGTCTTGCTCGCGCGCGTGGGAGGTGAGCCGGGCGGCGAAGGAGGAATGTCGAGGTTGGGTATGGTGGGGAGGGTGAGGTCATGGATGAGGGCGCGTGTGGCTGTATATGGTGATGACGGTGCACCCGTCACGTCTTCGTCATCGGCTGCGAGGTCTTCCTGCTGCTCTTCTGGGGGAAGAGATGGGCCCAAGGGGACGGCGTTCTGCGTAACGGTGGCAATTGCCGGCGTAGGGGGTTCTGAATCCGCGATTGAGGCACTCGGAATCTGCTGCACCGGCGCGGTGGGCTGAGGAGCTGCGGGTGCTGCCATTGGTGTCGGTTAATAGACCTCCTGAACAACGGAGATATCCTGAGAATGAATGACGCACATGGTGATGCCGCTAATGTGCGGCCCTCGGGCGCTGCTTTGTCCGGTACTGCCTCTGTAGTTGGAACCTGGGACTATCATCATGAGATACGGCCGAGGCGCAGGGGTCAGATCATAAAAGCAGTGGTACTCACCTGCTCCACGTGAGTCGATTGCTCCTCGTCCCCCTCATCGTCGCTGCTGGCATAAGCGACGAGGCCCGACATGATGCCCCAGCCTCGACCGGTGAAAGGTGGCTAAGGAAGTGAGATGCGGCTCATGAAACGTCAGTGAGAAATGGACAGTGAGCGAGCCAACGAGACTGCAGCGCCGAGATGGGCTGAGGCGCACAAGACTCAGCGCCTCCAACCTGCTTTGCTGTTGTGCAACCCCACAGCTCCTCATTGGCAGGAAAAACAACGGGCCCGCGTCTCGGCCCCACCCGGTTTTTCTGCGACGCTCCTGGCAGACAGACGACGAGATGCTCCAAGCTTTGCCGCCAAACTGAACAGCATCATCGTCGCCCCGTGCAACTCAGCCAGCTCCCATCTGTCCGCCGCCCGCCGGCCCCTCGCTGGACCATTCGCTCGCATACAGCCAGCGCGCACAGGGTTGCTGCCTGGTCCCCGCTGCAAACGCGCTTTGGGCCTGAGGCCAGCTGCGCACGCGTGCCAGGGGCCGCCCGCCCACGCGAAAACGACTTCTTGTTCAGCCGCGGAGCACCTCGACTTTTTCCAGAAGTACTACTCACCAACCTTAGCAAATCCTCCTGAGCCCGCGAGACCACCATGGCTCGGCCAAGAGACTCGCGCTCACCAGCTCCAGCAGGCAGCAGCAGCGGCCCACATGATGGCTCTCGTCGGCATCGGAACGATGACGGCTACGGCGGCGGCAACAACCGGCGCGACAGGAACCGACGGGACGACGCCAGGGATCATCGCCGGCTTAGCAGGTCGCGCAGCCCTGACGTGAGCATACCTGACCCCGTTGGAGAGCTTCTCCTTGATTTTGACATTCTTCTCTATGAGCAGCCCCGTCACTGGGACCACCGAGGTCCACGCCACCCCGAGCGAGACGTGATCAACAGGCGCGATCGTTCTCCAGCCGGCCGACGAGACGACGGCCCCTACCGCGGCGGAGGCCCTCGCGACTACCGCGACAGAGATCGCGACAGAGACAGAGACAGGGATCGAGACCGAGACAGAGATCGCCGCCGATCGCGTGACCGATATGGCGGCAGACCCAGATCGCCAGCCCGTCGCCGCCCTGGTAGCCGTGATAGCGACAGAAGCTACAGGAGCCGCGACGATGGCCGCGATCACGGTCGAGCCAAGCGTGAGGGGACGGCTGACTCTTCAGCGCGCAGCAACCGCCACGCGCCCGCCAACGACAGAGGCCGGGCCGGCCATGACAACGTCCGTTCCCCGAATCCCTTCATCAAACCCGACGTATCTGACAACTCTACTCAGTCTCCTGCTATCAAGGCCGAGCCCGCTCAGTCTGACGCCGACAAGAAGGCGGAACGTCTTGCGAAACTCGAAGCCTGGAAGAAGAAGAAAGAGAGCCAGGTTCAACAGCAGAGGGCGGGTGATGCTACGCAAGCCCGGAAAATCCTTGCTGAAATGGACCAGTCTGGAGCTGTTCCTTCACCAGGCGCACCTTCTCCAGGTATTTCAAATGCTGCATCCCCAGGAACGATTGATAATTCCGGGAATGCGTCTCCTGCTCAGCCTTACGCTGGAAAATTTGACCCAAAGTCGATTGCGAAGAAATCGGCTGCCCGATCCAGCGACTCGACCAAGGCGGTCCTGGGGATGGTCGGCATCCAGCCACCAGTCTCTGTCCCAAAGACATCCCAGCAAGCTTCTACAGGTATTTTCCCTTCAGAGATCGGCGACACGGACTCGGCTGACACCATCGCAGCAGCGTCATCGCTACCTGCAAACCGCGCCAAAGCTAGCGGCTTTGGCTTCGGAAAGTCTCAGAAGGGCCAGGTAGAGAATGGCAAAATGCCCAACAAGCGGATGCTGGATCTCGACGAGGACGACACCGTGAAGCGGAAGCTCACGAAGCTACCTACGCTATCAGTTGATGCCGACACCACGCCTTATGCCGATCAGGACGATGACGACGACGCCGGCGAGAACATCGCCGAGGACGAGGAGGCCGCCGTTGCTGCAGACCGAGCCGCTCACGAACGGCGATTGCAAGCTGAGAATCAGGCGGAGCAAGGTGCTGTAGAGCCCGACGCAGAGGGTGACCAGGCCATGAGCAATGTCGCGGACGCAGAAGTCGATGCATCCAAGACAGCTGCGACAACAGAAGCGCAGCCTGCTGCCGAGTCCATGGATGTCGATGGAGAGTCGGAAGTAGATCCTCTGGATGCATTCATGGCGAATCTCCACAAATCGGAAGCCCAAAAGGCAAAAACCCCTGCCCAGGGTACCAAGAGTTCTCATATTCCGGAGACGTATTTCAGCGACGAGGACAACATCTACGACGCCGAGGGCAATGATGGCGCCAATAACATTCTGGCCATGACCAACAAGCGCAAGAAGAAAGACATTCCCACCACCGACTATAGCAAAATCAGTATCGACCCCGTTCGCAAGAACTTCTGGGTTGAGCCCTCCGAGGTAAAGGCTCTTACCGAGGACGAAGTTGCCGATCTGCGCCAGGAGCTCGACGGCATCAAAGTCAAAGGCAAAGACGTCCCAAGACCGGTCCAGAAATGGGCGCAGTGCGGCCTCATCCGCCAAGCGCTGGATGCCATCAGTAGCCTTGGCTTTGAGAAGCCGACAGCCATCCAGTCTCAAGCCATCCCCTCAATCATGTCCGGAAGAGACGTCATTGGTGTGGCGAAGACAGGCTCTGGCAAGACGCTTGCTTTCCTTCTGCCCATGTTCCGGCACATCATGGACCAGCCCAAACTCAAATCAACGGACGGGGCCATCGCTCTGGTGCTTGCACCGACGCGTGAACTGGCCACGCAGATCCACAAGGACTGCAAGCCATTCTTGAAGACTACTAATCTTCGCGCTGTCTGCGCCTACGGAGGTACCCCCGTCAGCGAGCAGATTGCCGACCTCAAGCGTGGTGCCGAGATCATCATCGCGACCCCTGGCCGCATGATTGACCTTTTGGCTGCCAACCAGGGACGAGTCACCAACCTGCGGAGAGTCACGTATGTGGTCCTCGACGAGGCAGACCGCATGTTCGACATGGGATTCGAGCCGCAGGTGATGAAGATTTTCGCAAATATGCGACCCGACAAGCAGACCATCCTGTTTTCCGCGACGATGCCGCGTCTCATCGACTCGTTGACCAAAAAGGTCCTCAAGAACCCCGTGGAGATCACGGTCGGTGGGCGAAGCGTGGTCGCCAAGGAGATCGAGCAGATTGTCGAGGTTCGGGAGGAAACCGATAAATTCATCCGTGTACTGGAGCTGCTTGGCGAGCTCTACGACCGAGACGAGGACGCGCGGTCGCTCATTTTTGTCGAACGACAAGACAAGGCGGATAGCCTCCTGAAGGAGCTCATGCAGAAGGGCTACCCATGCATGTCCATCCACGGCGGTAAAGACCAGGTCGACCGCGACTCCACCATTTCGGACTTCAAGAAGGGCATTTTCCCCATCCTTATTGCGACTTCGGTTGCTGCTCGCGGCCTGGATGTCAAGCAGCTGAAGCTCGTCATCAACTATGACGCGCCGAACCACTTGGAGGACTATGTCCATCGAGCTGGCCGCACTGGTCGTGCCGGAAACACAGGCGTTGCTGTCACATTCATCACCCCCGAGCAGGAAAACTGCGCAACGGGCATCGCGAAGGCCCTGGAGCAGAGCGGACAGCCTGTTCCGGAGAAGCTCGAGGAGATGCGGAAGTCGTACCGCGAAAAGGTCAAGGCCGGAAAGGCAAAGGATTCTTCTGGATTCGGCGGCAAGGGCCTGGACCGACTCGACCAAGAGCGCGAAGCAGCTCGCCAGGTTCAGCGCAAGACGCACAGAGCTGAAGGCGAGGAGGAAGAAGAAAAAGAAGACAAAAAGGCCGAAGAAAAGGGCGAGAAGGCGTTCGAGGCTATCAGAGCGGCGGCATCCGGCGTCCAGGCTCGCGATAGCGCCAAGGCCGAGGGCGCGGACGGCAAGGCTTCTCAGAAGGGGGCTGCCGCAGTCGCAGGCGACAAGTCGGAGAATCCTCTCGACAAGGTCAGCTCGGCCGTCAGTGCCATCAACAGCCGTCTGGGCAAGTCTGGCCAGCTTCGCTCTGGTCAACCCATTGACAACAAGGGCCCCGACGCCGGCGCTTTCCACGCCACTCTCGAGATCAATGACTTCCCCCAGAAGGCCAGATGGGCGGTCACAAACCGCACCAACGTCGCCAAGATCCTCGACTCGACCGGTACCTCCATCACCACGAAGGGAAGCTTCTATCCTCCCGGCAAGGAAGTGCCGCCCAACGGCGACCCGAAGCTGTACATCCTTATTGAGGGTGACACCGAGGTGGCTGTGAGCTCGGCTCTCCAGGAAATGACGCGTCTGCTGAGAGAGGCGACGATCGCGGCGGCCGATGCCGACAGCCGGGCGCCAGCCAGCGGTCGGTACACGGTTACCTAGTAGGTGCTGTGATTTCACCTGTAGGAAGGCGTCGGCGGTGTAAGGGGCGTGTTATCGCGAGGAGGCTTTTGGTACACGGTGTTGACGACGATGGCATTGGCGTATGGATGTTGTCCGGGAGGGGTTCGAGATATGTGGCACGACCACGCTTCCATTGGCTGCACTCTTTCTTGCTTGACGCGCGTTGCGTAGACGGGACTACCAGCTAGGTAGCAGTGTATGAAACAAAAGGACTTCTTTCAAAACGACGACGGGACCTCAGGCCGTGACTTGACGCGGGGCAGCCAAGCCGCAAGGCCACGCCGTTGAACTCGTGCGAGAAGAACGAATCGCTGATGGTATATTGTGAAGAAAATTTGACCCAAGCAAGGGCCCTGCAACGAATGCCAACGAAAGGGAAAGATCTGCCATATATATACACGCCTGCCTCGCTCAGTGACTGCCAGCCGGTGCAGCATAACAAATCCCACATCGGACCAAACGTCCGCCGCTACCACTCCGGCTCCCGCTCCCGCTCCCGCTCGGATTCCCAAACACTGAACAACAACAGCAAACAGACCCGCTCCGCTCCGTTGCGGGTCTTTAATTCCACTGCCTGGCCTCGAGGCCCTCGTCCGCGTCTCTGGCCCGCCGCTCGGCCTCGCTGGCGCCCTTCATGGTGTCGGACCGGGACTGCTTTTTTTGCGCGTTGAGCTGGGCTTTGAGCTTGCCGCCTTTGTTGGCAGCCTTGGCGCGTGCCTATACATCGCGGGCGCACGCAGTGTCAGCATAATTATCTCACTTTCATTCCCCATGTGCCGCACACTTGGTTTTCGTCCTGAGGGGGCTGGAAAACAGTGCGGCGGAAGGAGGGTCAGGGGGTAGGGATGGAAAGGGATTCGCGCACCTCTGCTGCCTCGGCGGCTCTTCTCCGCGCGTCACCTGGATCGACTGACGAGTCCCCGCCAGCGGGCTCGTGGCCGCCGCTGCCGCCGCCGAGTGTCCGGGGCGGGCCGCCGACCTTCTTGGGTACGGACGAGGTCGTCCTCGGGGCGGGGGCGGAGCCGAGGACGCGGCCTGGCGGGGAGGGGTTCGGCTCGGCCTTGCCGCAGATGTTGCCCATGCTGGACGAGGGACGGTGAAGGGAGGCCCTTTGTATCGACTTTACACGGCTGAGGGAGAGAAGGCGTTGGCTGTGAGCGGTTGCGGCAGGCGGTCGGGAGAGAGGCGGACGCGGAGAGGGATATGCAACCCGCGGTTCGATGAAGAGACGGTCTGTTGCGGCACGGGGCAATGCGCGGGCGCTGCGGGCGGGGACGGGCGGGCTGTGCAGTAGCAGCGGTGTCAGTAGTAGTCCGGGAGGCTGTCGTTGCGGTGCTCCGTGAGTACTGAGTACGTACAGTAGCAGTCCTCAACGGCGCTCCGATGTGGACGTCTAGGCACAATTATTGCAAGTCGGGGGCCAGAGGCGGGGTGGAGGTAAGTTTGTGTCAGGAACGGCGGCGCATGTCGTCGGCGGCGGCGCGGGATCGGCTCAGCTTCTTTCAGGGTCTCTCTCGCATGCGTGGTGTCACCTCCAGTGCAGGCAAGTACGTGGCTTGGAGCGGTTTCCCCAGACGAGGCGGGGTACAACGGTGAGACCTCGGTGAGAGTCGGGAGCTCACCGTTCACCGGAGCTTCAGGTGCGTCTAGCCTGCCTACCCTGCAGAGGAATTTCGTCAGAGGAAATCGAGAGCGAGGGGCCGCACGACGAGCAATGGGTCTATCGTTTTGTTGTCATAAGTCACCTGAAGCATATATTCTCATCCAAGAGTAATTGTTTGCGCTGCTTATGGGTGAGTGCCTGTGTACTCTGCAATAGTGCCGTGTCTGCTACCTCAGAGTAAAGCGTGCCAAAGGCGTCCACGGCAGCACCTACATGCGCGAAACACACATCAAGACAAGAGTGTGAGTGTCTTGCACCGAAGAGAAGATCAGGTTGCGCGCACTGCGGCGAGGCGCGAAAATTGCGTCAAAGTGATTGCCTCTGCCACCAAGCTCTGTTCGGCAAGCCCAAGTTCAACACAGAAGGCAGTTTGCGAAAGCAGCAATAGTAGTGGCGGGTCCACTGCCTCTACGGGCGAGAAGGATAATTTGAAGGCACCTCGTTAGCGCCAGCTTTGTGCTGCGCGCACCCGTCCCGCCGTTCGCGAAGCTTGCTGGGTGCCGCACGCAACTGTTTGCCGGGTTGCGCCAGTCCAGGGCACGGACGATGGCGATGAATTGATAGTGCCGCCGAGGACAAAGGGCCTCGACGCCATTGGCCGGGCCGAGAGGTGAGGTGATGGAGTCGCGTTGGCTAGGTCCTCTGTACCTTAACTACCGCCTTATCATCGCCGGGGCTGATCGTATGCGGTACTTTCGTAAGGCGGGCGGGCACCGGCGCAGGCAGTGCCACCTGAGGTCATGCTGGTCTTGCTGCTGGTGCTGCGGCGCGGCGGCTGCTGCCCCTCCACACCGGCGGGTCGGGGGGGCCCTTTTTTTTCGGAAGGACGTGGACTGCTGTGCTGGACGGCATGACCTGACCCTGGCCTGACCATCCGGGTTCTCACCCTCACGCTTCCCATCGCCCATCCGCGCAACAGGACAGGGCAACGACGACCGCCCACAGCGCCTGCCCGAGTGCGGCTGCGGTCGCGCTGTTGCTGCTGCTGCTGCTGCTCACGCCGATGCTACTGCCGTTGCCGCCACCGCCGCTTCCCTGTCGTTGCTCCCGCTGCCCACCTCACGAGCACGAACCCGTCCCCGGCGCACACGCGGAGAGGCTCTTCTCTTCATCCTTTGCTCCGTGCCGTTCCTCGCCGCCGTCGCCTCACTCCCGAGCGCTCACTCGTCCTCCGCCTTCATTCGCTCCTCTGCTCCTCCAGGTCGACCCTCACTCCTCTGCTTGCCAGACAGAATAGCAGGCAGGAATTTCACCATCCAACGCTCCTCGCCAAGCGGGTTGAGCGCCGCCCCTCCTGATCGCCTGTTGCGACAATTTGGTACCCCTCCACGTCGGAAAGCAGCATGTACCAAGTGGCCGCCTCGATCGCAGGAGAATCCGTCTAGGTTACCTACCAGCCTCGACTTCTCACGCTCCCGCGCGGACTTCGTGTGGTTCTAACACTCCGGGGCGACTTCCGCGGTGCTCAAGCGCGCATTCGGCTCCTCCATCACCAGTCTTCTACCTCTATTCACACACCTGGACTGTTCGTCCACCGCCAGCCCTGACCATGGACGGCTCACACTTGCCCTTCGACGCCCACATGGGCGCGGCGTCTTCTTCGGCGGCCGGCATGGCTTCCCTCTCGCTCGACTTTGACGCATTCATGGCCGCTGATCACTCCGCCTCACACGGGCTTGGGCCTTTCGAGCCTTGCGTCCACGACGACGCGTGCCTGGACAACCACCACCATTTTCGTCAGCCGAAAGCTAGCAACAAGCTCAACAGCAGTTTCGCCCAGCCGTATCAAGCCGGCGTGCCCGTGTCGGCTGGCAGAGGCCACGGCCAGTCTGCGCAGCAACGCATTCCGGCAACAGCACCCACCTCCCCTACTCTGGACAATGGCCAGCCCTACACCTGGGAAAGCCTCTTCAACGACCATGCCCTGGACAACGCTGCCTTGCACACCGAGAACTTTGGCTTTTGTCAGGATGACGACTGTGCCTCTGAATGCAGCTCCGCGTGTGATGGGAGCTGTCCCAGCCAATGCGGGGATACCGGCCATGGCATCTGCTGTGACGACGATGCCTGTGGCAGCCCCAATTTGTGTCTTGACGAGGCATGTCAAGGTGCCAGCCACCCTTGCAACGACGAGAGTTGTCTAGCCGACAATGCCAGCGAGGCACCCTCCAAACCAAACCCTGCCATGACGGACGGCGACAAGGCTGCCGCCGCTGCCCTGGCTTCCTTCGGTGATGGTCAGCTTCAGATGATGCAGGACGCTCAAGCTGGCTTCATGCAAGCCTCGCCCACCGCGCCACCACCGACTCGGGACGGGCAGATGTCCTTCATGAACCTTCCCCAAACCCTGCCGTGCGGGAGTCTCTCGCTGGACTCCATGTATCCAAGCACGTCGCCTGGCTTCTCACACCAGCAGTTCCAAATGGCTTTCGAGTATGCTCTTGCGAACCATATCATGCAGTATCACGACCCGTCACGCGGCATGGCTCATGCTGGTAACTGCCTGGCAAACGACCCGGGCCAGTTCATCTCCAAATGCACACTGCCAAAGTTCAGCGCCAACGACAACGTCACCGACCCATACCTCTCACAGCTTCAGGGCGGACATGAATGTGGTTTTCAGGTCCAAGACCCGAACGCGTTTGCACATCACATCTTTGAAGAGCACAGGCCTGCACTCATGCTCCATGCTCAACATTTTCGACAACCTGGAGTACCACAGTCTAACATCCATGTCCATCACGGTGTTTCCCATCATCATGGGTCGCACACTGGGTCTCATATGGGCAGTCAAATGATCCAAGGAAAGAACTTCTCACCCTCGCCATCGCCACTGGCGGCCTTGTCCATGGGCCCGTCTCTCTCAACGACGCCATCGTCGTCTCTCGCAACCCCTTCGCCTCTTGAATCGGAGACTGGCTTCACTGAACCGAGCTCTAGCGCCAGGTCTAAGAGCCCTCACGCTGAGTCGAAACCACACATCCTCACAGAGGAGGACCAGTTCAGGTGTCGATGGGTTATGGGCGATGGCAGCGGCATCTGTGGCCATCGCTTCGACAATGACGAAGAACTGCAAAAGCACTGCAAGCTGGATCATCTCAAGCCGCTAAAGAAAGTCCGTGGTGGCTTCCGGTGCGGCTGGGAAGGCTGCACGCGAGACACGTGTTTCACTCAGAGGAGCAAGGTGGAGCGTCACATGCAGGTGCACACTGGATGTGAGTTCTACGGCTCTACTTGCTGGGAGCTCTCGAGGCTGACAGTTTACAGACAAACCGGTTCAGTGCACCATATGCGGTGCAGCATTGTCTGCAAAGCAAGCCCTTGATCAACATATGAGAATACACACGGGCGAGACGCCGTGGGTGTGCAAGTATCCCGGCTGCGGTTGTGCTTTTAAGCAGCAAAGCGCCCTCAGTAAGACCTATTCTGTTTCTGTTTTATTTGTAACTGATGGACTAACACGACGCCTAGCCATGCATGAGCGGACACACACGGGCGACAAGCCTTTGGAATGTGAAATTTGCGGCAAGAGGTTTAGCGAATCCTCCAATCTGTCCAAGCATCGCCGCACCCACAATGTCAAGGGCATGCATGAGTGCCAGCTCTGTGGCAAGGACTTCCACAGACTGGACCAGCTACGTCGACACATGGGCACGAACCACAAGGATAGACCAGCCGAAGTGGATGCTCTCCTGAGCAAGGCCAAGAGCAAAATGCAAGCTCAAAAAGTGTCCAAGGCGGCGCGGAAAAACAAGGGCAAGGGGGACGCGGACGGCCTGAGCGCCGATGCCCTCGAATTGATCGAGGATCATCTGGAGAGCGTTGTTATCGCTCAAGATTCATTATGAAGCTGCAGAGGAGGAGATGCATCGGACATGCACGTTGGGTTCTCATAACGAGCAATGACTACAGTGGGAGTGTCGTCTCAGACAGAGATGTGGAGTGAGGGACGACCAAGGCGTTGGGGATACCCCGGAGGCGCACATTGGCGGCGATATAAAAGCAAGGCTGAGCGAATGATTTGTACATTTGGATCCTGTCCAACGGACTATGCCGGACACGCTACGAATATGAGCCGTAGCATGAGAGGCACGAGCAATACGCATAGGCGACTGATCGGAAAGACAGTTTCCATGAAGTTCTGCTGTGTGACCGTAACATAACCGCCGGTGGTTCGATGTGCTCAACATCCACCACAATGTTGTGCGGACGAACCGGCAGTTCAGGGCATGCGCAGTTATCGGCTAGAAATTTGCCAACATGGCAGTCACGTCGAACAGACTGAAATTTGATCATGACCTCATTTTTTTGATTTATAAGGCTGCTGATTGAGCGGCCCATGGCGGACGGCCGTTCCGCCCCCCAGAACGAGGCCCATACCGGGAAACAAGTACAAATCAGACCGAGATTCCCCAGAGCCATGCGATGCAAGTTCGGAAGCCTTTTGTTCAGAGAAAAAGCACGCCACGCCTCGATACCCCTCCCAATCCCTGTTCGTCTACCCTTGACGCTCCATTCGCCCCTCAAGTCCTGCAAACACTTAGGCCTAAAAGTGACTGTCAGCATACGATGCTCTGACGCGGTTGCGCAATGGGAGGACGAGGAGGAGCCGAGACGAGGTGTGAGTGCCCTTGCGTCCCGGTTCCTCCCTAATTGGCTCCCCGTGTCGGTGTGAATCGTACCTTGATGGCGTACTTCCTTTGGGGGAAGTGGGTGCTGCGCTTCTTGGTCTTCTCCAGGACGCGGGCCTTGTCCTCGGGTGACAGGCGGCGGCGGATGGCGCGGGTCTGCTTGGCGCGGAGGTCGAGGGGAGCGTACTTCTTGTTCTTGTAGAAGAGGCGGAGCTGCGAGCGTTGCTTGGCGTTGATGACGGTGAGGACGCGGGCGATGGACTTTCGCAGGTCGTGGCTGTGGAATCGGAGACGCCCCGGTCAGCAATCGACGATTCTACCATCTTCCCAACGATCCGGGGCCGCTGCCGTCGCGGGCATCCTCCAACCCTCGGATGTTGTTTCGTTCTCGGGGGGGAAATCCTCACATCTTGTTCAGCTTGGAGCCGGACGAGACGACCTTCTGGATGCGGAGCTGGCCCAGCTCGGTCTTGAGCTCGGCGAGCTGCTTCGTCAAATCGTCCTTGCTCTTGTCCCAGAGCTGGACGGCCTTAACCTTGCCCGACGACTAATAACGACATTTCGAGTCAGCGAATCTGTTTCATTCCTCCATTGTGTTCCCCTCCCATCCCGACGCAAGCAGAGAACCTCGACAGCGTGACGAAGAGCGAGAGCGGACGGTCAGATTGATGTTGTTTCGAGGAAAGTGGTCGTCGTCCGTCGGGCGGATTGATTTTGATATGACGGCGTCGGTGCGCGCACATGGGAGCGACGATGCCCTCTCGTTTCGACGGCAATTCGAGGTTCGGAAAAATGCTGCGACGACGACATGTTCGGGGTGCTTGCAAAGGGGCCATCACGACGCGGCAGGACTCACCATCTTTATTATCTTCGATGGGGGTGATGTGCGAAGTGTGTCGACGAGGTGCGTAAAGTGAGAAGTCAGCCTCGAACCGTTGACCGGGCGTATCGCAAATGGGATCAGTAGGGTCGCCTGGAGAATTTAGCAGAGGGTTTTGCCGAGACGGTGAAAATTTGCCCTAGGGCTTGGTTCTGTGCGCGCGCAGGGAAATTTTGGCGCCCTTGATTGGCCACACGCGTCGGAAAACCGGGGTGCAATTCAGCATCACGTGAGAGACCCCGTGGCCGAGTGGAGAGACTCTAGCGTGGGCGGTGAGCGGGTTTCTGCCAAGTCGGGTGGATGGCGACGCCGTGACGCAGGGCGTGTCGCTGGATCCGGGACTAGGCGTGCGTGTCCGTGTGTGTGGCATGTCCCCTGGACAGCTTGCTTCCCGCTCTGCCCGGTGACATTGCAACTGTCGCATCTCTCCCACAACGAACCATGTCTGCGCCAACAGGAAGCGGGGGCTGGGCCCAGCTGCGGCAGCAGGCCCGGACGCTGGAGACTCAGGTAAGGAAGGGCTGCTTCTTCTTCCCCGTCGGGCGACGATGCTGCGTGCCGGCTATACTCCCTTTTGCATGTGCCGCCGCCGGGATAGCGAATCGCTGACCCTCGGCAACGACAACCCGCAGACGGAGACGCTTTTCCACACGTACTCGCAGTTCTCGACGGCCGCCAACATACCGCCGAAGCCGACCGACCAGGAGCGAGAAACCGAAGCCAAGATCCAGGAGCTGCTGGAAAAGGTGAGCCCATCCTCGGCCCCCTTCGATGCATGCGCGCAACTGCCATGCCCATTGCTAGAGAAGGCGTACGGGAAGCTGACCAGGGTTGTGTGAACCACCTAACAGCGCGAGTCGGTCGTCTCGCAGCTCGCGCGGCTGCTCGACTCGGAGGCCAGCCTCACCTCATCCGCGCTCAAGCAGAACAACCTCTCGCTGCTGCGGGAGAAGCTGGCGGCGCACCGGCGCGACCTGGGCCGGCTGCGCGGGACGCTGCAACAGGCGCGCGACCGAGCCAACCTGCTGACCAACGTGCGGTCCGACATCGACCAGTACCGCGCCAACAACCCGGAGGCGGCCGAGGCCGAGTACATGATCGACGAGCGGCGGCGCATCGACAACAGCCATGGCATGGCCGACAGCGTGCTGAGCCAGGCGTACGCCGTCAACGACAGCTTCGTCCTGCAGCGCGAGACCCTGTCGAGCATCAACCGCCGCATCACCCTGGCGGCGAGCAAGGTGCCGGGTATCAACACGCTCATCGGGAGAATATCCGCCAAGAAGAGGAGGGACGGCATCATCATGGGTTGCTTCATTGCCCTTTGCTTCATCGTATTTTGGTGGCTGCTATAAGAGCCGGATGCGGATGAGATGACGACGGCGGGAGACTAATACATTTGGCGGGGCGACGAGGGACCGCACGGGGGGAAACAGGGCAACGGGATCTGATCCGCATGGGCAACGGCGTTTTCAGCGGGGTATCAGCGTTCATATCTATCTGTCTATGAGGTTCTTGTTGTACAATATGGCAGGGCCATATGGTCGTTTCGTAGCAAAATTTTACAGACGGCGGCGGCACGCTCGGTGCCGACCAGCACGTATCTCTTCTATGCCTTGGGGCTGTCCTGACGCGCCTTGCCGGGAAGCTGCTCCCGCGCTGCGGCCGGGCGGGCGGCATCTCTCTTGATCTCGTCGACGAGGCGGGCGAGGCCCTTGGTCAGGCCCTCGACCTCGTCCGGGTGGCCGGTGCCGCTGCCCGCCCAGCGGATGCGGCAGTGGTGGTCGACGAGGTAGGTGTAGCCGACCTTTGTGTTGAGCAAGCCAATAGACTCGCGAATGCTGTCGGTGATGCCTCTGCGGACGAGGAAGTACTTGTCCCAGTCCTGCTCAGGGAAGCGCTTGCGGAGAGAGCCGCGGAAGAGACGAACGAGCCAGGCCTTGCCGGCGTTGTCCTCGTAGTTGACGTTGACGAGCTGCGCGAGGCCGGGCTCGCGGGCGACGAGGTCGTGCAGGGCCGGGTTGGCGGTGCGGGAGGTGAAGCTGGCGACCTGCTGCTCCGCCCACTGGCTGCTAAAGATGGAGACGACGGAGGCGCGGCCGGCGAGCAGGGGCGTGGTGTCGCGCGGGGCGGTGTCGGTCTTGAGGAGGGTCTCGCCGTAGAGGTTGGGGAAGAAGAGGGAGAGCTCGGCCTTGAAGAGGCGCGGGGGCGCGATGAAGGACTTGCCCTGGTGGAACTGGAGGTTGCCCCAGTCGCGGAAGTAGGGACGCGAGATCTGGGCGGTCCTAGATGCGCATCATCAGTCAGCCATTGTTCCTCGTCCTTGTCTGTCACTCGCGAGCCTTCTCGAAGGAGCAACGGGTCGACGGGCGGTTGGCAAGGCTTACAGCTCTTTTCGCCGCTGCAGGTGCTTGTCGTAGTCGACAAAGTCCTCCTTGCGCTGCTTAAAGGAGCGGGCGTCGATGCCCGTGTTCTCGCCGGGCTTGGGGGGCAACGGCATGCCGATGGGCCGGGGCAGGGGCTTGGGGACGAAATGGCCCTCGACGCGCTTGCCGTAGGAGCGCGGGGCCTCGATGGGGGCGCCGGCGACGGCGCTCTTGGGGTCGAGGGAGGCTCCGGCGGCGGGCTTCTCTGCGCGGGCGGCGCGCGGCGCGGACGTGGCGAGGCTGCGTCGCTGCTGCTGTTGCTGAAGCCGTCGGTGATGTGGTGACGGGTTGAGGTATCGCTCCGACTGAGACGGCTGGCGGCAGTGAGCGCAGGGGAAGGCGGACTGCTGCAAGGGCCGGAGGGCGAGGCGGCCCAGGGCCAGCTCCAGCCGTTGCGAGGCCATTGTGGTGCTTGCGCGCGTCGGCGCTGGAGACGGGACTGAATTAGTGGTGGTCGTGTGGTTTGGTTGGCGGTGTGGCCGAAGTTGGAATCGGGGTTGAGCAACGTCGTCAAGTCGCGAGAGGCGGCCCCGTAAAATTTCCATTTCCAGGTCGCGCCAACGGCCGAGGAGCCTGAAGTGCCTTGGAGGGTTCACCCCGTCTCCACTATGTCGGCCGCGAAGTCGCCCGGCTAGAGGTGCCCGGAGGTGCCTGCCGTTGCCGGCACTCGACCCGTTCCGTCGGGTGTACATACCTTGGTAGGTCCGTGGTGACTTCCAGGTTCCCCGTCAGGAATACTTGGGCAGGTACATTATGTACTCAAGTCAGATTCGTCGACGCCAGCCCGCGGAGCCAGCTACCTTTACTTATCAACTTATCAAGCAACAAGCCGCGGCCGCCCCTTTTAGATGCAACCTATTATTATCTAGTTACGTCTGACGTCCGACAAAGCACTCCGTAGCATGCAGCCAGCAGTCGACGATGTCGACGCCCTTGCAGGACGGCACCGACGCCGTCTCACCCTGCCAGAGGCTGCCAGATGTCGCCTCGTTGAAGCTGCAAGACGCGCGCCATGTTGACGACCAGCGGCGAGCCGGGGACTCGCCCAAGCCGCCAACGCTTGACCAGCTCCCCACGGAAATTGTCGAGCACATTCTTGGTTATTTCGAACAACCATTACACATGAACCTTTACGAGCTGCAATATCGGAGACTCCACTCTCCCCTGGCGCGGGATGCCTGGAACACCCGCCAAAAGGCCGTTCAGAGCCTGCGCCTCGTGTGTCGACGCCTTCACGACCTTGCATCGCCATTGCTGTTCCCGTATGTCTCCCTGAGCCTTGACCAAGAGTCTTTGGACGCGGTGGACAGAATCTCCCGGCGACCGTACCTTGCAGCGGGTGTCCGCGGTGTCATGGTGGACCAGACGTGTCGTGATGGCGCCTTGGTCAACGGCCAACGCCCCTTTACCGAGTTCAACAGAGAGCTCATCGAGAAGCTACAGAGATACGCCATCGACTTCTATTACGACACGCACGAGTTCGCGGATGACGAGGGCGGGCACGAGGAGGACAAGGCACGGGCCCGTCTGGAAGTACGCAACTTCCGGGTCATATGCAACGCATGGAACGCGAACTATCGGATCCCGGCCCGGGCCGAGTCGGACGACTTGGTCTCCGACGTCGCAGAGGCGCAGAAATACGTGGACCTCCTTCGGCGAGGACGTGCGGCCTACGCGCGCGCCTTCGAAAAGCAGGTCCGCCTAGTCAGTGACGGCACCTTCCTCCGGGTGCTCGCGGCCGCCTTTGCCCGGATGCCGCGCCTGGATACGGTAAACGTGGGAGGACGACGGCTACGCTTGTATGCCAACTGCCGTGACCAACATCGGGTGCTCACAGACGATGACGAGCTGGAGCGGTTCGTGGAGTCGCAGGCTTGGTCCCGGACCGAGACGCCGCCCAATAATATGTTTGTTGAAGTGCTTCTTGCCGCCCACGCCGCCGGCAGACGACTGAGGCATATCTACGCCGAAGACGCCAGGCTCGGCACGCACGTGGCCGTGGCAAGACCAGACGAGGGAGCGGACGAAGACATAGGGGAGAAGCTGCGGGCGGTAAGTCAGGCATTAGAGTCAGTTCATCTCTTTGTCGATGAGCGACTTGACCCTGCCGAGGCCAGTTTCGTCGACGACTATGCCTCAACCGTCACTTCCGGCAGGGAGCTTCGCACCCTCGTCCTGGAAGGACACGCCAGGTACCACTCGATGCACCGTGTCGAGCTGACAAGCCACGCGCGATGCCTGACCACGGCAGACTGGCCGTGCCTGCGGAAGCTGCACGTTTATTACGCCGCCGTGTCGCAGACGGACCTTGAGGCGCTGTGCGGCGGCTTGCGCGACGGGTCCCTGCATAACTTGCTCCTGGTGTTTGTCTTCCTCATCAGCGGCCTGTGGGCAGACGTGCTGGACGCGCTCCGCAGCAAGGTGTCTCGCGGCGAGGGCTGCAGCGCGCGGCTACTGAGGCCCATGGGGGCCGAGATGCGCAACCTGGTTGAGCGTCACGTCATCGAGGACGAGGCTACGCGCAGCGCGTGGGAGGCCCAGGGGTTTGCGAGGCTGGAACCGATAGTCACGCAGCGGGCGGAGTGGTATCTTGCCGGCGACCCAAGGGCCCCGGTGAATCCCTTTCGGGGTGAGCTGGACGAGGAACACTGCAAGTTGAGACATTGAGCGGTGCAATGGTGCTCTGCGCGAAGCGGTGGTGCATGGCGGCGTATGCACCACATTTCGGGTTGATAAGCGGAGTTTTGGTTAGGTGGGTAGGCAGCGGGCGTGTTTAGGCGCAAAACATGGCATAACAGCTGGGCGTTGCCCCAGGAGCGGGAAGTAAGCTACTGGAAAATTACCGAGTATTTCCGGAGACTCGTACAGATCCAATTGTCGAATGCGCCTCGGGAGAAAGTGGTGACGAGTTTTGCTCATCACGATGGCGGACGTTGATGCCGGGTAGATGGGCGTTAGACGGCCGTCCACGGCCTGGTTTGCGCCGGATCGCTGACCCGCAGTTCGGCTCGGCGTCAGTGCCCGCTGCCCGGGCGCCTCATGGCGGGGTCTGATCCCAGCCCGTGTGCCGCGCTGCCCGCCTGCCGCCGCTGCCTCTGAGGTGCCGCTGAGTGTACGCGGGGTTCAATATTTCACAGCACGGTCCAGCACCCGGGCAGGCCCCCCAACAAGCCTAACCCACCTCACCTGTCTGACTCCACCCAGTCCAATGGCTGGTGGAAGCCCCTCCCCTCACCAAACCTGGCGTCAGACGTTGCCCCGAACTGCCCTGCTCGCTTCCCCAGACTCTCTCTCTCTCCCCACTGCCAATCCGGCTTCGGCTATTCGCGGCGGCTCAACCACCGACGACGCTGTGCCGACTGAAGCCATCGCACTTCGGCCTTGCGCTTCGTCGCCGGCAACCCAGCACCGCGTCTCTCCCGTGGTGTGTGTCTGGGGCAGGCCCAGCAGCACGGCAGCTTCTCTTTTTTTCTTCCCTTCTCCCCTACCTCCTTCTTCTTCGTCGTCGGATCATCATCTCAAGGCAGCATACCGTGGGCCGCGCCGTTGCTGACCATCTCTCTCTCGCACTCTCCCTTCCTCGACGCCCGCCTCGCCTGGTCGGTCCTCCGTCCGTAAGCGTCGTCTCACCGGCCCGGCTCTTCCGTTGGTTCGCAAAAAGAACACAAGGGACACGCGGAATACAAGAGGGAGAGAAATAGATAGAGCGAGAAAGAGAAAGAGAGGCTGCGTGGTGTTTCCCTCCCCCGCAGATCGGAGGACACACTCGCACAACATCACAATGTTTATGCAGCGGGGATCGCGCGTGCTGCGCAGGCAGCTCCAGGCCACCAAGGTCGTGGGCAGGGCCGCGATGACCAAGGCCAGCGGCTCTGGGGTCAAGGTCAACGTGGGCGGTTGCATGGCCGCTGCCGCGCCGAGGTGGTTCTCCGAGTCGAGGCGGCTGTGCGCCGTCAAGCCGGTGCTCCTGGCTGACATTGGCGAGGGTGAGTGTCCCCCAGGTTTCTGAGCACGGAGAGGTGCGCTGACTGGATCGTGACAGGCATCGTCGAGTGCGAAGTCATCCAGTGGTTCGTCGAGCCCGGGGCGCGCGTCGAGGAATTCTCCCCGCTGTGCGAGGTGCAGAGCGACAAGGCCTCGGTCGAGATCACCAGCCGCTTCGCCGGCACGGTCAAGAAGCTCTACTACGACGCCGGCGAGATGGCCAAGGTCGGCAAGCCCTTTGTCGACATTGACATTGAGGGCGACGACGCGGCGGCAGCGCCTCCGCCGGAGCAGGTACAAGCACAGGAGCAGCAGCAGCAGCAGCCCCCGCCCCCGCCGCCTACATCGTCGCAACAACAACAGCAGCAGCCTCAAGCAAGCAGTCCAGCTCCGCCGCCGCCGCAGACCAATGGCAACGGCGCCAAGCCCAAGGGCAAGATGGCGACGCTGGCGACGCCCGCGGTCCGACACCTGTCCAAGGAGCTCAACGTCGACATTGCCGACATTGACGGCACCGGCAAGGACGGGCGCGTCCTCAAGGAGGATATCTACAAGTATGTCCAGGGCGGAGGACAGCAAGCACCACAGCCGGGCCAGGCCGCGCCTCCGGCTGCCGGCGTGGCCGACACGTCGGTGCAGACGGAGACGCGGGAGCCGCTCTCGCAGGTGCAGCAGATGATGTTCAAGTCGATGACGCGGTCCCTCAACATCCCCCACTTCCTCTACGCCGACGAGATCGACATGTCGGACCTCGTGTCCCTCCGGGCGCGCCTCAACAAGGTGCTCGCGTCCAGCCCCGTTGCCGACGGCAGCCCGGCCAAGCTCTCGTACCTCCCCTTCATCATCAAGGCCGTCTCGCTGGCGCTGTACCAGTTCCCCATCCTCAACGCGCGCGTCGAGGTGGACCCGGAGACGGGCAAGCCGTCGCTCATCAAGCGCTCGCAGCACAACATCGGCGTGGCCATGGACGCGCCGCAGGGCCTCGTCGTACCGGTCATTAAGAACGTCGGCAGCCTCAACATCGTGTCCATCGCGGCCGAGCTCGTGCGGCTGCAGGGCCTCGCGCACGCCGGCAAGCTGACGCCGGCCGACATGTCGGGCGGCACCATCACCGTGTCCAACATCGGCAACATCGGCGGCACGTATCTCAGCCCCGTCATTGTCGAGCGCGAGGTGGCCATCCTCGGCATCGGGCGCATGCGCGCCGTGCCGGCCTTTGACGAGCACGACAATGTGGTCAAGAAGCACGTCTGCAACTTTAGCTGGAGCGCCGACCACCGCGTCGTCGACGGCGCCACCATGGCCCGCGCCGCCGAGGTGGTGCGCCGGGTCGTCGAGGAGCCCGACGTCATGGTCATGCAGCTGAGGTAGTGGCCGGGGGCTACGAAGTGTGGACGTAGCTGGGAAGAAGGAGGGGTTTAGACAGCAGTAGCCCTTCTCGTGCGTGACGCACGCATGTCATATCCGTAGTAGAGCGCGCCGGGATGTTTCAATGATAGAACCAAAAGAGAGACGATGCAGTCACACGACACACAAAACACACACACACAGGCCCAGGGGCAACGGGATACCTCCGAGGTATTGGAATAAAAAACCAGGCTGCTCGTGACCGAACCCCTCCAACCCTTGCACTTCCTTGGGATGCACACACACACACCTGTAAGCTCCAGCCGCGGCCCGGCCCGTCCACCCCCCCCTTCACTCCCCCGTCGTCTTCTCCCTCCCCCCGCCCGTCCTTCGCGTGCCGCCGTCCACTCGGAACCTGGAAGCACCATGAGCCTCGCCAACAACAACCCAAGACGGACACGACACACAACACGCACACACTCTCACCCATGCAGCCTCCCTCTCTCTCTCACCCACCCAGCCGCTCTCGGACCGGACCGCTTTCCCCCCGCGGAAGCACCCTCATCCCAGCAAAGAGGAGGACAAGCACGCCCGCCCGCGCGCCCGTGCCTGAGGGTGATACAGCACTAGGGTACTGAATGATTTTGCTCAGCTCGGGCTCGGGGGTTTCTGCTCCCCTGCACAGCGAGCGGTCCGTCGTCAGCCGCACGTCCGGCGGCTGCGGCGATGCACGTTTCTCTTTCTTTCCCCCGCGGAGCCTGGTCCTGTAGTAATACAGTACTGCCAAGGATCTATTTGAAGCAATCGACCGTAGATTATGCCCGTGGGCGGGGGGGTGCTGGACCGAGGCTGCAGTGTGTACATCACGGCACTGGCTTGGCCTGGCCTGGCCTGGTGGTCATGGAGGGGCGTCAACTGCGTGCACGCACACGCGGTGAGCCTCGCCAAGAGGTGCCTGGATGTGTGTGCTCACGCAACGAAACTGGGCATCATCAACGTCATCGTCCTCGCCCTTCCCGATGATGTTGTCCACGGGGAGAGACGCGTGACCACCGCCATCCCATCCCATCCCACCCATCCATCTGTATCCCATCCCATTACCTCATTTCATTCACAGCCTCGCCGCATCGGGTGTGCGCCCGCCGACTTTCGTCCTGCGTGAACGCGGGCGGCCCGTCGCGGGCTCGCCTCTCTCTCCGTCTACGAGCCGTCCGCACATGCAGTACTGTGCTGTACTTGATACCACACACCAGCACATAAGGTTGTGTCGTTGGGCTGACCCTACTTACCTACCTGTCCCGCGTGGTGCCTTGCCCCTACCTGACGGCCACCACCACCTCACCAGTTCCATCCCCCGCCTCATCCCCCTCTCCCTCAAACCCCCACGGTCGTACAGTTTATTGCTGTAGGCTCGGGTTTCATTCAGGTGCCTACGCTTGCCACCAGAGGCTGAAACCGGAATCATCATGACAGCTTCTTGCGCATCCCCGCGCTGGCATGTTTCTGGTCTCGTCCTCTCAGCTAGATAGATATCAGGAGCCTGCACTTACATGCACCTGGCGCAACACGTTACAACTCGCGAAGCCTCCCTCACATCTGAAAAAAAGACCATGCTACATTCTAGTAAGGAATTAGTACTTCCTCGCAAGCCTGTGCTCCGTACGCGCGCGGGCGCGCAATGACGACACAGCACGTGTCTTTGTACATGTGCAATGCTGCTGCGTACTTACTTCGTGGTGGTGGTGCAACACATCAACGACAAGCGCCACTCCCAGCCTCTGGGCAGAGAACAGCGTGTGAGCGAGAGCGCGCGTGTGTGACAATGGGGGTCGCAGGCTGAACGTCATGGCCGTCGTACTTCCCCTTTGAGCAGGCCCTGCATGCGGGCGGCCGCTTGCGCATGCACATGGCTGTGGCCCCCCCGGAACGTTGGGCTACGCATGTACTAGCACCAGGGCACGCACGAGCCATCATGGGTTTGCCGAGTGCGGGGTGCTTCTGGGCGTGTAGATCATCTTGACTCTGGATGACAACGAGTGCAACGTGGGCAGTGCGGTACGTAGTACAGTACGTTGTACCGGAGGAGTGCAGGACGACGTGGTCTATACCACGGCAGTAATAACTTTTCTTGTGTCTCGTGGCCGACGGGGACGTTAGTTGCTGTGAACTTGCGCCAACTCACCACCACGTCCCGTCTTTTACACCCAACAGTCGCGTCGCGGGCGTCTGCGCCGACGAGTTGCAGCGGAGCTGAGCCGTGCGGCGGCCGTCAGAGCGCTGCGTCGCCCATTTGTTGCAACTTAGTTATATGCAAGGCCCGGCCGGACGTGAGGCTCGCCCGCCGTCTTCCCTATTTGTCCGACTTGCGAGTCGTTGGCGGCGCGTGTCGACGACATGATGGCCAGAAACGGGGTCTAGATTCGGGAACTGCGGTGTAGTGTAATGTATTTCGCCCTCGCGGGCCTCCCCCGGGCGTCCCATGGTCTTCCCCCCCGGTCGCGAAACGCGGGGGCCGGAAGAGCCGCCCTGCCTCCGTCATGGGAAGCGGTCTAACTATCCAACGCCGCAGAGTATTGATGCAAAAAATAAAAGAAGAGCTGCAACGCAAAAAAAGCACGTCCACCAACGGCAAGCAAAGAAACGCCGGAACCTGTCGTTACTCCAGTCCCCAATGCACATCAGGTAGAGCCAAAACAACAAAAAAAGTGAAACCGTCCACGTCGTAGTGTAGCCTTGCAGCGTCTCATTGTCAGCGGTCGGCCTGCATAATGTCCGAGGCCGTGGCCAGTGCGTCTCGCTTGACGTCCTCGATGCTGCGGCTCACGTCGATGCTGAAGACGTCGCGCTCGTCCTGGGCGGGGGGCTCGAGGATGTCGAACTGGCTCTTGACCATGTTGGCGCCCATGTAGTGGCCCTTGCGGTTGGAGACGCGCTCGAGCAGCACCTCGGGCGAGGCGCTGAGGAAGATGAAGTGGACGAGGATGTCGTGGTCGTAGTAGGCGGCGACGCGGATGACGTCGCGGTACTTGCGCTTGAGGGCCGAGCACGTCACGACGACGCCCTCGGACCCGCGGTTGAGGCGGCCCATCGACTCGTCGCGGAGGGCGGTGAGCCAGTCCCACCGGTCGGCGTCTGTTAGCGGGACGCCGCTCCGCATCTTTTCAATGTTGGCCTCGGTGTGGAACTGCGCAGCAGCAAGGGGGGGTTCTGGTCAGCTTTTTCGTCTCACGCGTGTAGTAACACAGGTGTCACCGGCCAGGGAGGGGCGTCGTACCGAGTCTCCCTCGATGTAGGGCACGTCCAGCGCGCCCGCCAGGTACTCGGCCACCGTCGTCTTGCCGCACCCGGCGGGGCCGGTAACCAGCCAGATGTGGTGGTGCTTTTGCGCGCGACCGCCGGCCGCGGCGGACGAGGCCCTGTTGGAGGCGCTCTGCCCAGGGCCCGAGGGCGCTGCGTCCTGCCCGTTGACCCCGTTGACGGGCATCGAGTTGTCGTAGGAGAGCATGTCGAGGAGCGAATGTGGTGGGAGGGCTGACTGTGCCGCTTCCCACAGAGGGAGAAAGAGACGGGAGGGAGAGGAGAGAAGAGTAGACAGACGGGGCTAAGGGCCCATGCGAATTCTCGAATGTCTTTCGGTAGGCCTGGTGATGATGGCTGCTGCGGGCGCTCGGTGAGGTGTCTGTGGGCGTCGAGGCGAGGCGAGGCGAGGCAAAGCCAAAGTCTAAGTAGGGTTCGAAGTAGGGCAAGGCGGGACGGAGTGCAGGAAAGAATAAGCTTGCTCTTGGTATCAACGACGAGAACAAACACACAAAGACGAAGCTCCGCGCGTGACGTGACGTGACGTGACGTGACGTAGGGACGAGACTGGTGCGAATGTGCGAAAAGCAGTGACGAAGGGGGCGGCCACCGTCTAAATAAGACGCCTAGGTTGGTAAAACACGAGGGGGACGAAACTGCCTGAGTCGTGGTCGAGCGACCAAAAGCATTTACCGGTGAGCCCCAAGGGCCCCGAGGGGCTCCAAGGGCAGGCCGGGTTCGGATCTGCGCCTCCCACTGCCCCGGGGGCGGCGGGCACTTGGCCGCGCCTTGGTTTTTTTGCGCTCTCAGCCAGTCCGGTTGAGTTCGCGGAGGGCGGGTGGATGGGCGGCCGGATCATGGATGGGGATGGATGGGGTTCATTCTCCATTCCAGATTTGACGGTGGCATGGAAGTGGAGGGATGGACCTCGTGTGGAGGGGCGTGCGACGGCGCCTGCGGCCACGGCGGCGGCAGCGGCAGAAGACCCGACGACGACGACTCCATCCACTCGGCTCCAGCGCTGTGGTCCGCTGTGGCCCGCGCCTGGAGGCTGCCCAGGTGAACCTGGAACCTGAGCGTCCGGAGAGCCTGAGCGCCCGGGCGTGGGATGTGCAACTCCAGTGGACAGTGGCCCAATTAGTGACGCTGGCCCCCACGCCCGGCGCCACCCCTTCGGGCCATGGAGCTGGAGGCTTCCAGGTTCCCATTCTCGCCCACCTCAGGGCAAGTGCGTGCGTTCCATCTGCAGCCCGGCTGGCTGCTGCTGGGTAGGGCCTGTCCAGCCTGTCGGGTCTTGCTTTTTCTGCACCCTGGCTTCTTTTCCTCTCTGCTTCTTGGCCCTTTTCTCTTTTCGCCGTCCGCTCCGGCATCCCCTTGCTCTGCCTCATGTCGACGAGTCACGCGATGCCCTCAGCCCAGCAGTCATGCAGCCCGTCAGCCAGCAGTGTCCGCGGAGACACCAAAAAGATGAGGACGAGACGACACGCGGCGGTAAGACAGGCAAGCACCCTGCAAGCCACTCCGCGAAGAAACCGTTGGGTCCGTCTCCACCGACCCAGCAGCCTCCCTCGTGGGAGCCCGGCTCCAGCGCCGCGGGTGGTGTGAAATTGAGGGACGCCACCAACGATTCTGGGATGCGCTGAGTTGCGCCGCGCTGGGAGACGCCTGCTGTGCTTCCCGTCGACTCTCTGTGCGACCGACGGACTTGATGCACTTGCTGACGCTCGCCTCTGTCCCTCCGGGTCGGCCGACTGCAACGCTTCGGCCTCGCTTCGCCTTGCCTCGCTTGCTCTCCCCCGGTTGGTACGACCGCGGAGACCCGGTCCGGCGCGGTGCCCTGGTCGGCTGCCGGAAGCCCTTCCGGTACAGCAAACTTCGTCGTTTTCCTGCGCCGCGCGGTCCACAGCGACGAGCTGTGTGCGCAATACGTGCCCCGGCGGTCCGTTGGAGCACGGCCGCCCGTCATCATACAGAGTGGGCACCCACGCGCCGCCAGACAGGGGGGGTGCGAGGTGCGGGTGATTAGGCTGGGCGAGAGAAAGACCGGATTTGACCATCGGTGAGGAGACAGGCAGTCTGTCGAAACCTCGTGCGCACGCACGACCACCGCGCTCTTGTTGGCCGCCCAACACGTGGCTGGCTGGTCGCTGTGCCCAAAGCTCGGCGCTTCATCAACCAGTATTTGCATTAGCTATCTCACCCTCGTTGGTAGCGAGGTCTTGTGTCCCGAGCCGACGACACCAACGCGCGACCGAGACAAGCAACGGTTGGGGGGGGGGGGGGTGTCTGGAGCTCGTCGTCTCACACGAGTGTGCGTCGCGCAACATCCGCCGACAGCTGCCATGTTGGGCACCTGGCAGCACGGCTATTGGCGACGAGATCTTGGTGTGAAGAACGGCTCTGCCAGTTCGCGAAGACCAGGGGTATCGCCCAATGGGCTGGCTTTGAACCCTGTTCAACGACGTCGTCTCAGACAAAAAGAGAGGGTGCGCCCCGCGAACCATTTGCCGTCGGCAATAGGGCTGAACGCAGCAAACGCCGAGACCGCCGGTCGCGACGCCCGCCACCGTGGGGGAGGCGGCGGGCCGCTGCAGCCCGTCTGGAGCGTCGACGTGCCTCCATCACCATCACGATCTGGGGCGTGGGGTCCGTGGTTTCGAGAGCATGGCGTTTCAGACAGAGTCGTTTGCAACCGCAGTGCATTGCATTGCATTGCTTGATGCAGTGGCTCCCCGAGCCCTGGTGGTCTGTCCGCAATGGTCGTGTTGCGAAATGTACGATGCACATGCGGCACTGTGGATGCTCCCCGTCGACGCCTTGTGTTTTGACGTACTGAGACATAGTAATTACTTGGATGCCTACATAATAGAGTGCCAGAGGTGCTCCCCCTCTTGGCAGCGCTGTTACATGAAAGTGATGCAACACCCGGTCGAGTGCAAGAGCGTACAAATACAGGCATTCACCGGCTTGCGACCGGGCAGCCCTCCAGGCTTATCGGCGGCAACTCATGAGCTCCAGACCCAGACCATTACTTGCAGGTCTTTTGCTTCAGGATGAGGTTCCATTTATCCTTGTGAAAGACCTGCCCGCCATAGTAGCGGTCATCGTATCCCTTTATACGCCCACATCTGTCTCGTATGTACCTGATGGCATTGGCAATTAGGTCCCAGTCGTGGATGTTTATGGGGGCCGGGTTCTATAATTTAGGCATCATCGTCAGCATACGCTCCGGTTCGAAGTCGCTTCGACTCGGTCTCGCCGCAGCAGCCAGCGAGCCTTTTCTCTCCCCGCGTGCGTGATTGCGCGCGTGCGCGTGTGCAGACTCACGTCGTTGCAGATGCTAGACTGGGTGGAGTCCTTGCAGGTGAGGTCGGAGCAGACCCTGGGGCCCGGGTTGAGGATAGGATCGCCGTCGAGCCCTTGGAGGGCCTCGTAGGCGTTGGTGATGCCGCCGATCTTGATGTAGCCGAAATTGCCCCTGTTCGGCTGCTTGATGTCGGAGCAGATGAGCGACGCGGCGACGAAGACCCCGGAGCGCTTGTTGGCGCCTCCGGCGCTGCTGTGCGGGAAGTCGGTCTCGTACTTGGGGTTGATGGCGATGAGCTGGCGGCGCACGTCGGCCTCGGTGCCGTTGAGGCGCAGGACGGGGCCGCCGGGGAAGGCCGGCACGCGCCACTCGTCCCGCGCGTAGACGTGTCCGGCGGTGTTGTCGTCGCGGGCCGAGATGGCGGGGCTGCCGGAGGCGACGCCGGCGGCGACGGCGAGGCAGGTGAGTATCGTTGCTAACATGATTTGGGTTTGCTGTACTACTTCTTTCCTCCTACTTTGTTTTACGACAGGGGAGCCCTCGAAGAGATATATATCCACGACGCCGCGTGCGTGCAACTAACACCGCCCGCCCAAACCACCAGGGCCAACCCTTCCCCTCCCGCCATCATCGACGGGTCCTCCCCTCGTATTTCCCCCAACGGCGATAGATACAGTAGTACGATAGTGACGCCATCGACGATAGATAGACGAGCTGGCAAGGCGCGGCGTCGTTTCATCCTCGACCAAGCTTGCCTCTATGCAGAAGCCGTCCCATCGGGGCTTGGTCGCAGCGCCTGCACCGCGCCCCGTGCGCGGCTATTGTCTCGGAGGGGAGCGGTATTGTTAAAACCGGGGCGCGGCGGTCCCGTGAGGTGCCTTTTGCTCGCGGCGGCGGCCACGCGGCTGTCCGCCAACCCGCCTCCGGGGCGGGGCTGCCCCACATGTGGCCCGGGCTTCAAACCCCCGACCGACCGGCCGGATAGCCGGACGGCCGCCTATGTGTGTATGTATGTATGTGCCCGCCCACGTGGGCGCGCGTGTGTATCTGCGTCATTTGACGTGAACGAGCCCGCTCCTGCCACGTTGCGAGTATATGTATTACTAGTGTGAGGGAGAGCAATCATGGCCCAGCCCGGCGCGGCGCCGCGGGACTCTGTATATGCGACCCGGTTTAAGGATTGTGTATATAAATAGCAGAGGCGCACCATCTTTAGTACTCATACGCCGCCTGTCACTTCGGCCCGTACCAGATTCCCCAAGTCTGTAGATGCCTCGCGATAACGATGCAGTCATCGGGCACAAGGCGAGGGACGCAGGACGTTGCTGAAAGGGGCGGCCCCCTTGACCATCTGCACGAATTCCGTGGACTGGATTCAGATCGCGGCGCTCAAGGGACTGGCGCATGCGAGCATTTGCGAGCTGAGACGACCTCTGCTCAGCCTCATCCTCCTGTCTTGGCGTATCCGCCCTCTGGCAGGTGACGACCGTGATGGCCCGTCAGGGTCGGACGTGGCCCGCGCTGCAACGCCTCGTAGATAGGTGGAAACGTCGTCATATCACCACGTGCTACGAACAGCACGGCCACCGTACTGATAAGTTGAGCCATTAATCTCGCCCTTTGCGCGGATCCGAAGCCGGAGCCGTCCCCCGACTCTCTGGCCAGAGAGCGTCCCGCGCACCTCCGCATGCGCTGGGCCACATGAAGGAGCCGCGTCGCGTGCACACACGCGCGCGCACATTCTTGAAGTCTCCGCGTCCTCGCATTGACCATCGCAATTTCGACGGACATGAGCCTGGCCATGCAGATAGATGGGCTGACCCCAGCTCGTCCAGCGCGCTTCCGCAGGGGATGGCGGGCCTGCGTCGTACACACCTTACACATTATGTATGCCGTGTCGTTACCAAGCCCGTTTAACTCCATGCTCAATAAGTGCCGAGCCGGACCTGCCTTCAAGCTCCCTGATCCTGGCCCTGGACCGTGACTCGCAGGATGGCATACCCAGGGCTGACTGCCGCCGAGGCCCGTATATGCGGTGGGCGAAGACCATCTGCCGCGGGCGGCACGCATGACGACAGACGGGACTTTCCAGGCCGGGACTGGAAGCTTTCCTCCGCACGGATTCTATTTTTTCTGGTCGGACGAGCAGCTGCATGACGCCAGAGACGATTATGCGACTCCCAGAAGGTTTTTCGTCGGCTCCATCGCATGAATCGGCGTCGCGTGAGCTAGGGCTTGGCTCTCTCCCTCTCTGCCTTTGTATCACGGCAGAGCGCATCCCATTGTTTAGTCTTCGCAGCAGGCAAGGCAAAGAAACCTCCATGTATAAGAACGGGCGACGCGCTGTCCGTAATGGCGTCTCTTCAGCAGCTTCTGCCTCACGTCCCTCGCTCAGAGTAGTTGTTTTGTCTTCCCTTTGAATACCCTCTTCCGGTGCTTGCCAAACTATTTTGTTCTCAACTCTCTCCACCTCGGGCATAATACCACACACACGCTCATTTGCTTGACGTCTGGCATCTATTGCCTGGCCTCGGGGCTTGTAAAAATCGCAGCACAACATGCTCAAGGCTCTGTTCGTCGCGGCCGTGGCCGCCACCGCCGCTTCCGCCGCCACGGTCAAGACCCCAGACGCGGCCAAGGAATGCAAGGACTGCGATCTCGAGACCGCCCACAACGTGGACTGCGCCAGCAAGTTCAAGGTTGGGCGTACGGGCACGATGTCGAAGCCCGAGCGCGTGGCCTACATGGATTGTCTCTGGCGCAAGGAGCCAGGACAGGTCGGCTTCCGGGACTACCAGGCTGGGTGCATCAAGTGCAAGGGCCTCCCCGACGGCAACTGGAAGCAGGCCAACCATGACCGCGTGCTCGACGACTACCTCAGCATGAACTGGACGGACACTCTGCCGAACAACATCTACGACTACTGGACCACCTTGGATCTGACTGGCAAGACCGCGGCCGGCGACGGGTGGACCACGCCCGTGCAGGCCAAGGACAAGGAGGGCAAGCTCGTCACGGAACCGCAGTGGGTGTTCTGGAACTTCACGTACAACACCCAGGAGAAGATCAACGCCAGGCTCGATGAGCTCAAGGCCAAGCACCCCCTCCACGGCAAGGACGTCGGCGTTTCCCTCACCGGGGTCATCGAGATGCACTTCACCTACGGCTCCCAGGACTTCCTCCTCAATGCGGGCGGCAAGGTCCTCAAGATCACCAACATGCTGTGCGTCTCCACCCTCTCGGACGCTTCCACCAAGGGCGGCCTGAGCGTCAAGGCCTCGTCCACCAGCTTCCTCCTCGTCAAGGACATGACCCGCAACGCAACCGAGGAGGAGCAGCGGACCCTGCCCATGGCCCCCGACGCCGCCAAGGGCGTGACCAAGACCGTCGCGCTCGACGCCGCCGTCCAGGCCCTCTCCAAGGGAAGCCTGACCACCGTCACTGAGGCGACGGACGAGGGCAAGAACCTGGTCAAGGAGGTCGAGGCCGGCAAGCTGGACGCGAAGCAGGCCGCCGAGAAGGTGAGCAAGACGGCCGAGGCCGAGATCAGCAAGGCCGTCAGCGTCAAGGTCGAGAGCATTTCTTCGATCTCGACCAGCGTCAGTGCTAGCCTCAAGTTGGAGGCTATGCTCGGCAAGACTGGCAAGAAGACTGCCGGCAAGAAGCCCTCTTCCTGCAAGCGCCGCCGTCGCAGCGTCCCGGCCGCGTCTACCTACTAAGGTAGCCAGCCAAGGAGAACGGCACTGGTCGACGAGATGTCGAGATGGCTTCGGGCCCTGTTTCTGCTTGGCTGTGGGTACAGAAAGGCACGTATAGGCAGCTTTTGGGAGACGTCTAGGAGGGTGGCCAATGTGCGCCGAGGCCATTCTGTACGAGAATCGCCATCGTCAAGGAAACGAGTGCGCGCGGCTCCCCAACGCCTCGTTGACAAGCAACCTGAGTCGTCTCGGATGCTCGAGGGCACAGCACAGCGCGGCACACTATTGTACTCCATGCTGCACTTGCTACAATATTCCACTGGTTAATTAATACGTACTGTACTGTACTGTAAAGTATCGCCTCGTTCTCATTTTTGTGATTGCGGTGCGGTGCCATGTCGGCGGGACGCCCCGGGCACACACCGGCGGCTTGGCCCATGCGTGTAAACGCAACGAAGCATTTCGATATACTAAGAAGTTTTACCCCGTAACTTACTGACACGCTCCAATGTGATTTGGCCGTCCAGGTCAGCCCTAGCTGTCGCTCTTCGAATTGGCCCGTGCATCCATTGCTCCCCATTCGTGTTTGCAGACAGAGTGCTTGCACGGACGGCAGGAGCTTCGGGCGACGCTTCCTTCCCCGTGTCCTTGGTCCTCGGTGGGGGATTGAAGGAGCGCCCCGCGCACCTGCCTCTGAAATACGCCACGTTGAGTACTTGGGCCTTGCAGCAGAGCCGCCAGACGCAACCAAAATCTGCCGCGAGGCCACGATGAAATATGTCCTTCAAACACCAACACCAGTAGCAGCAGCAAAATCTCCTCTCGCCGTGCATTCAGCACACGCACCCGCGAGACGACGGTGGCACGCCGGGTGCCGTAGCCGCGGGCAGCCGACACACAGCTCGGGCAACAGGCGAGTTTGCCCCGCCACGCGCCGTCCTTCCAGAACAAGACGCCAAAAGGCCCCCGAGGCGCGGGGTCCAAGACTCCCAGCCCCTCATTGCCCCGCCATTCCGCGCCGCTGAGCAGGGCAAACGGCTGAACTTTTGGCGAGGAGGCAGACGGGAACCGTCCACCGCGCGGGTGGCAGCGCGGGAGGGAGCGCTGGTGAGCAGGCGTCCGCCTTGCCGAGACCGACGCGTGCATGTCGAGCGGAGGACTCGCTCATTGTCTGCGCATTGTGTCGACAAGTCGGGCGCGTTGGTCCGCCGCCAACCCGCAGGTTTGCTTGCGCCCCCGCGACAATGGGAGCCACTGCCAGACACAGGCCCTGCAGACAATGCCCGACACGCGCCGCGTACTGTACAGCCCTGTGCAGAGCCGAACCGCATCTGGAACTTTGGCACCTCCATCAAGCGCTGTGCGAGGGCGGACGGCTGCCGCATCACTGGCCGGCGGGCGCTTTGGTTGACCGTATTAGGCATCCAGAGATCTGGTGGATGTCAGCCAGGGGGGGCCGAGCAGCCCGTAACCTTGCAACAGTAGGGGACCTTTGACGCCTGGAGGCGCCGCTAGCTCGCCGCTGGCGCGTCCCCATGCTCCCGTCCGCAGCTCCCGTCTGGGTACCTGAGGCGGGCTCCATCCGTGCCCGCAGCCGACATGGAGTACGTACTGGGCTCGCGTTTCCCTGTGACGAGTTGTCTGCCTCTCGCTGCAGCTTAAAGAGGTCAGAGCTGGACGCCGCCCGCGCGTCGCCTCGACCCCCTCATGTCCCTCCTCTCACTCTCTTCGTCGTCCTTGTGTCTGCGAAGATTGCCATCCCTGAGAGCTGCGGCCTGCAGGACACAGACGCTCGCCAGACCTCGCCTCGTTCAGCAGAGATTTTTCACCAGAAGCGCCGTCACGATGAACGCCACCGACCTTACCCACTACCTGGCCGACTCCCCGCCCGCCGTCGTCCGTCTTGAGATCGAGAAGCACTTTGAGGCCCTCAACGACAAGCAGAAGCGCTATGCGCACTTCATCAGCCAGTATGTACAGCCTCAAGTCTCATTACCATGTGCCCGACGCCGCTGCTGACACTCATCACCCCAGGGCCTGCTTCGCGGGCACCCGCATCGTGCTCCGACAGCTGTCGCCCGAGGCCGAGTCCATCTATGACTTGATTCTCGCGCTGCACAGGAGCTGCAATGGCGAATGGAAGGCCCTGGCGAGCAAGGCCGGTGTCGAACAGGCCGAGATCGACCACTTCCTCGACTACGCCGCCATGTTCCTGGGCAACATGGGCAACTACAAGAGCTTCGGAGACTCCAAGTTCATCCCTCGCTGCAGCGAGAAGTCCGTCGCTGCCCTGGCTGCCACCAGCCCCGAGGCCAGCAAGTTTTACGAGGCCACCGGTGGCGCCATCTTCAGCTCCGACAAGCAGGCTCTCATGCACCTCGGCTTCCCTGACGCCGGTCACTTGAGCGAATACTACCCTGGTTCGCCTGACATCACCAAGGCAGAGATCGAGGCTGTCTCGGCCTGGATGGAGGCCAAGAACTTGCTCCCAGAGAACACGAGACTGCGCAAGGCAGGCGATACCTTTGAGATTCTCATTGCTTCATCAGCCACGTCGGTCCCGTCCAGCGGCGGCGACATCGGCAAGGACACCTCCTTCACCGTTGAGGACGGGCCGTTGAAGGGCAAGACGATCAAGCTCGTGTACGGAGACTACAGCAAGGAGATGGCGGCCATCGCGAAAAACACCCAGAAGGCTGCCGAGAACGCCGACAACGAGACTCAGAAGAGCATGTACACCAACTACACGGATTCCTTTGCCAACGGATCCCTCGAGGCGTACAAGAACGCTCAGCGTGACTGGATCAAGGACAAGGGACCCATGGTCGAGTCCAACATCGGCTTTGTCGAGACCTACAGAGACCCTGCCGGCGTTCGCGGCGAGTGGGAGGGGTTCGCTTCCATGGTGAACCTCGAACGCACCCGGGCCTTTAAGGCTCTTGTTGAGAATGCGCCCAAGCTCATTCCTCTCTTGCCTTGGGGCAAGGATTTTGAGAAGGACAAGTTCCTCTCCCCCGACTTCACGTCACTGGAGGTCATGACCTTCAACGGATCCGGTATTCCTGCTGGCATCAACATCCCCAACTACGACGATATCCGCCAAACCGAGGGCTTCAAGAACGTGTCGCTGGGCAACGTCCTGAGCGCCAAGGCGCCCAACGAGAAGATTCCATTCATTCGCGAGGAGGACGACGAGCTCTTCCGGAAGTACCGCGACGCCGCCTTTGAGGTCCAGGTCGGCCTTCACGAGCTGACTGGTGAGTAATGGTTCAATACGAGACTCGTCATCTGACAGGAAGCTGACACGCGACAGGCCACGGTTGCGGCAAGCTTCTGCAGGAGACCGCCCCTGGCGTCTTCAACTTCGACAAGGACAACCTGCCCGTCAGCCCCGTCACCGAGAAGCCCATCACCACCTGGTACAAGCCTGGCCAGACGTGGGGTTCCGTCTTTGGCAGCATCGCCGCGTCGTACGAAGAGTGCAGGGCAGAGCTCGTCGCCATGCATCTCAGCTGCGAGTTCGAGGCCCTCAAGATCTTTGGTTTCGGCGACGGCAACGTTGACATTGACGGCGAGGCCGGCGATGTCCTGTATGCCTCGTATCTCGGCATGGCTCGCTCTGGTCTCGGCTCTCTCGAGATGTGGGATCCCAAGAGCCAGAAGTGGGGTCAGGCTCACAGCCAGGCTCGCTTCTCCATCCTGAAGTGCTTCCTCGAGGCTGGTGATGACTTCTGCAAGCTCGACTATACCAAGGACGACCTGTCCGACTTGACCATCAAGCTCGACCGCTCCAAGATCCTCACTGCCGGCCGCGACGCCGTCGCCAAGTACCTCCAGAAGGTGCACGTCTACAAGTCCACTGCCGACGTCGAGACGGGCACCAAGTTCTACGTCGACATGACCACCGTCGACCCGGACTTCTGGGGCACCAAGGTCCGCAAGGTCGTCCTCGAGAACAGGCAACCCCGCAAGGTCTTCGTCCAGGCCACCACGTCCCTGGACGAAGCGTCGGGCACCGTCTCGATCAAGCACTACGAGGCTTCGCCGGTGGGCATGATCCAGAGCTGGGTGGACAGGAACCTGTAGATGTAGATGTGGATGTAGATGTAGATGTAGATGCCAAAAATGAAAATACCAGAATTATCAGACTACGAGTTGTGCCGCGAAAGATGATGCCAGGGCACTCCGAGGATGGCATCGACGGACTCGATCCCAACACACGTGACTCGTCTTCATGCTCCACGGGCCGTGTGCAGTGCTTGCTCGGGCTTCTTTGATCATCATCACGGCTCCTAACCAGAAGCCTGGCGGAACTCTTTCATTTATGCTCGTTTTGATTTTTTGACTGTAAAACCTGATTACAGACGCCAAGATGTGACCGATGCCGTCGACTTCCAAATGCAATTGGCCAAACCAGCCCATGTCGGAGACCCTTCCCGTTCTACAACCCGTTTGTCGCACCGCGCCGACTCCATCACCGCGGTGCTACATCCGCTTTCGACGCCCGGACCCCCACGGCGCCCACACCTAGCACCCCGCAAGACTCCCCCGTTCCCCCCTGGGTATAGGGGCGAGGGAGGCTGCAGATCTACCACTTCATCTCGTGGGGCTTGTCGCCCTTTCGCAGGCTGAAGGAGCTGCCGAGGTAGCTGGCGAGCATGTCGACCTTCTTGATGTTGGCGATCAGGGGCTTGTCGATGGCCTTCTGGTCAGCAGCGCGGCTGCTGGTGATCTGCTTCTTCTGAGGCGGGAATCTGCGTTAGCCTCCGCTGTCTCGTCTTCGAGAACCAGGCACAGAGTGCGCGGGCGCGCCTCGGTGGAGCCAAAAACGTACCTGGGGCTTCTCTCCCTGCTTGAAGAAAGCCTCCTCGCCGGCCTTCTCCTTGGCCTTCTCGGCGGTGAAGTACTTGGGCTGGGAGATCTCCTCGACCTTCTTCTGGTCCAGGCCGGAGACGTCGACCTTGTAGGAGGTGGCGATGACGTATCGGGAGTTGACCCGTCGCAGGGGAACACCGTTGATCTTGAAGGGGCCGGTGACGAGGAGGACACCCTGGTCGAGGGCCTTGAGAAGGATGACGCGCTTGCCACGGAAACGACCGGCGAGGACGATCAGGACGGTGCCGGGCTGCAGCGACTGGCGAGGGGCCCAGGGGCGGACGGCCTTGCGGACCTGTTGGTTGCACCGGGTTAGCATGCGCCCGACCAGAAACTCAACGTCGCAACGGCGACGCGACACATCTTGCTGTTCTGCCCTGGGAGTCTGCGTGTGGATTGACTGTTTCGAATGGCGCGGGTGTCCGATACATGGTCGTGATATGTTGATATCTTATTCGAAGGGGGGGCCGGGCGTTCGTCGTGTTTGTGCCATGATGCCAGGCCAATTCCTCGATTCCAAGTCGCCAACACTGTTCCGCCATTGCCGGGCGTTCGTCGCGATTCCGAAGAGTCCATCCAGCTCACCATCTCCCAGGGCAGGGAACTCGAAGATTGCCACGGGCGGGCATCGCCGTCACGTCACGACCATCGCGACTCACCTTCTTGGCCTCGGTCTCGTCGTCGGCGTTGTACCACTTCTTGGCCTTGTCGGCGGAGGCGGGCACCTCCCGGGTCGACTTCCCGAACTTCTTGGTCGTGGGCTTCGCCGACATGGTGACTCTCTCGACTGTGTCTGGTTGGGTGTGGAGGGAAGAAAGACACGTTTGGTGATGCTCGCCGAAATGTTGGATTTCTTGTGAAAGCCACTAGCGAGTTTGTGGGAGCAAAATGTGAACCCTCTGGCGCTAGTCCGCATTCGGTCGCGCGCCTCCTCTTCTCACCCGTGCGGGCTGGTGGGACATGGGGCTGGCCGCACGTGATCTTATCGAATCTCTTATCGGTACCGATTTGAAGCGTCGGCCGATGACGGCGGGCGGAGACGCGGGAAGGTGCGAGAACGAACCCCAGCTATCCAGAGCTTGCTGGAATGAAGGTTTTCCCCCAACGTCGCCGCGCCGAGTAGATGATTTTGCCCCCGAGGGTCCCGCGCACGCCCGTCATGGCCTGATTCGTATTTCATGTTCACTCTTCTCGCATCGTAAGCGGCTGTAAGCGATTTCCTGCATCCGACCGCGTGCAACAACATGCAAGCCCGAAGGCAGATGATTTCCTCGGCCCAGCGCCTAGCTGGAGCCGCGACACGAACCTCACGGCCGGTCGCTCGACTAGCGGCCGGTCGAATTCCACACGCGCTACCGTTGCGGCTGCTTCCAAGTCTGACGGTCCGCCACTATGCCAACGGCCGACCGCGCCCGCCGGGGGGAACTCACAGGATGAACCTCGGCGAGGAGGAGGAAAAGCCGGCGCTGGAGCAGTTTGGCATCGACCTCACCGCGAGGGCGAGAGACGGAAAGCTCGATCCCGTAATCGGAAGAGACGCGGAGATCCAGCGGACGATCCAGATCCTCTCGCGACGTACGAAAAACAACCCTGTGCTCATCGGTAATGCCGGAACGGGCAAGACGGCCATCCTCGAAGGCCTCGCCCTGCGCATCATTCGCGGCGACGTGCCCGAGAGCGTAAAGAACAAGAGGGTCATAAGCCTGGACCTTGGGTCGCTCATTGCGGGGGCCAAGTTCCGCGGCGACTTCGAGGAGCGCCTGAAGAAGGTCTTGGACGAGGTCCAAAAGGCCGAGGGCGAGGTGATTCTCTTCATCGATGAGCTGCACACCTTGCTCGGCCTGGGCAAGGCGGAGGGCTCCATTGATGCCTCGAACCTCCTGAAGCCCGCCCTGGCCCGCGGCGAGCTCCAATGCTGCGGCGCCACCACCCTCACCGAATACCGACAGATCGAAAAGGACGTAGCCCTCGCCCGCCGGTTCCAGCCCATTATTGTTAGCGAGCCCTCCGTTGAGGACACTGTCAGTATTTTGAGAGGCATCAAGGACAAGTACGAGGTGCACCATGGTGTCCGAATCACAGACGGCGCCTTGGTTGCCGCCGCCGCCCTCTCCAACCGGTACATCACAGATCGGTTCCTCCCGGACAAGGCCATCGACTTGATGGATGAAGCCGCCAGCCACCTGAAGTTGCAGCATGAGTCCAAGCCCGAGGACATCATGCGCCTGGACCACAAGATCATGACCATTCAAATCGAACTGGAAAGCCTCCGCAAGGAAAAGGACGTCGCTAGCAGAGAGCGCCGCGAGAAGCTTGAAAAGGACCTGGAGGGCTACAACAACGAGATAGCCGAGCTCAACGCTAGGTGGGACAAGGAAAAGGCGGAGATTGAATCGGTCAAGAAGGTGCAAGAAGACCTTGACAAGGCCCGCTTCGAGCTCGACCAGGCACAGCGTGTGGGCAACTTTGGCCGCGCGTCGGAGCTCCGGTTTGGTGTCATTCCGGACCTGGAGGCCAAGCTGCCGTCCGACCAGGAGTCGCAGCAGGAGAAGAGCGATGACGCGCTTGTTCACGACGCGGTCACGTCCGACGACATTGCAAATGTCGTGTCGCGCATCACGGGCATCCCGGTCTCGAAGCTGACATCGGGCCACATCGAGAAGCTCGTGCATATGGAGGACACGCTGCGGGAAGCCGTTAAGGGCCAGGACGAGGCCATCAAGGCCGTGTCCGATGCCGTGCGGCTTCAGCGCGCTGGTCTTAGCGGCGAGAACCGGCCCCTGGCCTCCTTCTTCTTCCTCGGCCCCACCGGCGTGGGCAAGACGGAACTCTGCAAGAAGCTCGCAGGCTTTCTCTTCTCGACCGAGTCCGCCGTCGTGCGATTTGACATGTCGGAGTTCCAGGAGAAGCACACCATCTCGCGCCTCATCGGCGCCCCGTCCGGCTACGTCGGGTACGAAGACGCCGGGCAGCTCACCGAGGCGGTTCGGCGCAAGCCGTACGCGGTGCTGCTCTTCGACGAGTTCGAGAAGGCGCACCGCGACATCTCGGCCCTGCTGCTGCAGGTGCTCGACGAGGGCTACCTGACGGACGCGCAGGGCCACAAGGTCGACTTCAAGAACACCATCATCGTCTTGACGTCAAACCTGGGCGCCGACATCCTCGTCGGTCAGAACGTCATGCACCCGTACAAGGAGAACGCCGACGGAGAAATGGACCCCTCGGTGCGCAAGGCAGTCATGGACGTGGTCGCCGAGGCGTACCCGCCCGAGTTCCTCAACCGCATCGACTCCTTCATCATCTTCAAGCGCCTCGCCCGCAGCGCCATCCGCGACATCGTCGACATCCGCCTGCGCGAGCTCCAGCACCGCCTCGACGACAAGCGCATCACGCTCGCCGTCCCCAACGACGTCAAGGACTGGCTCGCCGAGCGCGGCTACGACCCCAAGTTTGGCGCCCGCCCCCTCAACCGCCTCATCACCAACGAGATCGGCAACGGCCTCGCCGACAAGATCATCCGCGGTCAGCTCAAGATGGGCCAGGCCGCCGAGGTCAAGATCCGCGACGACAAGGAGGGCCTCGAGGTCGTCAACGTCTCCGAGGAGGCGTAAACCGAGGCTGTGCAGTTTGTATTGATATGTCGCAAGTGGTATATACGTTACTGCGGGAGTTGGATCGCGAGTACAGGTGCATTTTCTCTTGGTTGAGTTTTCACGACAGACACGGACCTCACGCATCATCTTTCTTGTATATTAGCAAAACGGGTATATTGCATGCACAACTCCGCTCCTTATTGATACCCGCAAGCCTGGAGCAACTTGAATAATGCAAAAATTTTCGGAGAAGAACCTGTGCCGTGCAATGTGAATGCCAACGTTCGACAAGATGACAGTCAGCCTAAGTGTAGATGCTTCGTGGAACGACGCATAGGGCCCATCAAGGTCAACTTAAACAGGGCAGCCTCACTTTTTGCCAGGCCAAACAGCACTCACATCACAAGCCGAGACGAGGCAGCACGGGCAGACAAAGGCACAGAAACCAAACTCGATTTTTATCACCCTTCCTGTTCTCCCCCATCCCATTCACTCCGCTACGATCAACCCCGGCCGGGAGGCCTTAGACAGCGAACGAACAACCCAACTCCGCCAATCTAGCGCAATGAGAGATGAGACGAAGAGAGCGCAGTTACCACAAGAGACGCGAAAAACCAAAACAAGTCAACACCACCGCGAGCCAATGCCATAGCCTTTGTGTACGCATCTCGCCAACCTCGAACCCCTCTCATTCTCCTCCATCCCTGCTGCCGTGACCGCATCCCCCGCGTGTCGCCGAGTGGCCACGATCCGAATAGACCCAGAAGACATGCCCAGGTTGTGTGCCAGGCCGATCCCCGGCGCATACAGCCGCTCCACGTCGCAAGGCTCCAGGTCGCCGTCCAACGACGTTGCCGAAAATGGCACGTGATCGCGTTCCAGAGCAAAAGCTTCGGGACCCGCGTGCACATGAGCGGGGTATCACGACAACACCAAAACGACAACAGAAGGGACAAGAAACGAGCGCCAGAGTGGTCGACAGCCCGACGCGAAGACGATTAAGGGACTAAGTTCGATTGGGGGTTGACCGATAATTTTGCAAATTACAACCGAACCCACGAGTTGGGCAAGACCGATGCGAATAGCGTACGTGACAAGATGGAGTAGGCAGGAGAAGGCGGAGTGGATCCAAGCTTCTCTCGATTCTTTACTGGTGACCGGCCTTGCGGAGGGTGGTGGCGAGCCACTCGAGACCCTCGTACAGACCGTCACCAGACGTGGCGCAGGTAGACTGGATGTACTGTGGCGGGGAACGTGGTCAGCTTCGGGCTCGTCCAGCGTGTGCGCGTAGCATCGCGAGAGCGGGAAAAGATGAAGGAGAGGCTGAGGAGGACATACCCAGGCGCGTTGTCTCAGGCTGTGGAGGCCGAGCTTGTCGGTGATCTCGGCGGCGTTCATGGCGTTCTGTGGAGGGTCGCGTGTCAGCTATGGTGCAATCGCAAGGTGGTAGAACGGGGCGGACGGCGCGGCATTCGTCGCAAAGCGCAGCGCCGTCATCGGTCATGTACGTACAGGAAGATCCTGCTTGTTGGCAAAGACGAGCAGGATGGCATCCCGCAGCTCATCCTCGTTGAGCATGCGCTGGAGCTCCTCACGGGCCTCGACGATACGGTCGCGATCGTTGCTGTCGACGACGAAGATGATGCCCTGGGTGTTCTGGAAGTAATGCCTCCAGAGGGGGCGGATCTTGTCCTGGCCACCGACGTCCCACACGGTGAACTGGATGTTCTTGTACTCGACGGTCTCGACGTTGAAGCCTGATGACGCGCACGTTAGCAAGCCGACAGTGAGTCGATTCACGGGCGCGGCCGAGGGCGACGAAGACGGAGCGACGCGCCGACGGGCGACCGAGATGCACGGGGCGGGCGGAGCGGCGTACCAATGGTGGGAATGGTCGTGACGATTTCACCGAGCTTGAGCTTGTAGAGAATCGTGGTTTTACCGGCGGCGTCGAGACCGACCATGAGAATTCTCATCTCCTTCTTCCCCCACAGCTTGTCGAAAATCTTGGAAAACGCGAGACCCATGATTGCGGTGTGCGGCGGCGAGGCCTGTGTCGAAAATCTGGATGGCGTTGGTGGAGGTGCGGAAAGGGAGAAGGGGAGGAGGTCGACGAAGAGTTATGTGTCCCTAGTTGCCACGCGTAAGTAAGCGGTTTAGGGAGGGGTTTTTCTGCCCGAGCCGCGGAATGGGGGGTGGGCTGCCAGCTATGACGATGGGGATGGGAGTTGCAGAGGGGGCCTGCGGGGGAATAGAGTGAAGAAAGGAGGTGTAAAAAAATTTACGGGTCGGCGAGATGCTGCTGAATTGGATGGCGAACGGTGCTGGGCAGGGGGGATGAAGATGGTTTATGGGCATGCGCCGCGACAGAGGACACTTTGTCCAGGGATAAGACGTCGAGCCAGGCTGCTGCATTTCAGCGCGTGGGTGGGCTGGGCGCCGGCACCCCATGCCATGTCACCAGCAGGCGGCCGCCGTGGGAGTCAGCCAATGCAGGCAACGCGAGACGAGGCCGGATGACAGGATGCCCATGCGGACGGGACCTGCTCCGGTCGTCGTCGACTCCCGGTGGGCCGCCGCGGTCGATGAGGCTGGGCGGGCAGGCGAGGCTCGATGCCGTCCGTCGCGGCGCGGGCAAGTGACAACTCGTGTGTGTGCGTGCATCCCAGGCCCTGGAAGCAGGCCCAGCGGCGACGATGCAGCAACGGGACAGGGTGCACCATGGTCGTGGGCAGAGGGTTCAAAGGCGCGACTTACTCGTTCGATCGAAGGGCAGCGGCGGCCGGAGGATGGTGCGTCGTGCGGGTGGGTTGGTTGAGGATGGCGGGTGGAAGAGGAGGGAGAGTTCTATCGTGGAATTTTTGGAACAGGGTCGGTGAAGAAGCGTGCCTGCTGCAGTACAGTGGAAGGGGGG